ACATTATTAATTTTATGATTGTAGCCCACTCAGGTTTCTGTCAAAATAACTACATTTGGAGTGCAGTGTAAAGGACTACTTTAGCATTCTCTCCATTTTTTCACGTTTCCCTACTTAGTTAAGGAATAGAAAACCAGTTTATTTGAAACTCACCTATAATTTAAGCCAATGGGCAGCTGATGAAGAAACTGGGACATAGGGCTACATTATGGTATCATTCACCATATTGGCTCTGGTAGTTCTTTGTTTACATGTGACAAGTAATCACGTACACTATAATATACACAAAATTGCGGTTTACTGTGTTTTTCAAACGTGTTATGTTTAAAAGTGACTCACATGAGAAACGGCTATATCTTAACCAAATCCAGAGGGATGATAAACAGTAGGATATGAATAAATTGATCTTTACTGATGGTGTGGATCCATATAAATTTCCAAACAAAAAGGGCAGTAATGATCTGGGTATGCTAACGCTACCTCCTCTACCTTCCCAAACTGTTTTCCTAGCTGGTGTGTGGCTCTTTTGAATGATTTTGAATTTTCAAGTCACTTGAAGCCCATGTACAGTTCATAAATGGGTATTTCACTCAGCCACTGGCATTTTAACTCAGTTACTGGCATATTTTACTCAATTACTACCATATTTAACTCAGTTACTACTAGATTTAACTCAGCTACTGGTATATTCAACTCAGTTACTGGCATATTTTACTGAGCCACTGGCATATTTTACTCAGTTACCACTATATTTCACTCAGTTACTAGTATATTTCACTCAGCCACTGGCATATTTTACTCAGTTACTGGCATATTTTACTGAGCCACTGGCATATTTTACTCAGCCACTGGCATATTTTACTGAGCCACTGGCATATTTTACTCAGTTACTGGCATATTTTACTCAGTTACTGGCAAATTTTACTGAGCCACTGGCATATTTAACTCAGTTACTGGCATATTTTACTGAGCCACTGGCATATTTTACTCAGTTACTGGCATATTTAACTCAGTTACTGGCATATTTTACTGAGCCACTGGCATATTTAACTCAGTTACTGGCATATTTTACTGAGCCACTGGCATATTTTACTCAGTTACTGGCATATTTTACTGAGCCACTGGCATATTTAACTCAGTTACTGGCATATTTTACTGAGCCACTGGCATATTTAACTCAGTTACTGGCATATTTTACTGAGCCACTGGCATATTTTACTCAGTTACTGGCATATTTTACTGAGCCACTGGCATATTTTACTCCATTACTGGCATATTTTACTGAGCCACTGGCATATTTAACTCAGTTACTGGCATATTTTACTGAGCCACTGGCATATTTAACTCAGTTACTGGCATATTTTACTGGGCCACTGGCATATTCTACTCAATTACTACCATATTTCACTCAGCTACTGGCATATTTCTAGTATAATCGGCATATTAGCAAATACTGCTAGGCTAACTAAGTTACTTAACAAACGTATCACCTGATTGATAGGCTAAGCAATAGAGCTTACTGGCTTCAGCTGTTTTAGCACTGCTAGCTAGCTGAGTTACCATTGTATCCTAAACCACTGGTCTCAGTAGCATGACTGAAGCTACTCTAAGGGATTTACCGTTGACATTTTGTCCATAGCACTCGCCACATATACCACCATTACAGCAAAAACAGAAAGCACAAAACAATGTTGTCTCAGAGGTACAGCAATAAGGTTGACTCACAGATCCTTGCTGTAATTGTTAGTTACATAACAAAACAATGCTTTTTGACCAAAACTGAGCTGTGCTCTACAGTTTCTCATTAGGTTCAATGGGGTTTTATCAACAGTCTGTTTCTCAGAACACAATTGTGGGCGGAGCATAAGGCACACAGTGCTTAACTGGATGAAAACAGTACTCAGCAAGTGATACATCATAACTAATTAAAAGCTTCAGAAGGTGCACAAGCAGGACCCTCACTTACTCAGAGCCCTGTGTTTACTGCCAAAGCTCTGACCACAGTCAAGGGCAGCGTTCCACATAAAATAACTATCCAGTGCACTGACCAGCTGAACAGAGAGCAGAGGAGGACACAGCAGGGATGTGGTTATTACTGCATTACAACAAGCCTCTGCAGCAACCCCTGACTGGGGCCTTATGTAAGCTTGTAGGAACAAAATGGACAGATTTAAAGTCTTAGGGATGCTTTTCTTTCAAAATAAGTGTTTTTTTTTCAGACCAGAGCCAGAACGAAAGAGTTACAGTGTTACAGTGTTTCTTATTTGTTTTTCTTTGTAAAGGTATGAGGAGCAGCTATCCAGAGTTGTTTACTTGCAGTTGTCGCACATGTAGCTAAAGAGGAAAAAGTATCCTTTTATTATGATATGATAACCAAACGGTTGCTGAATCCCTGAGAGGATTCAAATAAACATTATTATTTAATTTGAGTCGATCAGAATCAGAATCTTTTTATTCACCAGGTACAGTGAGTTTTCCTTTTCGCAGGTGCCAACATACATTCACTCACTGACCACTTTAGAAGGTCCTGTACACTCTATGGCCAAAAGTATGTGGACATCCATCCTCATTATTGAGTTCAGGTGTTTCAGCCATTCATTCAATTAAAAACCTACCACTGCATGTTCATGATAGACAGCCTACTTGCTATGCATGTTTAATTTTCCCAACAATTTTCAAAATATGTGCGTAATTCAATTGTTGAGATGCAAACAAAGTCCTTCCAGATGTTCTGATGTGAAATAGTTCATTGTAAAGAAACATACAGACACAGATTTCTTTACAGTGGTGGTGATAGGAACCAGAGGTCACAGTGTGTACAACACAAATATAGCCATTTTATTAACTATACTAGTTTTTAGATGTAATGTTGATGGTAAAATCTGAAAAAAATGTTTTCTTTAGGGACTATTTTGCCTTATAACAGCCTGTGTGTACCCCTCCACCATGAATATACTTTAAAAAGTATGCCTTAGGCATCAGGCCACATATTTCTGATTATTTCATGTAACTTAATGTGATGGGCTTCAGACGTCTGGTTCCTATCACCACCACTGTGAACAACTCTGACTCTGCAAGTTCCTCTAGAATGGAGTATTTCACATCAAGCCACTCTGAATGACTTTGTTTACATTTTAATTATCTAATTATGCAGAAATGTAGTGGACTGGAAATGTAGTTAGCCCTATAAATATGGGCCAACATACAAGCAAAATTCAGGCTTCGGGGTGGCAGCTACTACTGTACTGTCCATTTCATAGATCACAACATACAATACATTAACATTAGTCCTTTATTGATGCCTCTTCTTTGTTTTGGCAGGCTGCGTGAAGGGTCAGAAGGTGGGCCACAAGTGCTTCCTGGTGTACCGGACTTACGAGACATATATGGGAGCGTCTCAGAAGTGTCAGGAGCGCGGCGGGCGCATGGCCATGCCCCGGGACCGGCGGGAGCAGGAGGCACTGGCCGATTACGTGAAATCCGCATTCCACCCAGGGAACTGGCCCGTGTGGCTGGGCATCAACGACCTGCGCTCAGAGGGTCTTTACCTGTTCGAGGACACCACCCGCGTCACCTACTTCCAGTGGAGGAAGCACTTCCTGTCCAGCCAGCCGGACGGAGGCAAGCGGGAGAACTGTGTGGCCATGTCGTCCGACGACGGCGACTGGTGGGACAACTACTGCGACCGGCGCATGTACTACCTGTGCGAGTTTGACGCTTGACCTTTGACCAGGCAGCCAAGCCAGTTAGACAACAGGCGTCGGAGTTACAGTGTTTCTTATTTGTTTTTCTTTGTAAAGGTATGAGGAGCAGCTATCCAGAGTTGTTTACTTGCAGTTGTCGCACATGTAGCTAAAGAGGAAAAAGTATCCTTTTATTATGATATGATAACCAAACGGTTGCTGAATCCCTGAGAGGATTCAAATAAACATTATTATTTAATTTGAGTCGATCAGAATCAGAATCTCTTTATTCACCAGGTACAGTGAGTTTTCCTTTTCGCAGGTGCCAACATACATTCACTCACTGACCACTTTAGAAGGTCCCGTACACTCTATGGCCAAAAGTATGTGGACATCCATCCTCATTATTGAGTTCAGGTGTTTCAGCCATGCTCATTGCTAACAGGTGTATGAAATCAAGCACACAGCCATGCAATCTTCTTAGACAAACACTGGCAGTAGAGGGGGTCATACTGAAGAGCTTGGTGATTTTAAGCGTGGTCACTGTCATAGGATGCCATCTTTGCCACAAAGAAGTGAAATTTCTGCTATGCTAGATCTGCCCCTGTGCTATTATTGTGAAATGGAAGCATCTAGGAGCAACATCAGCTCAATTCCAAAGCTCTAGACCATGCAAACCATGCTGCAATTGCCTATCCTCTGTTGCATCACTCACTACAGAGTTGCTCTGGAAGCAAGATCCACACATAACTGAGCATCAGGAACTTCATGAAATCAGTTTCCATGGCTGAGCAGCTGCACACAAAGACAAGTGTTGGCTGGAATGGTGTAAAACATGCTGCCACTGGACTCTGGAGCAGTGGAAACATTCTCTGGAGTGATGAATCACACTTTACTATCTGGCAGTCTGATGGATGAATCTGGGTTTGGTGGATCCCAGGAGAACTCTACCTACCAGAATGCATAGTGCCAGCAGTAAAGTTTGGAGGAGGAGGGATAATGGTCTAAGTTTGAGTGAGGGGTGATGTTAATGCTGCAGCACACAAAGACACCTTAGACTATGTATTATATTCTTCCAACTTTGAGGAAACAGTTTGGGAAGACCCTGTCCTGTTCCAGTATAACTGTGCACAAAGCAAGCTCCATAATGAGTTTAGTGTGGAGGAACTCCAGTGGCCTGCACAGAGCCCTGACCTCAACCCCACTGAACACCTCTGGGATGAACTAGAACATTGATTGTGAGCCAGGCCTTGTCATCCAACATCAGTGCCTGACCTCACAGATGCTCTTTTGACTGAATGGGCGGTAATTCCCACAGACACTGTCCAAAATGTCCAAAATGTCTCAGAAGAGTGGAGGCTGTAATAGCCACAAAGTGAGGGCCAACTTCATATTGAACCTCATGGTTTTTGAACGGGCTGCCCAACAAGGAGGTGTGATGGTCAGATGTCCACAAACTTTTGGCCATGTAGTGTATATATTAACAAAAACACAAACGCTCTACAAAAAAATACGAATAACAGAAGTGTGTACCGGTTTTTATTGCAGTATCGAAAAATCAGAATCAAAAATTCTACTTGTTCTAAAAGTTCTACTTGCAAACTACATGAGAATCGAGACATTTGAACACAATATATTTATCATTATATCTTTACAAAGACGCACAAATCTCTACAGTAGGATGGTCTCTGTAGTATTGCAATGATGTAGTTTCCTTGTATAGCAATAAAGGCTCACACCTGCTTATATTAGAATCTAATGAGCTTACACAACATTCAGGTTTAAATTTCACAGTTATTAAATTTATTCTTCATTGATTTATTAGTAAACAAATCCTTCACATTGCTGAGATTATTATGTAATATAATAGGCAGACTCAAAGTCCAGTCCATTCTGCTATTTGTATAAATCAAGTAGTGTGACTGATTATTTGACTGTACTGACAATCAGGCAGAATAGAGCTCAGTCTGAGCTTGTGTCTGCGCTTGTGTGGGTGGAGATGAAGGTCTCTGCAGACTCCACAGGAGAGAAGCTGGGTGCACCAGTGGCTGTGTATTCAATTCAGAAACGGCTCTTCTAGCTGAGTTGGAGTCGCCTCGTCATCCTCACAGCCCCGGTACAGCTCTCTCGCTCCGGAGTCGGCAGAATCGCTGTTAACTCAAGTACAATTCCAAGAACAGAGACACACTGTTGCAGTACTGACACGATTCAAGTTAAAGCTGCTGTTGATACTGGATTACAGGGATGTGGGAAGTGGGGGTGCTGAGGGGGCTTGATAGTGGACGAATATTGTTTTTTAAACTTTTAAATTTCATAATAAATGTCCTATATTTTAAATACATTAGCTGTTACATCTTCTGCTCTGGTGTATATTGTAGTTTTGAATCTTCAGTATGTAACTTGGATGTTTCAGCCGCGCCACATATCGACAGTCTGATTGGTCGCTGCTTAGCTCATCTGCATAAGGTTTTTCAGAATGAGTGAGCAGAGTGAGCAGAGGGTCATCAGTGGTTTGCAGTGGTCATTTATATATGTATACTGCCATCTCTCGCCTCATTATAGCGCATTATGTAATGTTCTGTTTGATGTAAATTCACTCAAATATTCAAATTGGCATATCATCATCATCATTACATCACAACAAACATCATCATCATTACATCACAACAAACATCATCATCATTACATCACAACAAACATCATCATTACATCACAACAAACATCATCATCATTACATCACAACAAATACCATCATTACATCACAACAAACATCATCATTACATCACAACAAATGTCATATAGTTGTGCTTGCTAATAAGCTATTTTTAGTGCACAATTTCTGTTTGTTTGCTTTTGCCCAGGCAGCATTTTGTTTTATTTTTCCCTGATATGTTAAATCCAGCAAGTAAACAAAATAACTGTGCATTAAAATGTGCAGAAGTGTGTTATTTTAATCTAGAAAGCCAACAAAAATGTGTCATTTGACCCAGGGGCGCCCAAACTTGCATACAATTTTAGCAACCGCAACTTCCTGCATCCCTGTACAACAAGCACGATGATATTCACAAGCACAGTGGAGTGTGATGTAAACAAACAACAAACAAACAAAAACCCTGCATGATTTTGATCGGTTTTCATTACAGTCACAAGAAACTGACTAGAAACTCATGAGAAATGGTTCAAATCTGATTTGAAAGATTCATATTCTTGTATCTTAAAAAATCAGATCTGTCACATTTAGGCAAAAATCGGCTTTGTGCCACTTCAGCCCTGCAATGTGAACGTACACTGAGCTGGACTGAACCTGATTCGACTCCTGAAGGTTTTGATATTTAGCTGGTGAACGGCGTTAGACGTGTTAGAGCGAGGAGAGCGCTACGCTGTGCAGTGGTTTGGCTCTACAGTGGCTTTTGAGGATCGCTCATACAGAGCACTGAGTTCTTCTATTAAAAAAAAAAAAACGCTTTGGTACACGTGGCTGATTTTCCAGGCACAGTGCGACACTAAAAATGATTTTCATTGCAGATGCCCCACTGACAGTGTCATTTCGTCCAAAACTCGGGATGATCCACGACTTTCACCTCTTATACTGCAGACGCCCACATTTCAGTTCCTCACTGTAACAACTGCATAACTGAAACATCCACAGGAGTTACTGAATTACTCAGAGTAGACACTGAGTCACTTGTAGTTATTACTGAATAATTTATAGTAGTTGCTGAATAATTCACAGTAATTGAATCATTTATTGTAGTTGCTGAATAATTCAAAGTAATTAATGAGTTATATATAGTAAAATGTGAGTCATTTATAGTAGTTACTGGATAATTCACAGTAACTGAATCAGTTATAGTAGTTACTGAATAATTTATAGTGAGTGATGAGTCATTTATAGTCAAATCTGAGTCGTTTGTAGTACTTACTGAATATTTCATAGTAATTGAATCATTTACAGTAGTTACTGAATAATTCACAGTAATCGATGAGTCATTTATACTAAAATCTGAGTCATTTACAGTAGTTACTGAGCAATTCATTGTAGATACTGAATAATCTAAAGTAGTCATTAATAACTGAATAACAAGCTTGGAGCTTAAGACTGTATTTACATGGTGAAACTTTCATGCAATTTTAGTTGCTTGAAACCTACATGAAACTAAACTGCACTTGTGCTACATAATGTAAAATGTCCTGCATCTCACTTAAAACTCAGCCCCAACAGTTACAAGTGTCTCAACTTCGTGAAGCAGGTTTCATGAAATATCCAAACAAAGCACTGATAACGCATCACTTGATCACATCAAACAGTATACTGTTAAATGATTGATATCACTGGATCAATGCAACAGGATCAACAGGAGGTGAAAAGAAGGGCACATGTGGATGTGTTGTGTTGTGTGCAACTTTGTTATTGAACCGCTTTGCGTAACCGTCAAGTTGCACAGAAATTATGTTGCAGGCGACTCACAACGTGCAACTAGTTGCCTGAAAGTTTCACTGTGTAGAGCCAGCTTATGGGGTTAAACCATATCGAACCGTATTGCTGATCATCCAAGGCGTGTTGTTTAGTTCTGCACTGAAGCTACGCAGCTAATGTAGCTAACAAGTAACGAAAGCTTATGTTCCACCAATTAGAGCCCAGCTTACTGCAAACTGCAAGCCCACATCAGCACACACTTCCCTTAAACCATATGGAGTTGTTCAATCTCCAATAGACTTGCTTGTGTGGTTTCTCACTGTAGGACAAGCCAAGGCAAGTGTCTGCTTAATTAGGTGTTCCATTGTGCACGGTGATAATTCATAGCCATAAGCCTCCGTTACGTTAGCCGCATTAGCCTGCCAAACTATCGCTTTAAGCAGAGGCACCAAGAGTTAAACCGAGGCCGGCAGGGCAGCCAGGATGTGTTCAGCCGAGGGCCGGTCCACTGGGCTCTGACACCGGTGGGAAAAGATCACTGCACCTCCTTCATCCAGCACGAAATCACCACCCATCTATCACAGAGAGAGAAAACAAGAGAGGGAGATTGATAGCGCGTGAGAGAATGAAATAAAGAAAACACAAGCAACGGAGAGTGCAATAACAAGACGGAGAGAAAACATGTTTGTCTTTCAGCTGGCGTTAAGCAATACTTCCAGGGAAATTAGTTTGCTTTGGATTACTGGAACCTGTTCTCTTTGGATGAGTAGCATTCCTGAAAAGATGCAGGGCTGATACGCAACACAATACAGACTTGTACCTGCAGGAATCCTATCCTCCTCATATCACGTGGTGTTTAAACTGCGCTCTTTGTGCAGCTGAATGCGCTGAATGTAAATTCGTACCTGAAAAAGGTCGTCGATAAACTGCAGGGGGACCTGAGGAAAGCTTCTCTTGGTCACGTGGTATTCCGAGTAGCGAAGCAAGTTGCTGAACTTCATCACTTTAGCGAAGGAGGAGCCCAGAGAGAACGCCTGGTAGACCTGAAGCAGCAGAGAAGAGAAAGATCACACACAGCCAGTTCAACAAGCTTCTCTCAGCTGGCCGGTTTCATGCTTTAAGGTTTTTTCTGGCCTGCTTGGTCAGATGTCAAAGCTGTTTTTGAACCATCTGTAGTCCACCTGTGGTCCAGACCATGACTGTGTCCAAGCACCCACAAAAGTGGCTGCCTCTTCCAAAACGTCCAGCTCCTCTCCTCCATGTCCCGGAAACTGATTTAGGACAAGAGAAGCAGCTCCAAACACCTGCTGAAGGGGCTTCCAGGTGGACGATATATCAGTGCTACCCAAGAAGATTTTTGAGTGACTGCATGGAGGAAGCCAGCTATGCTTCTCAGTCTGTGTTTTGTTTGTATATATTAGAGCAAACAACTAAAATAATGTCGATTAATCACATTATTTGAAGGTAATCGTGATTAATTGCATTATCTTGTGTGATTAATGCATTATTTTGTGTAGTAAATATATTTTCTGTACTTACTTGCAATAAGTCATGTTATTTTGCATCGTTAATTGCAATTAATCGCATTATTTTATGCAGTTAGTGTTTTATTTGTACATATTAGGGCTGTCAAACAACTAAAATAATGTCGATTTATCATATTATGTGAAGTTAATTGCGATTAATCACTTTATCTTGCATGATTAATTGCATTATTTTGTGTAGCTAATCCCAATAATTATAAGTATAAATAAGTAAATTATGCAGTTAGTGTTTTGTTTGTGTATATTAGGGCTGTCAAATCATTATTTACATTGTCTTGTGTGATTAATCGCATTATTTTCTGTAGCTAATTTCAATAATTATATATTCTGTACTTACTTGCAAATAGTGATGTTATTCTGTGTAGTTAATTGCAACTAATCACACTATTTTATGCAGTTAGTCTTTTGTTTGTAGTATTTTGTCTGTCAAACAACTAAAATAATGTCGATTAATCATATCATTTGAAGTTAATCGTGATTAATTGCATTATTTTGTGTCGCTAATCCCAATAATTATATTTTCTGTACTTACCTGCAATTAGTCATGTTGTTTTGTGTCGTTAATTGCAATTAATTTTACGTAGTTACTGTTTTATTTGTATACATTAGGGTTTTCAAACAACTAAAATAATGTCAGTCATATTATTTAAAGTTAATCGTGGTTAAGCGCATTATCTTGTCTGATTAATTGCATTATTTTGTGTAGCTAATCGCAATAATTATATTTCCTGAACTTGCAATTAATCATGTTATTTTGTGTAGTTAATTGTGATTAATCCCAGTATGCAGTTAGTGTTTTGTCTGTATATATTAGGGCTTTCAAACAACTAAATGAATGTCGATTTATCATATTATTTCAAGTTAATAGCAATTAATCACTTTATCTTGTATGATTAAATCGCATTATTTTGTGTAGCTAATCCCAATAATTCTATTTTCTGTACTTACTAGCAATTAGTCATGCTATTTTATGTAGTTAATTGCAACTAATCACACTATTTTATGCAGCTCGTATTTTGTTTGTATGTATTATGTCTGTCAAACAACTAAAATAATGTCGATTAATCATATCATTTGAAGTTAATCGTGATTAATTGCATTATTTTGTCGCTAATCCCAATAATTATATATTTTCTGCACTTACCTGCAATTAGTCATGTTGTTTTGTGTCCTTAATTGCAATTAATCACATTATTTTATGCAGTTACTGTTTTATTTGTATACATTAGGGTTTTCAAACAACTAAAATAATGTCAATTAGTCATATTATTTGAAGTTAATCGTGGTTAATCGCATTATCTTGTGTGATTAATTGCATTATTTTGTGTAGCTAATCGCAATAATTATATTTTCTGTACTTGCAATTAATCATGTTATTTTGTGTAGTTAATTGTGATTAATCCCACTATTTTATGCAGTTAGTGTTTTGTCTATATATATTTTATATACTTTCAAACAACTAAATGAATGTAGATGAATCATATTATTTGTAGTTAATTGCGATTAATCACTTTATCTTGTTATCTAGCTAATCCCAATCATTTTCTGTACTTTCCTGCAATTAGTCATGTTATTTCGTGTAGTTAATTACGATCAATCGTGATTAATCGCATTATCTTGTGTAGCCAATCCCAATAATTATATTGGGAGTGGTCTAGGCTGAAACCCAGCTGCAGCAGGCTGTATGTTCTTCTGCGTAGCACAAAACACACTTGGATAAAAAATGTCTCAAGTGAGAAAGGCGTGGGCGAGTGTCCTTAAGTGAGCTCAATTGTGCAAGTAATTGATCCAAAGAAATTCTACCCTTTAAAAACAAACGAGCCCGGAATCCGTCCTGGGTCCCGACTCGTATTCAAAACAAGGAGGAAAACTCCCACCGAAGCTTGACTGGTTGAAGAAACAAGAACAAATCCCTCATCAAGGACTTGACAGACACCTTTGACCTGAGGCCAAACATCTGGCACGAAACTGCAACCACTCTGCTGAGCCAGGCGACACCACACCAAGGCCAAAGCGTCTGACGCTGTGAAAGCAGCTGCTGCCTGGCAACCAAACAAACTTCTCCTGGGTTTCGAAGGCAGTTTGGGGCAGAACAGGCCTAATGTGCTATTTAAACACAATGACATCACTGCAAGAGTATCTGCTTCCTTGCGCATCAGCAGTTTCAGAGGTTGGCGCAGTGGGAATTGGGAGCGTGTCTAGGGAGAGTTTCAGTAATCCAGGTCACTGAATTGTCCAGTGGTTAGTAAGTGAAGGCGACGGGACACATGGTTTTGTTCAGCGATGCACCAAAATGAAAATTCCTGGCCAAAACTGAAGTGGAAATTCAAGACAATTCAAGGCTGAAAACCAGATTTAATCTGCTGTTCTATTTAGGCTGTTATAAACATAAAAAGTAATACAGAAAACACTTTTTAATCAATCAATTCTGCTTTCAATAAGACAAAACTGAGCTGATAACCTTACTAAAATGGCTACAGTATTTAGGCTACAGCTTGTGCCAAATCCAGCATCCTCGACAACAGAGTCATCCAAGGCGTTAAACCTAAAGATTATTTTTATTTATAATTTGCACTTTTTCTCTGTTGTTTGTCAATTTTTATTCCACATCAAAACCTGTGGCTACGGATGGCGTCGGCTCCCGTAAACCTTCCTTTCTGCTTCTGTTGTTTCGCTGTGTTCTGCGTATCGAGCCGGATGTCGTGTATTCAAGTGCTATCAAGCCTGTAGTGGAGACACTGTTGAGCGTCGTCCCATCTTCTGATACCTGCAGTGAACAGAGATTATTAACGTCTTTTCTAATTTCCCTTGTAAGAACCGTGAGACCGTTCCCTCCGGCCACTGTTGATCTACTGCCGCTCAAACTGTTTGAATGTGTCCAATCCAAACGGTTCCTTTCAGTCCTATTTAATCTTTTGTTTTTTCAGCCAGTTTTTTTTTCAACCAGAAAACCCAAAGAGCCACTTTCGCCCATTTTTAGCCAAAATTGTTTGGCAGCCAAAATGTTAGTGAGTTCCTAATACTGTCTGATATCTGAATGTGGTTATACCAGAAGTCAATTCGCCTCGACTCACTACTACCAGACGACTGCATTATACAGCGCTGTGCACTCCAAAAACACTTGGGTTGTGTTTTTTTTCTACCCAAATGCTGGGTTGACCCTGTTGGGTTGGGTTTGTTTGGTTATTTCCACAGTGCTGGGTAGTTTTAGGTTTTTGGGGAGCAGAGCCGCTGGTTAGTGACCGTGCTACAATAAGAGTTCATTTTTAAATCATAACAGCGCTGGTTAGAACCGAGTCGGTGAAATGGCTCCTCATCAGGCAGCAGGACGGAGTCACAGCTGACAGAAATCACTAGGCAAACTTTCATAAAATGTAAACATTTTTATGTAGTTGCTTTATTTCAAGAAAGATCTACATGATGTGAGACTGTTGGATTAACTAACGGTAACTTTAGCTCACTATTTTTGTTTCCACTGTCTTATTGGAGGCTCACTGACAGTCAGATATGATATTTTACAGATATGATACTTTATTGCTGAATATTAGGTCATTTTTAATCAGACATTACTATGATATTTGACATTTGATATTTGCTTAATAACTACACAGCTAACCTAGCTAACGTTGGTAAATCAATTAAAAAAAGGTGCCGAATACAAAACGTGTCATGTTTTTTGTTCGTCTTACATTCTGTTTTTAATTAGTGGACGTAAATGGGAGGAACGAGGGATGAGAAAATGACACATAGAGGAGTGTGGGTCAGTACTGCTGTGGATTAGAGCTTGGGGACCTGCCCTGAGTGAGTACATGCAGTTTGGTGGCTTCCAGGTAAAGGAAATAATAGAGCTGGGGTTTGGGCAAAAATGAATGGGACTCTATGGAAGAAACAAGGGATGAGAAAACGACACAGAGGAGTGCGGGTCAATATAGCTGTGCAGCAGAGTTTGAGTATATAAAGTTTGGTGGCTGTAGGGCAACAAAGTAATAGAGTTTTGGTGTGGGGCGAAAATGAATGGGAGTATATGGGAAAAAATCAAAGAAAAGAAAAAGACAAACAGATGAGTGCGGGTCAGAACCACACTGAATTTGTGCTCAGGGGCCTGCCCTGAGATATACCATACCAAATGCCTAGCAACACCATAGCAACCACCTGGGATCCTATAGCAACCACCTTGGATAGCATAGCAACCACCTAGCAACACCACAGCAACTACCTATCAACAACCTAGCAACCATATACAATACCATAGCAACTCCCTGGCAACACCTTAGCAACTGTTCTCAAATCGCTTAAGCTGCACAATCACTCCGCATTTTCTTCAGGACATGCACTTTTCTAGTTTTGGTCATTTTCTCTTTTACAGGTTGGAACAAACATGCTGGAATATCTGCAGCAGGCTGAGAAAAAGACTATAATTTTTATAAAATTATTTTTTAAATTATAATTTTGTTTATAAGAGAAAGATTTTTTTAATATTTAATTTTTTTTATTTAATTTTTTAAATTAACAGTTTGTCATTACAGACCAGTATTCTGATTCTACATTGATTTTATTAAGTAAAAGAAAATAATATGTATTGTTGAAAATGTAAAATTTTGTAATTTCAAATTTAAATCATGGAAATGTAAAATTAGAAACAAACAAACATAAAAAAGTCAGACAAACCCAACCACAGAGTTCAAATGAACCCAGTGCTGGGTCAGATCTTAGGTTGTAGGGTTATTTATATGACCCGGTGATGCTGGGTCAGACCCAGTGTGTGTTCTGTTATAGTGACTCAGCACAAATTAGCTTGTTTTTCTCCCAGCATTTGTTTGAGTGCAGCGGTCACAGAGTGGAGTGGTGAGCGATGTCTAACCTTACGCTCGGGGTCAAAGACCATGTCGAACTCGTAGCCCGTCTGAGCCAGCCAAAACTCCGCCCCCTCCAGAGAACCGTACGAAACCATCAGAACCTGCACCGACTGAGCCTCTAGAAGAGCCTGGGAGAGACAGGAAGTGAAGGTTTCCTGGCGCTAAAGAAAACCAGAAAATGTTCCAAATGGAAATGAAATTCCACAGATTTTGGCAACCGTGACATTGCACAGCAGGACTCGGCCAGGGAATGCAGCACAACATGGAAACAAATAAGGTGAAACGAGGACAGCGAGGTCAGCAGTGCCTCGATTAAAAATAAAACTGAAACCACAGCGATTAAAAAACAATCATGAATAAAATTAAGGACTGACCAATATAGAAATGGCCAATATAACCAATAACATACAGAGGTGCTTAAAAGTTTGTGAATCCTTTAGAATCTTCTATATTTCTGCATAAATTTGACCTAAAACTTCATCAGATTTTCACACAAGTCCTAATAGTAGATAAAGAGAACCAAATTAAACCTATTACAGATCTGTGAGTGGCAAAAGTATGTGAACCTTCGCTTTCAGTATCTGCTGGGACCCCCTTGTGCAGCAATAACTGCAACTAAACATTTCCAGTAACTGTTGAATAGTCCTGCACATCCGCTTGGTGTAATTTTAGCCCATTTAGCCCATTCCTCCATACAAAACAGCGTCCACTCTATGATGTCGGAGGGTTTCCTCCCATGAACTACTGGTCAGGACTTTGACTTGGCCATTCCAAAACATGAACTTTATTCTTCTTTAACTATTCTTTGGTAGAACTGCCTGTGTGTGCTTAGGGTCGCTGTCTTGCTGCATGACCCACGTTCTCTCGAGTTTCAGCTCATGGACAGATGTCCTGATATTTTCCTCTAGAATTTACTGGTATAATTCAGAGCATATTGTTTCGTCAATGCTGGCAAGCCGTCCTGGCCCAGATGCAGCAGATACTACCACCACCATGTTTCACAGACGGGATGAGGTTTTTATGCTGGAACGCAGTGTTTTCCTTTCTCCAAGCATAACGCTTCTCATTTAAACCAAAAAGATCTATTTGGTCTCTTTCGTCCACAAAACATTGTTCCAACAGCCTTCTGGCTTGTCCATGTGGTCTTTAGGAAACTGCAGATGGGCAGCAATGATCTTTTTGGAGAGCAGCGTCTTTTTCTTTGCGGCCCTGCCATGCACACCACTGCTGTTCAGTGTTCTCCTGATGGTGAACTCAGGAACCTTAATATTAGCCACTGTGAATCCGGCCTTTAGTTGCTTAGAAGTTACCCTGGGTTCCTTTGTGACCCCGCAGACTATTACACGTCTTGCTCTTGGTGTGATCTTTGTTGGTTGACCACTCCTGGGGAGCGTAACAGTGGTCTTGAATTTTCTCCATTTGTACACAATCTGTCTGACTGTGATTGGTGGAGTCCAAACTCTCTAGAGATGGTTTTGTAACCTTTTCCAGCCTGATGAGCATCAACAACTCTTCCTCTGAGGTCCTCAGAAATCTGCCCCGATACACTTCCACAAACATGATTGTGAAGGTCAGACTGTGATAGATCCCTGTTCTTTACATAAAACAGGGTGGTCACTCACACCTGATTGCCGTCCCATAGATTGAAAACACCGGACTCTAATATTACCTTCAAATTATCTGCTAATCCTAAAGGTTCACATACTTTTGCCACTCACAGATATAATATTGGATCATCTTCCTCAATAAATAAATGACCAAGTCTAATATTTTTACCTCATTTGTTTATTTTGGTTCTCTTTATCTACTTATAGGACTTGTGTGCAAATCTATTCTTAAAATCCGTCAGGCATTAACATAAATAAAGAAATAAAAAAACTGACCGCAGCCTCTATTTTACCTTGTTGTCCTGAAGCTCGGTCAGGTGATCTCGTCACGGCAGTCATCCGAAATGCCTGAGCAGAACCAGCAGGAGTTTCTGCCCTTTGCCCAGATACTGACCCAGAGAAACACTCCTACACACAGACACACAGAGGGGGGTCAGTATACACATCTGAAAATCTTCCTCTACACAATGTTGGCCAGAGAGCTGTAAACAAAACCATCTGCTCTCACTGGTCCTTGCCTGTGTTTTGGGTAACAGGCCACTGCTGCGAAAGCATCACTGCGGTCCAGTTAAGTCCAGTAAGGGCACCACTACCACTGAGGGAGCTCATGTAAAGTTTCAGACTTCCTGTAAGACTGTTTCTGGTTAGACTGTTCCTCGCCTAGTCTGGAAAAAGTCAAAAAGTCTTATGAAAATTAGTTGAAAGTAATGATATGTAGTAATATATATGGTCAACCTGACAATATATAAATTCCCAACAGTCTAATGAAAGTTACATCATCAGTAAAAACATTATTACATTATTAGTTAAGACATTGTATGTGCTGCTGGCATCCAATTCAAAATGGGCATATATTTTTCAAAAAGCAGTAAATTTTCTCAGTTTCAACATTTCAACTATTTTCAATTAGATAAAGGGTTTAAATGATTTGCATTTTGTTTTTATTTACATTTTGCACAGCGTCCCAACTTTTTTGGAAATGGGGATGTATTATGTTATTAAGTTGATAAATATCTCAGTTTTTTTACATTTTTGTTCAAGTTAAAGCTCAAAATCTTATAACGTTTCTGACTGTTATTACATTATTGGGAAATTATCACATTATTGGGATCTACACATGCTATAATTGCCCAAATGAGAAAAGGGACACACTACATTGCGGACTGGGTTCTCTTTAGCTTGTGGTCACACGATTTCTCACATGAATCTAGTGTTAACAGTAAACACAAACAGCAGTCGCAACAATGGACGTTTGGTTTTATGTGTAGTCAGCTGACTCTAGTGACACCACAGGATGATTGCGTTTGACCAATCAGAGGTCTGCAATATTTCGAACTCCGCCTGTACGGTCTGGCTCGACATTGAGTGCGTTTACATGCACTTAATAATCCAATAACTGCAGAAAATCAGATTTGGTCAGTAATCTGATTAACGCGTTTACATGCACTTGAGTAATCAGATAATGCGAAAACTCCAGGTCTACATGAGTCAGACAGTAATCAGATTTCTGTCTTGCAACCAGCCAATAAACTCACAGAAGAAGACGAGACGTAAACGTAACGTAAAACTCAAAGTTCATGCCGCAATTTTTTTTTTTTAAACATCGCGCCACTTTTCCTGAAAATATGAACATACATCATCTAGAAGATGAAGAATATTTAAATCCTTCATTTCGCCTGCTTATTTCTGGTACAGCGGTCTGTTTTCGCACATGCGCAGACTGAGAAATGCGAAAGAAATCAGAGTAAGAGTTCACATGAACTGAGACATCTGATTACTGAGCTAAAATCCAGCTCTCTTTATCAGATTTCTTAATCGGATTTCTAGACCTTACTCCGATCTAAGAAATCAGAGTGTGCAGACCATTTGAATAATCAGATAACTGCAGAAATCAGATTATGATCAGATTATTGAGTGCATGTGAACGCACTCACTCTTGGTACCCTGGTGAAAAGGGTAACTGAGCAGCACAGGTGCTCAAGTACAGTACATTTTACTTCACAATAGAAATGACAACTAAATGCATAATCATGGATTTGTGACCGCACCGTACTGTAGTGCACTGCCCGGTGGGAATTACCCAAATGACCAATAAACCACATTCCTGGGTCAGAGAGCACACACTGCTGAAAGCCTTTCGAAGACCTACATAGGTGCAACTGATCTTTGCAAAATTATAATTAGCATGAACTGAATCTTCTCAAAACTTACCTCCATCAGGCAGAAGTGGCCGTATATTAATCTGGATTATTTGGAGAATGCTGGAAAGATTTCAAAGAGCAAATTGCACAAGTCAAGCTTTTGATGTATGCTAGCACCTGTTAGCATGACCTTCCCTGTTTTACTGAGTGGACAGATATAAAGGCACGTTCGTCAGTGAGGAGCGTGATACTCACTCTTTAGTCCTGACGTCTGTGAGCTGCATGTCAGGGCTCAGTGCGTGTGCTGGTGGAACGACAGAAAGAGTCTGGTCACTCATCTGAGTCTGACAGTCCAAACGGGTCAGAAACCCATCCCACTCTGCCTGTCAATCAAACATAACACATTCAGGAACCGGTCACCCTCAATAAAACCAGTCAAATGCAATACATTGAGAACCACATCCCACTCAATACAACCAACTGAAGGCAAAACAAGCTGAAACCCCTCCCACTCAATACGACCAATTAAAGACGATACATTCAGAAACTCCTCCCTCTCTACATGAACTCTTTGAATTCTCCTTTAACACGCTTTTAATCAGTCATCACATTCGTCTGCTAAGGGAAGGGGATGCGAAGCACAACCCAGGCTATACAACGGTCTGTATTGCATGCAATTACACATTTCGACCAGAGGGGTCTCCAAATCCCCAAATCTTACATAGTGCAGCTTTGAGTAACAACAGTAGTCACTGCTGTAACTGTATGGATGAAGAAATTGCCAATATATATATATATATATATATAAAGCAATAATAATATGCTAATTAATACCAAATATGTGAATATATCTAAAAAATTTGATACTATATTATAGTCTTAAGTATCACATACTTCTAACTGCAGTAAGTCTTCAACATGGTCCCGGACCTCCGCATTCCTAATGGACAGAACACCGTGTTGAAAAAAGAAAGAAAAATAAAACAAGCATTATTACTCCGTCATACAGTGCAGCCACAGAAACTGTACAATGCAATAAGGTGCCTCTTAATACTGATATTACTGATTAAAGACATTTTATTTCCATTTCAAGTTACAATAACTCTTCGTCTTTCAGATTTCGCTGTTTTTATTGTGTAATTTCACAATGTGGGTCAATGTATGTTAAATAAAATGCTGCTATAATAAAAAAGTTTTTATTGTTACTGGAAGTATTGCTCCCACAGGGCTTCAGCTTCTCCCCTGGTTTTCACCGAAAGACTGAAAAACATCAAAAAGGGGGACAGTCTTAAAGGGGACCTTCACCAGTTTCTCAAAATGTCTGCATAATTCAACTGCTGCGTTCTAAACAAAGTCATTCAGAGTGATTTGATGTGAAATGGTTCATTGTAGAGAAACGTAAAGGCCAGTTGTCACAGTGTCCACAATGGATATAGCCATTTTATTAACTATCTACACTGACCAACAAACCTGCACATGAGTTTTTATATGTAACACTGATAACAATAAAGTAGTGGAAAATACAAAAAAATCCATTTTCTACAGGTACTATTTTGCCTAATAACACCCTGCATGTACCTCTCCTCCATGAATGGTGTGGAAAATTACATTTTAAGCCAAAACTTTATTATACAAGTCATAAAAGTCTCAGGCATATCTGTAACCATTTTGCCTAATAAGCTTTCTGAGCAGGAGCTTATGGAGGTGGACGTCTGGTTCCTATCACCACCACTGTGAACAGTTCTGGCTCAGTGCATTTCTCTTTCACATCAAACCACTCTGAATGACCACAGAAATTTTGAAAAGTCAGTGGAATTCCCCTTCAGGTTAGGGTTAGGATTAGGGTTAGGGTTAGGACAAATCATCATTCAGCAGATGCTGTTAACAATACGCAAGACGAATGGAGCAAAATGCAAAATGCAGGAAGCCTGATTGTACCTGCTGAGGAAGCTGGCACCTGCTGCCATCAGGCCGAACAATGGATGGAGTTTCTGACCATCAATGTTTTGCTGAGATCCACCTGAAACAGACAGAAACACTTATGAAAAAGATCTGCTGGAGTTTTTATAGGATTCACATAGCAGCACACATTCACCCATCAGCCATAACATTAGAACCCCCCCCCTTGTTTCTACACTCACTGTCCATTTTATCAGCTCCACTGACCATATAGGTGCACTTTGTAGCTCTACAGTTACAGACTGTAGTCCATCTGTTTCTCTGCATACTTTATTACCCTGTTCTTCAGTGGTCAGGACCCCCATGGACCCTCACAGAGCAGGTACTATTTGGGTGGTGGATCATTCTCAGCACTGCAGTGACACTGACGTGGTGGTGGTGTGTTAGTGTGTGTTGTGCTGGTCTGAGTGGATCAGTCACAGCAGTGCTGCTGGAGTTTTTAAACACCTCAGTGTCACTGCTGGACTGAGAATAGTCCACCAACCAAAAATATCCAGCCAACAGCGTCCTGTGGGCAGCGTCCTGTGACCACTGATGAAGGACTAGAGGATGACCAACACAAACTGTGCAGCAGCAGATGAGCTATCGTCTCTGACTTTACATCTACATGGTGGACTGACAAAGTAGGAGTGTCTAGTAGAGTGGACAGTGAGTGGACACAGTGTTTAAAAACTCCAGCAGCACTGCTGTGTCTGATTCACTCATACCAGCGCAACACACACTAACACACCACCACCACCACATCAGTGTCACTGCAGTGCTGAGAATGATCCACCACCCAAATAGTACCTGCTCTGTGAGGGTCCATGGGGGTCCTGACCACTGAAGAACAGATGGACAACAGTCTGTATCGTAGGTCTACAAAGTGCACCTATATGGTCAGTGGAGCTGATAAAGTGGACAATGAGTGTAAGTCTTGTTTGAATGGACAGAGAAATGAGGAAGCCGTTCAGGGAACCAGGCAGCTGCACCGTCAGAAGCAGAAACAGGGGGTGAATCATTCCCTGAACAAACCAGAAAACATGGAACAACCTTAACCCAGCTACAGTTACTGTAAACACAGCTGAAGAGACGAAGCTCGACTTCGCTTCTTATTCGAATTCCCCGTTCCACCTTAAATGGTGCAGCCGCCGGGACCATCCACTCATTCAGTCTATGCGCCAGACTGTAACTGCTGAGTCATTTAAGGTGGAACGGAAGTTTGAATGAGAAGCTGCTGATAGTTTATCAAAGCAGGCTGCAGGTCAGTGAGCGACGCTGTTCGACTCACCCGCCGCTCCGTCTTTCTCCACACTGTCCAGCAAAGTGCGGCCGGTGCTGACCAGCTCTCTCAGCGCTCTAACCAGCGCGTTTTCATCCACGGAGCTGGACATTTTAGCCTTTATTTAAGGCGCGTTTCAGAAGAAACACACCAAAGTCGCGGTCTGTCGTCCAGCAGGTCTACGTGACACTCTTTACGCGCCACCTAGCGGCCACAGCGTGAAGCTGCAGCTCAGCACTGCACGATACGATACGTTTTGATATTCAGGGCAACGATTCGATATTTGACAATATTTAAAATGTTACGATACTTTTCGAAATAAATGTACAGTTTAATATACAAGGCCAACAAATGTTTATCTGCAAAAAATAGGGAGATGGAAAATGTAAAGAATTTGGAAACATATTTGTAAAAAAAAAAGAGCCTAATCTGTAACTTTAAATTGAAAGGGGCTGTAATAGCCAATAACCGTGACACTTTCCAGCTATGCGATACATTTTCTCTCAGTAATTTATGAACAATATATCCAGTTAAATATTACATTTTCATATTTAAGGCAACAACTTAACATTTCATGGTATTTCTAATGTTATGATGCAGTTATATGACTTTACAGATCATTTTTACATCAGATACTTGGTGATATGATCCCTCTCATTAATATACAGTCCATTATTTTCGAAGGTTCGGGCTCCCCTGGTCAATTTGTATATTTTGTTGATTTTTTAAGTGAAAAAAAGGGAACACATCATCTACAGAGACACACCTCTGCACAATTTAACACACAATTGCTGTTTATTTACTGAATTTAACATATTGGTGGAAAAAAAAGAAAACAAAATGTACTCTGTGCACAAAATGTAGCAATTAGCACAATGTATTTATTTATTTATTCATTCTACATGTTATTTTCCCCTCATTGTTAAACTCAGCAAAGAAATTGTGCTGTGAAATTTGCATACAAAATATTTGTTTGTTCTCTGTAGAGGATTTGACCAGGGGTGCACAAACTTTTGCATACAACCAATCTCTCCTGCTGGAATTTAAACTCTTTTTACCCTCATTGTTCAAATGTTTCTAGCTGTTTTGCAGCCTCATAAGACGGTTTATATATGTGCACTGGACTGATACAATCATGTAACCTACCTCTAAATGAAATATACATTTTCATAGCTACGCTGACACCCAGTTATACATTTCCATTCCCTCTGATGATCAAGACAGACTAACCAGCTGTGTGTCAGATATTTCTCAGTGATGTCGCAAAATTGTCCACAATTAAATTCACGAAAAAACTGAAATACTGATCGCTGGTACAGAAACTCAGAGAAAGCTGCTTTATGAGAAACTTGGTTCTTTAGCTTCATGAACCAAACCTGAAGTAGGAAACCTGGGTGTGATCTTAGACCCAGAGCTCTGTTTTATCCTGCATGTAAACACAGTCACTAAAGCAGCTTTTTATCATTTGAGAAATATGGCAAAAGTTTGGCCTTTTCTATCTCAGAGCGACGCAGAGAAGCAGAGTTGATCACTGTAATGGTCTACTTACTGAACCTCCTATGAAAATACATCCTTTACAACTTGTACAAAATGAATCAGCGTTCTAACAAAAACAACACAGAGAGATCAGATCACTCCCACTTTAACAGAACTGCACTGTCTGTATCGTTCAGGATAGATTTTAAAGTTCTGCTACTAGTTTTTAAAGCTCCAAACGACCTTAAAGCACCACTTACATCACAGGGTGTCTGTTTATGTTCCAGCATACACCTACAAACACCTTCAATAAAACGTGGAGAGACTCTTTCAGTTATTCTGCTTCTAAACTGTGGAACTCAATTCACCTTTTATTAGACAGTCAAGCTCAGTGCTCACTTTTAAGAAGCATCTAAAAATGCATCCCTTTAACGTAGCATTTAATTAAAACTCTACGTCTCGTGGTTTTTATCTTCTAATTTGATCTGTCATTTTCTTCTGATTCTAAATAAATACTTATAATTTCTTGTATTACTGTTTAACTTTATCACCCGTCTATGAAGCACTTTGAGCTGCCACTGGCATGAAAAGTGCTATATAAACAAAAATTATTATTGTTATTATTCTGAGTCAACATATTACAAAGCACTTTACCAGCTGTAGCTGCCTTGTTACCAGTATCAAGTTGAAAAATGCATTTCCAAAGAAAGCAGAGGCGGTTTAGTTCTTTAATCTCTTTACTGACTCGAGTCCTCCGCAGTTCTTAAAAAACTCAAGCACTGTTCAAGTTTAATTTCAGGATACGACAACGTCCTCCTCGGGAAAGTCATTCAAACCTCCAGCCTTTAAATCAATACTTAAATAAAAATCTCCACCGTAATAAAAAGAAAACCTGGTTAAAACATAACATTGATTAAAAGTTTCAAGTCAATCAGTTCAAAGGCTTTTTCAAAATAAAATACAGAGAGTGAGTCGAGTTTCAACGGACATTTTGTTCGGTCAAGTTCACAGTAGAGACAGAGAGAGAGACATAAAATAAACGCTGAAAACAGGAGGATCTGGCAAATCAGTTTCTCGGCTCCTAACAGCACCACATTCCTCCACATTCAGACACAGAGGTAAAACGATCCGTAACACCAAAATGAGGGAAAAAAAGAACACTTTCCAAAAAACAGAGGGATTTTATATCCAAAATATGGAAAGAAAACTTGCTGCACATTTTACCGCAAACCATTCTGAAGGTTATCATTTCTTTCTTCTTTAAATCAAGTGTTTGGAATCAATAAGTGGCTCTCAGTCTCATATTTTTGTACTTAATTTGACTTTTCTGCATATTTTTGTTCTTTTCTCTGCTCTCACACACACGTTTCGACTCATGATCCTATTTTCAAGCCCTTTTCGAGTTGAATGGGGTGTGAAAGCAGAGAACACACAAGGCATGAGGGTCACGTTTGCTCTCGATTTGCCTTCTCTGCCTAGAATCACTGACTAATTAAAGCGTGATTGTCAAAAGATTCTAAACATATAGGAATCTAAATAAGATCTATGAAGGAAAAATGTGTTTAAGTGTGCTTTGTTCATTTAATTCTCATAAACTAAACCATCTGGGGAAATAAAAATCAGGCATATTTGTTGTCAGGGACATTAATGTTCCCCTCAGAAGAGAAAAACACTGTTTAAGACTAAGAAGGAAAGTGGATTCACCATCTTTGCCTGCTTTTTACACTGAAGTAGCTCTTTAAATGGAAGACAGGAGAAGTAGGGGCTTGTGGAGAGAGAGAGAGAGAGAGAGATAGAGAGAGATAGAGGAGAGAGAGAGGGCGGGGGGGCAGCCCTCATCGGGACAGGACAGGGCTCCATTAGGACTTTTTCGGACAGTGGGAGGAGGAGTCTGTGTTAAGGACTTCAATCATGGTTCTGGAGAACTGGAACGTCTCTGCTACTGATGGAAGGTTCTGGTACCAACTTGGCAAACTGGAGAAGAGAGAATAGAAAGAGAACACAGGGCAAGACTGATGAGGACAGTAATATGAAAACTTATAACACTTCACAACAAGACTACCTTTATAAAGCGTTTATGAATGGTTAAAAATGAGTTCATTAGTGGTTTTTAAAACATGAATAAGCAGTTATAACATAAAAAGGGCAACAGTGAGCTGAATATCTAATGAAGTATTAATGCTAACTAAGTAAGATGACTAACCAGCTAGATCTGACATTTAGCAGTATAGATAAATATGGTCTCACTATTTGGCAAGTAACCCGCGACCCAGAACGATAAGCGGTTTAGATGATGTATGTATGTATGTATGTATGTATGTATTTGGCAAGTAACAAGTCACTGCCCTTTCTATTGTCTGTTATAACTGCTCATTAATTATAAGCAAGATATTTCAGATCTAATTAATAGTCATTAATAAAGAAATTTTAAACCACTCAGAAAGTTTTCATACGGATAGTTTTATTGTAGATAAAGATATTAGAAATATATTAGAATATGAATAAATATGCAAGGATTTTTTAGTAAAGGCAATGGTTATATATAGAAACATGAATGACAACTCAAAGAACCATTTGAACGCATTGATAAATGATTAACTAAAGAACCTTTTGGAACTGGTTCTATACAGCACCAAAAACGGTTCTGCAAAGTGGTTCAAGCGTTCAGTCTTACCTCTTTAAGTTCATCCAGCTTTTTGCCGTTTTAGTGAAGCGGTCAGGGCTGGGTGTGGTCATGGCCTCAAAGTCCACCAGCTGGAAGATAAACCATATCTGTGTCACACTCACACATACTGGGCGCTGTTCTCTTACAGAGCAGTAAAACGACTGAAAATGCTGATTAATATCTGTTCTGTGTTGGCAGAAGGTTTAGTAGTTTATTTTTTGCACAATGTAAAATACACACAAATAAACAAAGATAACATAAAACAGTGTAGGGAGAGGCAAAAAACATAATAAGCTCATATAAAACCTCCACCTAAATAATATAAACTACAACTACAGTACAAAGTATCACTGTCCCGGGTTGGTGGTATTGTGTGATGGGGGGTGGGGTGGAGACCTAATTACTGGGTGGAATTGGACTAAATTGAGGGAAACTGGGAAAAATGACAAAAGAGCAAACTTCAAACATCAAACATGTCTTGGCTGATGAAACTCCTTTAATCTGTGTGTTAGAGTCAAACTAACCTGTACTGATTCTATAGCTGTATTTAAACAGCATTAAAAAAAAAAAAAAACAGTGTTAAGACGGCCTCAAAACAACAGACTACAAATCAAGACAGAGCAAGGTTATGTAAGCTGTGATTATCCACACATTCAGGCAAAGAATCAAAACAGATTTTGAGTTTCAACTTAAAAAAGGAGCAGGAGTTAAACATGTTAAGAGCCAGTTTGACCGCACCTTTCCAGACGGGATTCTGCCTACGACCTCTTTGCCACTCGCCATCAGCGCTCCCATCACCACGGAGTACGCCACGATGCTGCCAGACAGACAGACATGAAAAATCCTTAACATGTATAAATGCTAAAACAGCCTGTATTTGTCAGAAGGTGAGAAGCTCCACTCACGGCCTTTTTAGCATGTGCAGTAAGATTGCAGCAGGTTTTTAGTATTTTAATACAGTCCTTATTTCATTGTTTGTATTAGATGGCAATCTATTGTATCATTTCTATACTGTTACTGTTTTCTATATTTTCTGTATGTCTCATTGTGTCTGTAGCTCTGTTCAGACTGTACTGCAGGGCGAGTGAGTTTCTAGTGGGTTGTATTTTCTACGAACCTAAACATTTGCATTGCAAATGGTCACATGATCATAGAAAACTAAAAATGGATGACATCGTCAGTATAAAGAAATCCTTTATATGTGTAGCTGCCTTTGTAACCACCCTTGAAATCTGGCTGTAGGACCCTAGTAGGACCCTACTTTTCTGACTTTCTCCTCTGCTAATGTTCTCCTGGTGTAGAGAGGATGGAAACTAGGTTGTACAACCCACACCAGGGGTCGCAACCCAAATATTAAGAAGCGCTATTTTGTCAAGTTTCAACAAAAAACAAACCACCTTGGGAGCCACAACATTTCATGTCCATTTTATTGAAGCAACATTTCACCGTCTTGCCTGTAAATATATCTCAGTATGTGCTGATATACTAGTGTAGGCTAAAAATATAATCTAAACGAAAATCCAGACTTACTTCACTCTGCTTTAAGCCTTAACTCAGCTATAGCTGCTTTTTTCACATCTCTGGCAGGAAACTTTACCGCAAAAGTACAATAGTTTCTTGTAAAATGTCTCTTAACATTCCACTTTTACGAGGCTGAAGACGCTTCTCATTCGCTTCTTCTTTGAATTTTCCTGTTCCACCTTAAAAGCACCAGAATGTAGCTAACTATGTAGCTAACTCTTGCAGATTAAACGTATCAGGAAACCAGGTGAGTGATTATAAACACTAATAAGTCCATTCGTCTCCAAATTATTGATGTTCATCCTAAAATTGTCCTTTTGCCGTTTCGTTAGCTACTAGCTAGGCCGGATTGCTGTCCGCGTTGCTATGGTGACCAGCAGTCTGTGTACCAACCTTCAGGGTTAAAGGTGAATTAGCAGTTCTACATTAACTCCAGAGTTTAAGACCCTTTATTGTTAAACTGTGTTGAACGATCAGCAGAGCTTTATTTTACTGTAAAGGAGGATTATTTTATTTTTACCTACAAATCTAATTCAGCTGTGGAGCCGCAACAGGGCAGTAAAAGAGCCACACGCAGCTCCAGAGCCGCATATTGCCGACCCCTGGCCCAGACCAAGTAAACGTTTGAAAGACTCTTCCAGAGCATCCACTGTTTCACATATCTGGAGTATTTGATATGGATACGGGTGCTAGGAGACTAATTACAGCAAGTAAGAGTGGCCAAAAACCAAACACAAGGCAACATCTTCCTTGAAAATCATATGACTTTAAATGTTCAGACCAACAGCAGGTAATTCAACCTGAGACAGAACAGACATGACCAATCTGGACGAATACAGTATCGCTGAATAGCACCTGTAAAAGAGGACATTACAAGAACCCCATATGAATTTAATCTTGCCTGAGTCAGGCTTAGGTCTGACGCCTTTTTGTTGAGCCATGCTGCAAATCAAACAAACTGAACTTCTAGGTTAGATCAAATCGCACGAATGGACACTGATCTCCATCTTCAAAGCTGTTTTTTAACAATGAATCAACTGTGGAGTTGTGATCTAATAGACGGTCAGAGTTTCAGGAGTCAACAGCTCTGCTGTGATGCATTGTTAAGTATACTGGGTAGAACAGAATGTCTCACCTGGAGCCTCTGGAGAGCGGCATGAGGTTACAGAAGTAATAGACCAGAGACAGGATTAGATTACAAACCGCATCTGCATCCTACAGAGGAAGAGAGAAGGAGAAAGGGAGAGAAAGAGCAACGTGGCGTTGATAAAACATCACATTATTAATAATACCCGCAACGAACAACTGACTGTTGACTGTTCAGCCAATAACAACTGCCTCTAAGCCAGGGGTGTCAAACTCAGCGGGTAAAAGGGCCGTATTAAAAAAAAAATCTCAACAAATCTGTCGGCCAGAGGAAAAAATGTTTTTACTTCATTTTTTATTAATGTTGTCCTGTAACCCCAACTGGCCATTATTTATTCAAAATATGCAAAAACATCAACAGTAAAATACAGACACTTGTAGAAGACCCTGAAATATTACATGGACATTTGAAATATTTAAAAATGAAATGTCCCCAGGAGCTCAGTCTATAAACCTACCTATCAGCTTGAACTTTCTTTGCTCCAAGTTCATTCAGACTTGGGCTCAGTTTCTGAGCTGCTGAGCTGAAGTTAAGTGTTTATATTGGTTGAACTGCAGCTGAAATGCATTTTGGTGATATGACTGGTGTGGAATTACACAGAATTGTGTAGAACTGAGGTGTAACCACTGTCCCATAGATTGTTGTTGGGGCAGGAGAGTCGGAGTACACTTTACGTTGCAGTGCATGCTGGGGACTGTAGTGCAGCGCATTGTGAAACGGGCTAATATTCATAGAAAATTAAAGTACTTTTGCAGGCCTGTGTTTCACACATGGGCTCTAAGCGCTCCGTGGAGTAACCTACGTGGAGGACCACACAGTTCAATGACAATTAACAGGTGGAATAATACAGGCTAAAGTCAGCTAAACTTGTCTGAGTTACTGTGTTTATTCAACACTCCTTTTAAGATTATCTAATCTAATTATAAATAATGTTGCAGAACAATCCGTAAGATTCAACTTGGCAACTATTTTGAATATTATTATAACTGATTATTACATTTCAATGCAGTTCAATTTCTATCACTCATTCAAGAAGAACAGGTGTAACAAGCAACAGTCAAGTGAATCAGTAAAATCCACTGGGCAGCAGCTGAGACGGACACTGACAGTGATGGATGGGTCTGTGTACGTGTGCATGAGAAAGAGCCTCAGGCATCTAAACCGTGAACCCTCACTCTTCCACACTGATACTCAGGAGAGCAGGTTAAGTGAGTGCAGAGGGCAGATCAGAGAAACTTAACATCTGCTGCTGTAACTTAAGAAGAAAAATATGAAAGGCCTTCTGAACTAGTCTATTCATCATTCATCAGTGGACAGTGCAGCTGGTGTTTTCCAACACAGAGGTGGCAGTCAGTGTTGGGGATAATGCAATACAAAGTAACACATTACTGAAAATCTGAAAATGTTTTGAGATATCACAGGAAAAAAGAAGAAATGAATAAAGTACACACACACATACACACACACACACACATTTTCTTCCCAAATAAAACCATTTTAATTATTTTAACTGCTTACACCTATTTTTTTCACTTTTAACAAAATTTTTTAACCAAATTTAATCTGGATTTTTGTCATGCAAAATAGTAAAACCAAAACTAAACAATATGCAAATAAATCTATGTTAAACCTGCTTTCTAACACTAGCCCTGTGGGCCTGGTAAGGCTTTTTCAGCAGCTTTTATGTTCCACCTTAAATGGTGCAACAGTTACATTCTGGCACCAGTCATGTGCGTCTCATATACTCATCCCTCCGACTGTCCAACACAGCCAGAATTTGGAAAATATTACATTTATTTAATCTATCAGTATCAGCTAGTCATTGACCAATGCCTCGAGACCGTGCCATAGTCTGATGCAGCTGACTAAGTCAGGCGGTGGAACAGGAAGAGTAGTAATCACTCTGGGGTTAATGTTAGGCTATTTATTCCCACATAATTTTGGACCGTTACTATTGGTCTGTTCATAATGAAACATTCACAAAATGATGCGCAAATATAGGTCAATACTAATATCTAATATTTTTCATGTACATATCTGCCAAGGCTGATACATAAACATTTACAAAATGTAGAGATTGAGGCCGAAGTGACTTGGATTAGCATTACAGAGGGATGCTAACATTTTAGAGCAGGCTCGTGGCACGATCCAATTCGGCCCTCGAAATAGTTTTGATTTTCTATTAATATTAGCCTATTTCACTGTCAGCAGCACTACAATCCCCAGCATGCCCTGCAACGTAATTTGAGCCGACACCCCACTCCCAACAACAATCTATGGAACAGCAGTTTTCTACCCATTTGCACGTCGTAACACCAAACACACCAGCTGTGTTTCAGCTGCAGTTCAACCAACATAAACACTGTAAACACTATAAACACTCAGCAGCTCAGAAACTGATCCCAAGAATTAATGAACTTGCAGAAGGAAAAGATGTCAGGTGTGGAGATCAAGCACACAGGTAGGTTTAAAAGACCTACATACTGGAACCATTTAAAAAGATTTAATAGTTATTTGTAGCTAATGTAGCCTAAATATATCAAGTGTTCACATATATTTGAAGGTTCACTATAAATGGCTACATTTTGCTGTTGACATTTCGGCATATTAAAATATAAACACACTTTGAGCCTCAGATTTATTGGGATTTTTTAATATGGCCCTTATAGTGGCTGAGTTTGACACCCCTGTTTTAGAGGATTAGAAATGCAGTAAAATGAATTTCAGTGCAGAAACTCAATGTTCTGCTGTTCTGGAGTGCAACAGATACATCATCAATACTGGTGTGAAATATCTAAAAATCTGTCCAATGATCATTTTTCAGCAATTATCTACCAAATTCCAACATGATACCAATTTTACTGCACATCCTTACTGTTTACAGATGTAGTACTGAATGTGTACAGTCACCTGTGTTTGTACAGACTCATTAATTAAGACTGATGACAGATTTAAATGCTTTTGAAATACTGAAACATGCTAATAAATCCTTCTTGAGTTGAGTAAAACCTACCCCTAGTTCAGAGGAGAGCACGAGTGCTTTTCCTTTAGCCGTCAGGTCTTTATAAAGGGCTTCGATCTCAGACTGATACTGCTGTGTCCTCTCCTCTGTCGTCTGGGTCTCCACTGAAAACAGCATGTTCCCCACACTGGACATAAAAAACACACAGAAAAAACACCATTAATTAAAAATCTCACTCTGAAACAATAAAATTACATCATATCAGATGATATCTCTGTGTACACAAAGGAATACAGTTACACATTATTGTTGTTGTTATTGTATTTTCACTTAGAAAATCAACAAAACATCTCATTTGACCGTTTCCAGAACAGGATTTAAGCCTAATTCTGGATTAATTTTCAACAGCTATGTAGAATTACCCAGAGAAATGACCAAAACTAGGCCTCTGTGTACATCCTATCAGATTATAGACTTTAAAGATTAAAGACAGGGCTTGTGCTCTTGACTGGCTCTAAGGACATACAAACTACTCTGCATCTGATTCATGAAACTTTAGTGTGGCGTGGAAACAACAAATGATAAATCAGATTCAGCGCGTGAAATCAAGCGCTGACCTACTATCACCTCATTTACATATAATTAACATGAAGCACTCCCTAATTCATGCAGATGTTTCGTAGGGAGCTGATAAAACGACAGCATTCAGCGGTGCGTGAGCCGATGGCTGTGCACTGCTCCCCCTACTGACCAAACTTTATATAGTTCAAATTATGACAACTGGAAAGAATAAAACGTGAAATAAACAAAATGTTTTAGTTTTTTTAAAGCTGCATTACATGAGAATTGGTATTTTTGATCATGGGGTCCTCCTACAGTTACCGAGTGTATTTCACTTTTTTTACGCCACGATCCCAAATACAAATCACGCTTTGAGCCCCCCTCCATGGACAGCTATACACATGCATTTGTTGATTTGTTGAAGCCGAAATATAAAGAATCCGACTTCCCTGTGTGTGCTTTACTCACGATTTCGGTTATTTAAACATAGAAACAACAGAAATCATGAACGTAATCTGTAGCGTCCATATGCCTGCGTGATGATGATGCAGGAGAAAGGGAGTCGGAACTCAGCAAAGACAATCTGAAGATTACAGGGTAGAGTAACATTACAGGATTTTATTACAGGAAGTTGCAAACTTTCAAGGCTTATCTGGCGTGACATTGACAAAGACTGACCAAACGTTTTGGCGGGAGATTAATTTATTTCTTTGTATTTATTTCTTTGCATGCTAGCCTGAAACAGGATTGAGGTTAGACGACTTTTTGGCATCTGTAAAAACTACAAAACTCCACGAGACAGGGATGACACAGATGAGGTTACAGCCTACATTGTAATCTTTCAAAATAAACATTGGCAGGGATGTCGGGTTTTCAAAATTTTCCCGTTACCCGTGAGACTGTCTTGCATCCTTTCATCTCTTTCAGCTCTCACCAACAAGTAAAAGCCAGTCTAAAATCTACTCTTGTCCAGTATCTTTGCTTGGACACTCTTTTCTCTTCCTCGCTTCCTCCAATGTCTTCTTCTGTCTTTTGGCAGCCTCTGCAATGATGTCCATGCTGGGAATACAGAGCTCCTTCTTACAGCTAGCTGAAGAGCCATGGTTGTTTGTGTGTGACGTGGTGCTGTAAGGCGTTCTGTAGTTCTCGCTCCTCCAAAGTTACATAGCGCTATAGCAGGCGTTTTGAGCTGGAGTGGAAATGACAGAGACCCCATTCTCCCTATTATAAGTCAGTAAACCATCAAAATGAATTTGAAGCTGTTATTTTAAGCTAAAATTGTTACATAGTGTTGCTTTAAGACAGAAGAATGATGAGAATGTGTAGTGTATAATATTTAAATGCTGTGCTATTGCAGTGAATGAGATGATTTTACACTAGTTGTGTGTTTTGTACTGTTTAATTTGTGGGCGGAGTCAGTAGTATAAAGCACAATGTAATATATCTTTAAATAGAACTTGGTACATTTGTTTATATCAATGTATATGTAACATAAGTATATCCAGTTTTGTATTGGACTGCCATGTGCGTAAATGATACTATTATTATTTTCTATTTTTATTATTACTAGTGGTTTTATGGACGATACTGATAATAGTTTTGGCGAATCAACTGCCAAACAGGCATTTTTTTGAGTTGTTAAATGTTTACGCTGAAATTTACACACATTCCCACCAGCTGCGAGTCTGATCGCACAAATATGCTGAAGATGAAACGGATGAATCACAAATCTGTGAAATCGGTGAAATGTGTGTGTATTCATTTTACGACTGACCGTATAAAACTTTGATGGATAAGAGCCACTGTCTGCACTTAAGACAATGTTTATGCGGCTAAGGTCTATTGAATGTTTGGGATAAAAGTGTCATATGACAAGCCTGTCTTAATCATCAGGCTTGTACGACACGCCCACCTAATGTTACTTAATTTAAAATACCACATCTTTTATAATATCTACATCTTTCTATTAAATGTAGTTCTGAAAACAGAGGATTAAGTGTCCCCACACACCCCGAGGCGGAATTCAAGTTTTAATCTTTTTCACAGCTAATGTTTCAGAAGTTTCCTTCAACAGGTTGTTTTTCTTTGGCCTGCCTGCCTTTCTGGCAAAAGTGAAGCAACACTTAATATATGTCTTTTTACAAAACTAAGCCGTTTTGGACATTCGGAGCAAACTAACAGAGTCTGACTGTATAAAATAAAGCCATAATAATGAGATTTCAAATTAATATGGATGGTTTTACTGCTCTCTTCCTTTCTCTCTCTCCCTCTGGGAAATATCATGCTGTTCCAAGTGCTGTCACATCCTCCAAGCTTGATGAATCAATACAAAACCTGGACTAATACAGTCCAAATACCAGATGTCACAATCCAAATCCAGGTTTGTTGATGTTCACCATTATACACTGTCTCTTCTTATGATCCAAGGATTTCTAAGCACTTTAAAGTGATAGTTCTGCCAAAAAAAACAAGTTCACACATTGTCTGCCATCCCAACACACAACCGATCAGCCGAGACATGTTTGGAGTCTAAAGTTTACTTCTTTAGCTTTGCACTGAAGCTACAAAAGCTAATGTAGCTGACAACTAATGCAAGGTTATATCCCACCAATTAGCGGTGTGCAAACTGCAAGCCTAGATCACGCTTGTTACTTTACCCTTGATACCAATAGGACACTTGTTAGCTACATGAGCCTTGTAGCTTCCATTAAAAAAGTGGGTTTATTTATTTATTTATTTATTAATAAACAATTTTCCTCGGGGAATAGAAGCAGTTCTGCGTAATTAAACACTAGAAAGGTTAAAAGATAGACGTTATTAGAAGAGTATTCTTCTGACCGGTCTCCTGTGATGGTGATGGTAAAGCCGTCGTATTCTTTCCCAGGATCCTTCATACTGGGCACCTTCGAGTTCACCGTGAAACCATCCCTCGTTTTACTATTGAACTGCTTCAGAGACACAAAGACAGACAAGCACACAGCGTTTATGCAAGTGAAGAACATAACATACATATATATCCTTATCTGAGTTTAGGCGTGAGGCATAAATGACAGAGGAGACGTTGAAACGCACAGAAGCTCTATTTGTGTTAAATGTTTTGGTGCCTAAACTCCTGACTGAACTCGCGCAGCTCCGTCTACTAGAGCTACTAGAGTAACTATGACCCTCAGTGGTGTAACAGAGCGCTTTACCTTCATTATAGGCAGCAGATCCTCCACTTTATTCACATTCTCCAGAGCCTGTTTCACCTCCTGCAGACCCCTCGGATTATACGCCCTGAGAGAGAGAGAGAGAGAGAGAAGAGACCGAAAGACAGAGAGAGGAGAGACAGATATAGAGTTAAAGAAAGATACAGAGTGAAGAGGAAAAAGCAAAAGAGAGAGACAGAAACAGACAAAGAGAAAGATCCAGAGAGAGAGAGAGAGAGAGAGAGAGAGAGAGAGAGAGAGCAGAAGAGAGAGAGAGAGAGAGAACAGACAGAGAGAAAGATACAGAGTGAAGAGGAAAAAGCAAAAGAGAGAGACAGAAACAGACAAAGAGAAAAATCCAGAGAGAGAGAGAGAGAGAGAGAGAGAGAGAGAGAGAGAGAGAGAGAGAGAGAGAGAGAGAGAGGGGAGAGACAGATATAGAGTTAAAGAAAGATACAGAGTGAAGAGGAAAAAGCAAAAGAGAGAGACAGAAACAGACAAAGAGAAAGATCCAGGGGGAGAGAGAGAGAGAGAGAGAGAGAGAGAGAGGGGAGAGACAGATATAGAGTTAAAGAAAGATACAGAGTGAAGAGGAAAAAAAGCAAAATAAAGAAAGAGAGACAGAAACAGACAAAGAGAAAGATCCAGGGGAGAGAGAGAGAGAGAGAGAGAGAGAGAGAGAGAGAGGGGAGAGACAGATATAGAGTTAAAGAAAGATACAGAGTGAAGAGGAAAAAAAGCAAAATAAAGAAAGAGAGACAGAAACAGACAAAGAGAAAGATCCAGGGAGAGAGAGAGAGAGAGAGAGAGAGAGACCACTGGTAAAAACACAATTACCAATATCAGAAACAGAAAATTATAAATTATTATTAATCCTATTTATCTATTTATTCATTATTATTACTTAATTTGTTGTCGGTCAAGAAAAACACTAACTGCTCACCCATGATAGACTAATATTCTGTCTTTGATGAAGTTGAGGATGCTGCCGAAGTATTCCATGTATCTGATGTTGATGATCTGCCCCCTGTGAGGAAAACAAACAACACAACAGCAGATTAACACACGAACCAAAACACTGAATAATCAAACGCCTGCTGTGACAACAACAGCAATGGAGCCCCCACCCCCAATGCTTCAACAGCACAGTGTCAAGCATAACAGACACTGTGGTAAAGAGCTCTGCATCAATCAGAACATTACTATTATAAAATGGTTATTTTTATATCTAGAATCCTATATTTTCAGCTACTTCACTAATTGTTCTAATTGAGTTTTGATTTTAATTAAAAGAAAATAAGCATGTCAGACCACCAAGAAGTAATGTAAACCCCCCAAAGCATCCACTGTTCTTAGCAACTAGTGGACAGCGGGACGTTACAGTGTAAGACGAGCGTGTCGTCCCTCACCTGATGAGGTTGATGTGGTTATTGAATCCTCTGCTGAGGCTCCTTGCTGGCATCTGGTCCAACCACAGAACAGGCTGGTCTGGATCTGCAATCCTGCACACACACACACACACACACACACACACACACACACACACTCCTCTCAACATCTCTGAAAAACAAGGAGCTGCCCACTCAGTCTTAACCTGTGTTCACACTGGCAGCTACTTTTCACCTCTTGTTGCCCAAATCGCTGACCTCAAATGCTAGAGGGCGCTCCCGAGCAAGTCCAGAATGAAAGGGTACAGATGGAGCTTTTGAGCAAAATCATAGTTTATAAATGCTTAAACATTTTTAATGTAAAAGAATACATTAAATTCCTGACCACTGAACAGCATAAAACATTTTCACACTGCTGTTATATCTTTAAGAGCTTTTAAACTCCAGTTATAGGAGTTTAAAACGGTGCCTCATGTACATTCATGTCGTCAGTGAGGGCGAACAGCCAATGAACTGCTCCGCTCGCCAACCACTCAGCACTTAGTAGCAGTAATGTTAGCGTCCTGCTGCCCAAAACCCATTTGCTGTAGAAATAGGAAACATACAGGTTTTCTTTGCTTTTTCAGTGAAATAAAAAAGGAGAGTTCTAAGTGAGTGAGTAGAAACTATTTTAGCTTTTCCTTTTCAGTCGTTTCGCTCCTCATAAACCAGCTCTGGCTCAAAGCTCAATTCCTATTGGTAATAGCCACATTGCTTCGCTCCTTATTTGCATAAAGCGTCGCTGCCGGTGCGAATGCAGCGTTAGTCTCAGTGAGTCTCACCTCCTCCATTTAACCGCGATGTCGAACATGTCTCTCCACTGCAGCTGCCTGGTTTTACCGTTGACGCGCACTTTCGAGTTACTCCAGGTCCGCTGCATCGCCTGCATCACCTCAATGGTGGCCAGACCCATAGCTATAAAACCAGAGAGAGAGAGAGAGAGAGAGAGAGAGAGAGAGAGAGAGAGAGAGAGAGAGAGAGAGAGAGAGAGAGAGAGAGAGTGTATTGGTGAGTAATGGTAGTAAGCATACTTTCCTGAATGTGTTTTAAACTCCACCAATATTTCATATTTACTGCATAACTGAATGGTTAAGATGTAAACAAAGTCATTCAGAGTAGTTTGGTGTGAAATGCTGTTCTAGTTCTCCATTTAATACATTCAAGGCGGAGGGGTACATTAAGGCAAAGTAGTTCCCAAAGAAAACTTTTTTTTGTTAAATATTTTTATCACTGTGTTCACATGCCTAAATAACCTGATCATAATCCGATTTCTGCAGTTATCTGATTATTCAAATGGTCATGTAAACAGCACACTCTGGTTTCTTTGATCAGAGTAAGGTCTAGAAATCCGATTACAAAATCTGATGAAGAGAGCTGGATTTTAGCTCAGTAATCAGATGTCTCAGTGCATGTGAACTCTTACTCTGATTTCTTTCGGATTTCTCAGTCTGCGCATGTGAGAAACAGACAGTGGTACCAGCCACTTCTTCTGTGAGTTTATTGGCCAGTTGCAAAGCAGAAATCCGATTACTGCCTGACTCGTAGACCTGGAGTTTCACATTATCTGATTACAGTGCATGTAAAAGCAGATTACAGACCTGACAAAATCTGATTTTCTGCAGTTATCGGATTATTAAGTGCATGTAAAGGCACTCACTGTTTTACCCTCATCAACATTACAAATGAAAAACTCAGAAGACACATCGAGGTTCACTGGTCAATACAATGGCTATATTGTGCTGTAGATATTGCGCTCCCTGGTTTCCATCACCACCACGGTAAGTTTCTCTACAATGAGCCATTTCACATCAGACCACTCCGAATGACTTTGTTTATACCTCAACCACTGGATTACGCAGAAATGTTGAAAAATCAGTGGGATTTCCTATAAGAAAGTTTGAGAAGGACAGTCTAGAGTCTTTACAAAGACTGACTCAAACTGTCTGTTTCAGATTCACGGTGGTAAAGGTCAGTGACTGACCTCTGTGTATGCGCAGGTTGGGCAGAAACCCAGATGTGTTGTACTGCATCAGAGACCCCAGATGATCCGCCGTACAGATCAACTTCTGCACCTCCGGAGAATAACTCTCAAAGTCCTGAGGTAGAACATCTCTAAAAACATACAGAGAGAGAGAGAGAGAGAGAGAGAGAGAGAGAGAGAGAGAGAGAGAGAGAGACAGAGAACAAAAATTCAAAAAATAAATATTAAAAAATGAATATGCAGATAACAAATATACAAACTTATATACCAACAAGAATAATATCCAGATCTAGTTCTTATTAAAATTAATATTCAGAATGTAGTTTTTCCGTTATTGAAAAGCGGTTATTAAATCTCACGGCAGATAAGCCCCAAAAACTGAAATACTGAATAAAACATCTGTCTAGTACAGTAAATTTTAATGTACACTGTAGGTTATTACTGGCAATCAATCTTCATGAAGAGAAAGTAATGGCAAATATAAACACTCAAAAACAAACTGACTCTCAAACAAACTGAACTCACTTAATATGCGGCTGCAGACCAGGCTGCTCCTCATAGTCCTCAATGAGAAACGGCAGGTTTTTGGCCCAGTGGTTCTTGAAGTTTCCTGGAAGATCTTGGTCCACGTTGTATTCTGCTACAGGGATGTCCAGGTGTGAGTGCAAATATCGAGAATATTCTGCAAAGAGAGAGAGAGAGAGAGAGAGAGAGAGATGTGGGGGTCCCAGAGAGATCAGTGCCTTGTTTCATGAAGGAGTTTGAGTGACTGAGGAATTTACAGTCATGCAGCAACTACTCATAAGGAATCTTTTACGCATCGTGTGCTAAAAACAAACAAAAAAAACACAACACTTTGCAACCTATCACTGTTTTAGCCAAATCCGATCAAGAGAAAACTTTAAGTAAGCAATACTCAGAGGTGGGCAGTCATACTTTGTGGAGCAGAAGTATAAAAATCAAAAGCTCAAAAGCTGCTTAAATACAGAGTTCTCTAAAGAACTGCAGTGAAACTTCAGCATAACAATAAAATTATACCTAAAAAAAGCAAGTAGATATGAAATAACTAAATGTTGTTGACTAAAATGTAACTGAGTAATAATCTCATATTCACATTTTCATCTGCAAATACTTGAGAGAGTAAAAATCGTTCCTTTTTTTAAGTATTATTATTATTTTTAAAGTATCTCATTAATGTAACTGAGTAAATGCAACTAGTTACTACCTGCCCCTGGTAATAGCTGTGCACTTCAATCTTACATTTGGCTAGTTTCACTGCGTTTTGACAAAAGGCTGCCATATATAGGCAGGTATAAATACTACTGTACTGTATGAACTTATGAAAATTATAAGCGCATGTATTGATCTTGCACTTTACTAAAGTCCCACAGTGCCAATATTTAGATGCCGTTTAATACAATCAATGCTGAACCGTTAAAATCTCCCTTTCAGACTGAACCGGTACATCCAGTTAGCCGAGAAGTTAAATCTGGAACTAAACACTACTGATATCAAGGCTGATCTTATGGAAGAAAACATTCTGAAAGCCTGTGTGTTTCTCAGCGTCTCACCTCGGAGGTACTTGACTTTCAGATATTCGGAACTGGCTTTCTGGCCCAGCAGAGGGTCGTTGAGCATGACTTTCGTCTGAGCCTTTATGCCCTCGTAGAACTGTCCCATAGCAACGTGGCTCAAGCCCTTCATATACTGACACACCTCATTATACGGCTCCAGCTGCAGGCATCTCTGCAGGAGAAACGGATAAACAAGAGGGTCAACAACAACAACAACAAAAACAACAACAACAACAACAACAACAAAAACAACAACAAAAACAACAACAACAGGGTAAATGATTTTACCTTAATGTTCCCAAAGGCTGGGTTACGCTGTATGAATGGATATTCTGACTGCCAGTGCCAGACATACAGTACTGTTTTTAGGTTTAGACAGCCAAGAATATTGTTTATTAAACAATAAAAATCTATATAGCATCAGAGTAAACATAAACATAAAAACTGTATACCATGATTGCCATTTTAAAACATTTATTAATATTAATTTTCATAATTTTGTATCCTTTTTTGCACCCCGTATTGTTTGTAGCTTTTCATAAAGTACTTCCCACCTTCAATATACATCATCAGAAGGGGGCTTTCCTTCCCTCTTTAAACTGGGAAATAACATTTAGAACATGTCATTTTGGCCAGAGGGTCCGTTTACGCCAACACCATCACACATATAAAATCACAATGCATTGTTGACTGTTTATTTGTATTTTGCTGCTGTCGGAAGAAAACCTCATATCTCCAAAATGATAACTTTACAGGAGAAGGAAAAAACCCACTTTACTTTTAATGTAAGTCAATGGAACCAGACTTTTTTCCAAGTCATTTTGTGTCATTTCTTTTGGTCCATTCTTCATGACATTTACATACAACGTAAACGACAAATTTTCAAATTACGTCAAAAACTGAAAAAATGGAGATACGTGGTTTTGTTTCAACAGCAACAATTTATTCTAACATTAGCGTGCTTGCCTTAAAGTTGCCGATGGCGTCCTGCAGGCTGCCGTGGTGATACAGCATCATCCCTCTGAGCTGCAGAGACTGGAGGTGGTTCTGGTTCAGCAGCAGAGCTTTCTGGAAACTCTCCATGGCGTTGTCAAAATCACCCAGCTCCCTACAAACACAAACACACAAAAAACAGTCACGTTCACATAAACGGAGCGATCCTGATGAACACATGTGAACAGCACATCAGGTCCGTCTAACCTGTAGGCTTGAGCCAGGCTTTTGTGTGCATCGATAAAGTCCGACTTCAACTTCAGCGCTTCTTTAAACGTCTCAATGGCCTCCTGCACACAGACAAGGCTGCTCAAAAGAGACACTCTCCATGGTTTTATCTCACTCTGAGAGAAATTAACTGGTGAGCATAAGGAGAAAAATAATACACACAAGCATTCAGAAGCAAATGCTTCAACATAAGCAAAGAATTAATGAATTTTATAATGTGTCACTTGAAAATTTATAACTGAATAACACACAACTACAAATGTTCTATTGTTTTTTTTTTTACAGCAGTTTTGGAAAGTATACAAATAAGTAAAGCAAAGAAGCTAATGTTTTTAATAACAGCAATTTTTTTACACTGAAAAAGTAGCTCCTGCAGCACAAAGTAAAGCAACCACTGTTCATGATATAAGCATCATGGAAAAAACAAAAGCTTAGCTGTGCTGGATCACCACACCTGCAGAATGTTTCTTGGTTTTATTGTGTTGAAATAAGCATGGATGTCTAGACGTACGAGTCAGAATAGTATTAGTCAGCGTTACTAACTAATACGCCCCAAACCATGACAGAACCTGGCTTTTGAACTTTATACTGGTAACAATCTAGATGGTCCCTTTTCTTCTTTCCAATAAACACAGTGTCCATTATTTCCATAAACAATCTGAAAGGTTGACTCGTCAGACCACAATATACATTACAGCTAAGTCCAGTAATGACCCTGGCCACCAACCACACACACCTGGAGTATGTAAAACATTCCTTTATGCACAAGTGTAGAGGACTGCATACCTTGAGTAGTCCCCTGTGGAAAAAGGTGAGGCCTTTGTAGAGCATGGCGATGGGCTGGTTCCTCTTCAGCTCCAGAGACTGCTGGAAATCCTCCATAGCAGCGATGTAGTCCTGAAGACATCAGAACTCATAACTTTGTGTACAATAATTTCATTAGAACTTCATTTTGGACAAAAATTTTATTAGAACACTCATTCTAGATATTAAGAGTTTATTAGAACATGATTCTGGATGCTTTCTGAGTCATTTTAGAAGCTGCCACGGCTCTACATCATTCTGGATGCTGAATATTAAATCATTTATACTTACAGCTTTCGTGTTTTTTATTTTATTTATTCATATTTTAAAATAAAACTGTTATTTTAAAGTTATTTTAACAATTACACCTTCTTGAGCCTCAATTTAGCAATGTTGGTTTTTAAATCAATTATACAGAACCACCACAGAAGAGCTCGTCTCCACAGTCATGTGTAAAGTGCCATATTTTGAGGTAAAAACATGTTTTTCTGCAGTTTTAACAGCAAAAATTTATAGATGACTATAAAATGTATCATTGAAAGTACATAAAAAACAAATGCCAAATAAATATTATAAAATATATAATAAAAGTTGTCCCCAGGAGTCATGTTACTGGTATTACTGCGTAACAGAAAAACTCTAATCACACTGATGACATCACTTGACTTCATTTTACCTGTTTTCTGAGGATCTATGAAGAAAAGCTCATGGTGAGTCCACTGTGTCTTTCAGTTATCAGAGATTTTCTCATTTAGCTCATGATTTCATATGAAGCTTTTAGCTGAAGTCACTGGTGTGACCGACTTTACTCTTAGGTAATTGTGAAAAAACAGAAAACAAATGGATTAAATTACATATTTTAGTGGATATTCCATGATTGACAACATGTGGTTTGATGTTCTGTAGCAGCCATTTAGTAAAATGCATTTTTCATTAAAATGTCTCTGGTGTTACCTTTCTTATGTGTAACACCGATGATGGTCAGTAACACCAGTGACTCCCATGGATAGATAACAAAGCGTGGACCTTTCTGTTGAATGACCCGCTACAATTTAATATAGCTGTTGAACACTTGTACATAATCTGTGTTGCAAAACTCAGTGTAGTCTGCATCTCTCTCACTATAACCTTGTCTGTAGAGGTGGGCAGTTTGTTTGTATGCATCTACACACGAGGAGATCCAGTGTGTGTGTGGGTACCTCTGAGATGAAGAGCAGTGTTCCTCTGTGGCGGTACAGTCTGGCTGAAGGCTGCAGCTGGATGGCTTTAGTGAGGTCACTCAGAGCTTCAGTGATACGGCCCAGAGGAGAGAGGATCTACAATCACGCATAAGTGAAATAACACAGTAACACATAGGTCGGTTATTGTTGCTTGCATTGTTAAATCCTATACAGACACGTCCATATCAACTACAGCTCACACTACGGGGGCACGATCAGAGTCGGCCAAGGTCAGGATTCGCCGAATTCAGCAATCGGCCAGTTTATTATTTAGATTTTAACTAATAGTCCAAACTACAGCGCTGCTTAATGTACCAAAAGTCAGTAAGAAAAAATGTGGTGAGGCCACTTTTTGTTTTTATGCACCCAAAAATGAAGCAGTCAACCAGTTGAGATTAGACAGGCAACAACATTACATAATACATAACATTACATAACATTACATAACATAACTTTGTTTTTCATAAATTCCTTACTATTTTATTCGTTATTGCTACTATTTTCTTCTTTGTTGTTGCAAATTTTACTTTTATTACTATTACTATAACTTTTTACCTCTTTATTTATTATTTTATTTATTATATTGTATAATTTATTATTTTTAATGTTATTTTACCATGTTTTGCTTTTATATTTATGTATGATTTTATGTTTATATCATTTTTATTGTCTCTTTTTGTCTGTGAAAAACTTTGAGCTGCATTATTTGTATGAAAGGTGCTGTATAAATAAACCTCATAATAATAATAATAATAATAATAATAATAATAATTATTATTATTATTAATGCTTTCTGTAGATTGAATAAAAATAATTTCCTGTAATTTTTAGTTCATTTCTATACAATACAATCATACAATACTTGTTTTTAAACGCTGCAAGTATTGTAGTAACACTATTATTTCATTGCTAAAAACTGTCCAATCAGGATTTTGTCCTCTGTGGTATCTAAGTAGATACAGCCAATAAGCTTTCCCATTGGCTACACCTTCAGGAGCTGAACTGAAGGCCTAACAAGTCAAATTAGCCACTAACATAATAAGTAACTGACAGTGGAACCAACCAATCACATTTTTATTGGTTATTTTTACTATTTTTCAAAAAACAAAACAATTTCTCAATTTCAAAATTTGATATGTTGTTTTTCAGCTCTTTTCAATTAAATATAGGGTTTTAATGATTTGCACATCTTTGCTTTGTTTTTATTTACATTTTGCACAGCGTCCCAACGTTTTTGGAACAGGGTTGTACAAAAGGTGAGACTTGTTTTCCGAGGGTCACCCTAGACCTTCTGTAAGTTCTAGATACGTCTCTGACTGTGAACACGAGCTGTAGTCTAACCAAGTCTCAGTGAGTTGTTAGGAATGGAAACTGTTATAAATGTAACGTCAGCTACAAACTTCAAATACAAACATGGAAGCTTCCGATGTTTTTTCCAAAAATGTTCACGTTAACTCCCGTTAGCTTAGCACCAAGATACTACTAGAATCCTGTAGGTGCCCTAGCAAAAATCAGCGTTATCATAGAGGTGTTTTTTCCCTCGTTTTTGACTGTGTTTTGACCCTGACGGCCCAAAGAAGCCAGGCTCTAACAGTCACTGCTCATCACTGATGTACACAATATTCAAGATACACATCAGGAGTCCAGTTTGGAAACACAACATGATTAACAGATGAATTAACACAGGCTGTTATGCTGTAAAATAAGTGTGTGTAGAACACATAACTGCTTTATGTGATGTAGAGCAGGATGCGAATGCTATGTGATGCAGTGTGAGAATGTGTTGGTACCTCTGCTCTCTGCTCATACACTTCTGGCCTGTTGGGCTCCAGTGTGATCACTCTACTCAGCTCGTACAGAGCCAGGTCAGCATTCTTTATATCCTACAGACAGAAAAACAGACGGAGACACAGAGGAAATGAAAGAAGAAAAAGAAGGGCTGATACAATATGGCTTCAATACATATATAAAATGGATTAGCTGTTGATTATATCCATGCTATAAATGCACAAAGGCATTCTTTAATACCTACTGCTGCGAAACTGGGCTTACAGAACACCAGCAAACGTCCTATTCAATCTACTGAGGAACAGCAGCGCACGACTCAGTTTTCTGCCAAAATACCTACATTTAGAGTTTGTTATTCATCTTAAATTATAGGCATCTTCAAAGCTGTGACAGTTTTTGAATTTTCTACCAAATATTATCTCGAATATTTGAATTACTCAAGACAAGACGGCGTTTCACTTTCATAATGATTATTTAAGCACTGCTTACTGTTATTAGATTATTATTAATATTATTAATATTATTATTATTTATCAGTGAAACCTGACATGATACAAAGTAATGGAAAAACATCACTGATAAAAAATTACTGCCACAGCCTTTTGGTCAACTCTTGTCCGTGAGCGAGGGAGTGACCACGTTTCAGAATCTGTACAACGATAAAGTTTTTTAAGCCACTCTAAAAACACTTTATCCTCACAGCAGGTGCTAAACTGTCCAGTGCAGTTTAAATACGTTGCGTTATGTCCTGGATAGATGGCCCAGCGCACTCTCAGGCTTAACTGCAGTGAAGAGGTTAGCCAGCATTCCAGAGCAGCAGGAAAAGCATTTGGAATTTGCGATTAAAACCAACATTATCTCCTCAACTTAGAGCTCTGATACAGGCAGCTGGGAAACGTGTCTCAACACGATCTACCTCTGACTGCGGAGGAGAGAGCACCATAGCTTTGAGAGGAAAGGAGCATGACAGACATGCAAATAAGACAACTATAATTAGCTGGTTTTTTTGTGACATGCAGGTAGATTTTAGATACTGTTCTACTGAGATGCTACTGTGCGCTACTGGTGAGCATAGCATTTAGCATCATAAACAAAACCTTGTTTCCCGTCGGACTGATAAAAACCAATGCGCCAATGCATAAAAGTAGGTTAAGGTTTTCTTTTTTTCTAATATTTACACAGAATTTCTCTCATTTTATTGCATATTAAGTGCAGCTCTATTTATTTTGTACATGTGCCAAAGCTCAAAACTGCTAGGGCACTGCTAGGGTTGTGTAATCGAGCAAATGTTAGCATACTTGCATATTCTAGCTTCCAACCTGGCTAGTTTTGATTAGCTACATCAACAGTCCAGCTCAATAGTACAGAAGCATAAACTGGATTCTGCTGTTTTGCTGCACCATAAAATAAGAAACTGCATATCGTTGCTGCCGGAACAAAACCTCGGAACAAAACCCCCTAGACGGTTTGAAACAGAAGTAACTGAAATATAAAAAAAGGCAACTGAATATCTGAATATATTATATATATATACACACGCATACATACATACATGCATACATACACACATTATATATATATTTCTTGCTGTTGTCTCTAATTTTGCTCCAACATGAGAACTTTACAGGAGAACAAAAAAAAAAAAACCTACTTTACTTTTAATGTGGAACCAGAGGTTTTTCCAAGTAATTTTGGGCCGTTTCTTCTGGTCCATTCTTCATGAAATTTACACACAATGTAAAGGGTAACAGGCATTTTCAAATTACGTCAAAAACTGAAAAACATATGAGGTATGAGGTTTTCTTCCGACAACAGTAATATATATTTTAAACTGGAAACTTTATATAGTATATAGCAAATCTAAATAATCATTGCAGCAAGCCTATGTGAAGAAGTTGTGCACTAGCCTTGGACCGATAATTGATATTATCAAATATCGTAACTTAATTTAAGTGCCAGTATTATGTTTTCTTTTATGTGTCACATGATTTTGTTTATTGCTATGTCTTTATTTTAGTCTGACAAACCGTAATACACTACAGGAACTGTAGGGGGCGATAAGGCTTCTATTGTTTCGCTTCACTATAAATGAAGTTAAAATAAGTTGTCACAGAGAAAGAACTCGACACTGTAACAGAGCAAAGTGAGAGGATATAAGGAGATGATTGTAGAGTCATTAAAACCTGAGATGTGAGGTGAGCGAACACAAAGTCAGTGGCAATAGAAAAGCCTGGCGTTTCTCTCGAAACACATTAGTATTGTTTATATAGGCGCATTTCCTGCTGACAGTCAGTTGTTGGAGTGCACTAAAGGCACTGAGTCGCATATCTGACTCTGCCTCCTCAGGCAGTGTAATCAGAGCTCGTCCTAAAACAGCTCCACTAAGCACTTCCTACAGCCAGACAAGGGACCGCAGAGGTGACATCATACACCAGGTAATGCAGGCTGCAGACAGGCGGCCAGGAGAGACGGGCATTTCGGTCCGGAAACTAAAGCAAACCCCTCATTTTCACGGTTCTATTACTGAACTGGGCTCAAATACCAGCCAAAAGTTTAGAGACACAGAGTTGAAAGAATCTGTCGTTGTTACATTGGATTGATGAAGTGAACTGTTCTTTGTTATCATATATTATTTTATATTACATTATTACAGTTTTCGAGTGAAAGTATCTTAGCAACCACCTGGGATAGCACAGCAACAGCTTTGTCATGCCAACTTCGTTCAAGAATTTTCCCCTTCTAGTTTTGATTATTATTTACTTCACACATTTTACAATAGAATAAAATCGACTAGAACAGTGAAGGTATCGAAACTGATAAGGGATACACAATGATGTCGGAATCATATCAGTTTTGGCTGAACTACTTTAAAAATTATCAGCAGCACAAAGATGTTTAAACTTGACCCTTATTTTGCGATATTCGATGATCGGACAGCAACTGCTGTGTTGGTGCAACTCTACTGATAACATATTTTAAGGAGTGTTTTTTGTTCTGGTAATCAGTTCATTCAGGGGCATCAGCTTCACTTTTGTACCATATGAACCGACTGTATCATAAAAGTAAATTTCTATTAAAAATGAGACATTACTCCACTGTGTAATGTGAACAGGGCTGGGAGCAAATTAATGCATCAGTTCTTGTTTGCAAATTTTTTTTTAAACATTTGATTTGAGTTTTTTCGTCCATTTTGCTCCTCTGAGTGAATTACATAACCACATAACAGAAATAACAGTTAATACAAATTCCAAATGTATGTCGTGTAATTTATAGTTAGCTGTAAAACACAACGTAGCTCATATAAGAAAACAATGAAAACAATTAAGATTATCTTAAGAGAATATTTGAGAACTTCTGATTTTTTTTCTTGAGAATCACATTAAAGAACATTCTTATGAACCTCTTAGTGTTTGTCTTAAGAAAGCTCTCGTGAATCTGGCCCCTGTTCTTCAGAGCTTCTCTTCTCTCACCTGTTTGAAACACAGAAGAACCATGACATCTTACCTGTAGGCTTTTTTTCCCGTAGGCTATCCCTCTCCCGTACATGGCACTAACCAGCTCCGGATCTCCCTGATGATTCAAACACTTTCACATTAGCTGTTACTGATTTTCCATCCACACAGATTTAGTATTTACACAGTTTTACCCTTACAACAATACAGTCGATCAGCCAGGCAGAGCTACCAGGCTAACATAACGTAAGGTTACACTCCACCAACAGACTTGCTTATGTGGTTTGTGACAGTGTCTCTGTTTATATGCAAAGATTTTTGCCAATCAGATTGAACACATTCTAATTATAGATTAAGACTGAGGTGTTTATTTGCTCACTCTACTCAACAATCTGATGGAAAATCTCCGTTTACAGGCGCACTACAAGTAATCAGATCCAAAATTACAAAAATGTGCATAGAACCGCTTAATGTAGACGTTACCATGACAACGAGCATCACGTGAGTCCAGTCAGAGTGAGATGAGCAGCAGTGAGCAGTGCTTGTGTTTTTAATTACTTTAAAATGATGTCAGACTCAGGAAAACGTCCTTCACATGTCCTTATTAAAGAAGGCCGAGAGGAAGACGTCGTGTTCTGAGACACATAAGCTGGACGTCCGTCCCACCGCCGTCTTTTAAAGATCAGAGCATAAACTTCGTCTCCTCTGCAGACCAGTTTCTGCTCCGCCATGTTGAACGTTATACAGTTTCACTATGATGTGATGCACATGATCAGAACGGACTTAAACTTTCCGATAGGGAACGTAATCAGATACAGGTGTTTACACGGATATTATTCTTCTATTTAGCAGATTATTTACAGGATTACCCACCTCGTTCAATCAGATATAAACTGTATTCCGAATTGCCTCAATTGGACTAGTCTATTCCGACTGAGGTGTATACCTGGACATATTCTATTCTGAACAAGCTATTAGTTGGAATATTAATGATCATCAGGCTGCATGTAAACATGGCTACTGTATGGTACCCTATTATGGATGAAAATGTACTAAGTCACATTACATAGCTAAAAACAGGAGTTGCAGCCATCTTATAGCCTTTTGTCCATATTTATAGATAAGAGTATGTTAAATAGTGTCAGAACCAACATAAGCAAGTCTACTAAAGATTAGTTAACAATTCAACACAGTTCGAGTCAAGAGTGTGATGATTCACCATAGTTTGCACAATGCAGTGCTTCCAATGCTTGTTAGCTGCATTAGCCTTGTAGCTCCAGTACAAAACTAAAGAAACAGACACCAAACATACCTTGGCTGATCAGTTACATCTGGGTTAAGAATCTGTATTATAATTTTAACAGTTAAGACATGTTTGGTGTCCAAATTGTCCTTCTTAAGTTTTTTTATACAGAAGCTACGGGACAAACAGAAGTTAATAGTCATCCAAATATTTTCTTTAAATACTTCCCTAAACATTCTCTCAACACACTAAAACTGCATGCATTAAGATCCATTAACCACTTCATTAAGGTCACGCAGGCTTGTCGATGTGGTTTAGGATGCATTATGATTTACTATGAGCTATAATTTTTACAAATAATCAGTGAAGTTTGGTTCACTTCTGCAGCTCATAGTAAGTCTGACTTTAATAGCTGGATGCTGGATGCAATCTGAGTGGGTTGAGTGAAGTTTTGGGGATCTATTTACAGAAAAGATTTTGGTGACTATTGAAGTCTGTGAGCAATGAGTCCAAACGTGTCCTGGCTGATCGACTACGTCTATGGAAAACTGTGTTTTTGTGATTTTTTTTCCGCTGAACCATTCTTTTAACACATAGCAGTTAATATATGAGACACGAACTGACCTGCAGTAAGAGGGAGAAGTGTTTGATGGCTTCATCGTAGAGCCCGTTGCCGATCAGAACGTATCCTATGGCTGTAAACCCGACAAACAGCCACATTTTAATGACACGTCACTCACTGTTTATACACACTTTCCTGCGAGAGAGCAGTTAAAGAGTAGGAAGGCCGTACCGAGCTCTTCGTTGGTGTTGTGGTCATCGACAGGGAACGGAAAGCGACGCTGCTCCACAAACAGCCTGGCCTGGCTCTGCAAAGACAGACACAAACAGCCACTCCATCAGCCATGTGCACTGGACGCCCCTAATGACGGTCATTTATGCTCTGTTTCAGTACATGGCTAAAGCTGCTGCAGCAGTTTTGGAAAACAGCAATGAGGAGAACAGTCATCTACTGTTTTATTCATGCGTTCCACTACTTTTGAGTACCTAAGACTTTGGTTAACCCATTTCAAGCACCAAAACAAACCACCTATATGAGTAAAACCATGTTTTCACAAGCAATATTCAGATTTTCGAAAACCGGATTTCAATTTTTTTCAGCTTTAGGGCCGAATTCTGTCTTTACACAGTGCTCCAGGTCAAAAAGGCCTCGCTACAGAGAGAGCTGAGATTGTTCTGAACATTTTGATATGTAACTTGTGGGTATCATGCTGTATGCAAGTGCCTTTAAAGCTGAATTTAAGAATATATGTAAAAATTAAGAAAATGCCCCCAGAGAGTTTACTTAACTGGGTTTATACAGGAACTCCAGCTCATTGCTAGGGTGTTGTTAGGTGGTTGCTATGGTAATCCAGATAGTTGCTATGATGTTGCTATGCAGTTGCTGTGGTATCCCAGGTGGTTGCAAACGGTTGCTAGGTTGCTGCTATGGTATTCCAGATAGTTGCTATGATGTTGCTAAGCAGTTGCTATGGTATCCCAGGTGGTTGCAAGGGGTTGCTAGGTTGTTGCTATGGTATTCCAGATAGTTGCTATGATGTTGCTAAGCAGATGCTATGGCATCCCAGGTGGTTGCAAGGGGTTGCTAGGTTGTTGCTATGGTATTCCAGATATTTGCTATGATGTTGCTATGGTATCCCAGGTGGTTGCAAATGGTTGCTAGGTTGCTGCTATGGTATTCCAGATAATTGCTATGATGTTGCTAAACAGTTGCTATGGTATCCCAGGTGGTTGAAAGGGGTTGCTAGGTTGTTGCTATGGTATCTTAGGAGGTATTGTTTTAAAACATCAGTGGAATTCCCCTTTAACCTGATAAGCTGGGCCTGACTGGAATGCAGAGCGTTAAATACTGTAACACTTACCAGAATCTTCTCTGCATTCAGAGAGAAAACCGACTCGCACGGCGGACTGCTGCCCTCCTCACAGTCAGGGTCCTCCAGCTGGAGCACAGCAGTTTCTGAAAAAAAGACCACAATATAAAGGTCTGAACACTCAAGTAGTCGTTTGTTACGTTGGTATTCGGTTCTCTATTTAGTGCTTTCAGAGGCTTCTTCTCTTTTAGGTCACAAAAACTGTGGCCTAAAGTAAATTTCATCAGAAAATGCGTTTAAACAGAAGAGCTATTTTTAATATATGGAAAATTTTTAAAGAAATTAATTATAGCTGGTTTGGATGAATGCATCATAAATTCATATATCCCAGCCATCTATGGCACCTCGTCTCAGGCAGCTACAAACTGCACTGCTTTCCAGGTAACTAGGGCTGAACGATTAATCGTTTTATATTGAAATCGCAGTTTGGGAGAGCGCAATTTTCAGATCGCAAGAGCTGCAATTTTAAAAATTATAGCCCAAATTATCAACAACGTTGTCTTAATTTTTAAGAGGGGAAATTTGACTTTATAGCACAGAGCTTCTGAACTGCCTCTAGATGAGTTAGACCAATCAGAGGCAACCAAACCCCCATGTGTTGTGACATCACAACCAGAACTTACTGGCAGTTTGGCTCACTGCATTCAGGAGTCAAACCTCAAACAGAAAACGTGGATATTCTGATCTTCATGGCAAAAAAAACAGGCCTGAACTTCAGTTTATAGAAAATAATCACAGTTTAAGTCGCAGGATTTATCAGAAAAATTGCAATTAGATATTTTCCCCAAATCGTTCAGCTTTAGTAGCCACTCAATCTAAAAGAGTGAAGATGCCTAAGTAACGATGTGTGGGGGAGCTGTAACCCCTTAAATGGCCAGGGCCCACCAGCAGGCTGAAAGTTTATTACACACTGCTATAACCTAAGAATAGCTCAGCCTGTTTGCATTGAAGCCCCTGTAGTTACTGAATAATAAGCCTTAGTATGTAATAAGCCTAGGATTTTAAGAGGTTTAATTTAATTAGAAGACATGAAAACCGCTCTGGCAATAGGAGGCTGGCGTACAATGGAGGCTCCGTCATGTAGCTGCTTCTGGAGATGAATATTCCTCCTTTTCATTTCTAATCAAACTCATTTATAGAAGGCTTAAAACCAGAGGTGGGGAACACAGTCCTCGACTGCTGGATTCCTGCACAGTTTGGTGATCTTCCTGCTCCAGCACACCTAATGAGCTCAATTACCAGGTTTAGCTGATGTGCCAGACCAGGGGCCAAACTGTGCTGGACTCCGGCCCGCAGTTCCCCAGCCCTGGTTTAAAACTTCACAGCTTCATAGCCGACCTGTTTATTGTGATGGATTCACAATCACAAGTTTTAACCAACTCACAAGTTGCAAGTAACGCCACACAAAGTTAGTACAGCGCAGGAGCTGCTCTGCTACTACCACACCAACATCATCATCACATTTTATTAAATGATTATTATTTTAAATATAGTTTACAAAAAGGCTGAAGAATTATTTTTATATCAAAATCACAAGAGAGCGCAATTTTCAAATCGCAAGAGCTGCAACTTTTTTAAATGATAACCTCATAATCAAAAACTTTAGTTTTAGGAGGGGAAATTTAATCTAATTACACAGAGTTGTATAACGCCTGTAGATAAGTTAGACCAATCAGAGGCAACCAAACCTCCATGTGTTGTGACATCACAACCACAACTTGCTGGCTTTCTGTCACACTATATTAAGGGGTCAAGTCTCACGCCAGAAAAAGTGGATATTCTGATCTTACTGGTTAAAAAAAGGCCTGAACCTCAATTTATGGAAAATAATCACAATTTAAATCGCAGCTGCAATATTAATCAGAAAAATCGCAATATATAGTATAGTTTATATATATATATATATATATACACATATACATATAAATATATATAATGTCTACGTTTGCAATGGAGACACTGTGACCCCCAGTTCTTATGACCACCATTGTAGATTCAAGACTCAGGAAGTTTCTCTATAATGCACCATTTCACATCAAGCTGAATGAGTCTGTTTACATCTCTCCAACCAAATTACCCTGAATATTTTTAGAATATTTTTAGAATCTGTGGAATTTCCCTTCAAGCAGACGGAAATAAGCAAACAGAACCCACCTCTGCTTACTAAAGCTTCCTCATTCTCCTCATTGTAATGTGTTTAGAAGTGCAATCAAAGTTCATATCGTCATACTTTTATAAAATCTGAAGCTCTACTTTGCATGGCTGCTTGTTTGTCACTGGGCTGAACTGATTTCAGACTCAAAAAGTACAGCATGGCCACAATATGAAATAAGCCTAAGCAGATAAAAGTAACCAAGGGGCTGGAGCTTATAAGACTGACCCTCGACATTAAGGAAACTTCAAAGGGGGATGCCACCATTTGTTTTGTTTTTTTTTCAAAATTTTTGAATGATTCAGTGGTTGAGACGTAAACAGTCATTCAGGGTGGTCTGAAGTGAAATGGTTCATTGTAGAGAAACGTATAGACTCTGATTTCTTTACAGTGGTGGTGATAGGAACCAGGGGTCACAATAGCAGCAGTGTAAATATGGCCATTTTGTTTACTATCCAAAACCACCAGTGAACCTACATGTTTCCTGAGTTTTTAGATGTAACATTGATGATGGTAAAACAGACATAAATCCAAAACTATAAGCTTTCTTTGGGGACTATTTTGCCTTACGCTTATCCCTCCACCAAGAATGCATTAAATGCATTTTAGGCCAAAACAAGGTCTCAGACGACACTGTGTTCAGTATCTTCAGACGTCTGGTTCCTATCACCACCACTGTAAACAATTCTGATTCAGTAAGTTTCTCTAGAAGGGAGCATTTCACACCAAACCTCTCTGAATGACTTTGATTACGTCTTAACCACTTATTTATGTGTGAATTTTGAGAAAGTCGGTAGAATTTCCCTTTACGTAAACTTTAATGTGGAAAGGTGGAAAGGACGCCGCTGCGCCTTCTTTAATAGGCAACTGAGAGAGTGTTTATGTTCATATCGAAAGCCTCTGCCTGCGTGAACCTGAACTACGCTTAGGAGCGAATTTATGGAAAAAAACGAGGACAAATGTGACAAGTGGCTTCAGTCCACACCGCCTGAGGAGCTGCATCAACCAGGAGCCGGAAACGTGAAACATGAATTAGAAGCAGAAGCGAGTTAGGAGGACGTGGCAGAACTGAATGAGTGGAGGATTAAAAAGCCCCTCTTACCGCAGTCCGCTGCGTACTCCTCCCACTCGGACGGCGGGCCGCAGCCGTGCTCGCTGAGCTCGCTCTCGGAGAAAGTGAGCGCGGAGAAAAACTCGGTGGAAAAAATTGCTCGGCACAAGTACAGCAGCGACAGCGCTACCACAACAGCCCTGCCAGCAGGTGCCATGTTTCTGAGGCCACTCGCTCAGGTAAGGTGGCGGTGGCGGCTTGGTATTGTAGTTCCGAGGCGCCGCTTGTCTGTAGTGGCGCTGCTAGAAGAGGAAGGCGAGGAAAACTACAATTCCCAGACGTAAGCGCGCTCGAATCCGCAGGATGTCCCGGATGTAGAACGTTTGAACGCCTATGGCCGGCAAACGCTGTCAAACGCAGAGCGGCCAAATATAGAATGGCAGAATTAGCTTTTAAATGTATTGAATGTAACGAAGACGCCAGCGAATTACACCGAGATTACAGTAACGGGATACTGAAGATAACGATATGTGTGAGTAATGTGTTAGTATGGACTCTTTAGTCACCAAATGTGCAGTATAGACGCTATATGTGTGTGTTTTGAGGCTAACGTTGCTAACCTACTGCTGAATGTTACTAACAGCAGCAGCCCGCAGTGTCAGTGACAGTTAGGCTGTGTTACGGTGGGCTTATCAGTTTATTTCAGATTTTCTTCACGATTAAAAACCTTTAAGATGTGAACAGTGTAAGTCCGAGTGGTCTGACCACACTAGAGAAATTCAGAGTCAGAATCAGTCACAGTGCTGGTGATGGGAACCAGACCTCTAAGGTTTAATGCCTCTAAAAGCTCCCTCAGTTAGGAGTAAATGCCTATGAATGTGCTGTCTGATGCCTGAGACATTTATAACATTATTATAACACACCATAACATTAAAACCACCTCCTTGTATCCACACTCATTGTCCCTTTGTACACACCAGCAGCACTGCTGTGTCTGATCCACTCACACCAGCACAGCACACACTAACACACCACCACCACCACGTCAGTGTCACTGCAGTGCTGAGAATGATCCACCGCCCAAATAGTACCTGCTCTGTGATGGTCCTGTGGGGGTCTTGACCATTGTAGAGCAGGGTAAAACTCGGATAACCTATAACATTAAGATTATAACGATAACAGTATCTTAATCATTCATTTACAGTAGAATAAGAGCAACATAACACTAGCATGTTACAGTGCAGCAGTTCTTCCAGAATTTTGTGGTTTCATTTGACTGGAAAAGGTGCTGAAGTTCTTTGTTAATTCATTTTTCATTATAGAAATCATGCGCGAAGCCTGTGGACAAGTACATCGAATATGATCCCGTCATTATTCTGATAGACGCCATATTATGCAAGATCCAGGCTTTCAGGCATATTCTGTTCAACACGGAAATCAACGTAAGTCCCCTTTTAGAGTTGATAATAAGATTATCATTTTTGTTATTTCCAGAAGACTCAGTGCGACATGTTGTATTGTATCACACTGTATCGTTGTCTTGTGGCTATGTGGTCATGTTAGCATGGGGCTGACGTTGGCTAGTGGCTAGTGTCTAGTGCATCATCAGTGCATCACTTTAAAGCAGAGTTGAAATGGATCAAATGAGTCAAAAATATTGTACTTTTATAAGGTTGAATGCTCTAATGAGCTGAATATTCTAGCCAAATAATCTAATAATAAAAATAATAATAAGATAACATGTAATAATGTAATCTTATTAACAGAAGGCACGTTTTCAGGCACTCCTGTATGTATGAATGTATGTACTGAATCAAGACACTAGCATATAGTATTGAACCATGGCTACATTCGGAGTTGGTGTGTTTTTTCCTCTCTCTCTTTTTCCAGATCCACTGGAAGTTGTGTATCTTCTGTCTGTTGTGTGAGGCGTATCTGAGGTGGTCCCAGCTCCAGGGTTCAGAAGTGACCAGTGATCCTGCTGACATCATCAGATACACTAAAGAATGGGACTTTTATGGGATGTTTGCTCTGGCAGCTCTCGGTAACCACACACTGCTTGGTGCACAACATAAACATAACAACTGAAAGGCTCATGTTATTTGATCATCCTCCGGGATGATAAAACATACACTGATCAGTCATAACATCATGACCACCTCCTTGTTTCTATGCTGATTGACCATTTTATCAGCTCCACTTACTATATAGGTGCACTTTGTAGTTCTACAGTTACAGACTGTAGTCCATCTGTTTCTCTGTATACTTTGTTAGCCCCCTTTTACCCTGTTCTTCAGTGGTCAGGACCCCCACAGGACCCTCACAGAGCAGGTACTATTTGGGTGGTGGATCATTCTCAGCACTGCAGTAACACTGATGTGACACTGCTGTGTCTGATCCACTCAGACCAGCACAACACACACTAACACACCACCACCACGTCGGTGTTACTGCAGTGTGAGGTGAGTGTATGATGATGTAGGCATGCAGTTAGCGTGATGCTAATTAGCGGAGCGTAAGCTTCCATTACTTGTTAGGTGTATTAGATCCGCAGCTCCAGTGTAGTGTCGCAGGACAGACTTCCGCCTGTTGTCAGAGAGTTTGGTGCGTTTCGTGGCTTGACATGGCCAAGAATTGCTTACTTGGACAGAAAAGACATGCAAAAAGATGTAATGCTGTGAAGCCCATCGACTTTGCTTCACCTGAAAGGCTTGTTGTCACGGCCTGCAGAGCAACTGCTTGTAAAAGTTTTCAGTCCCACCAGATTGAAAAAACCCGACGCATGGAGCACAGATGTGCTGAGAGCCAGTCAGAGTGGAACTGATAACACCCCTGCAGTTGGGGCCACTTTAGCGTAATGTAGCTATCAGATGCTCCATGTTTGTGTGGGCGGAGCGTCTGAGCCTGAGGCTCCATTGTAAACGTAAAGAAGATCATTTCAGACCTCAAACATTTGTATGGTGGCTGACGAGACCCAATGCACAGTACAATGAAAAATGTGACGCAAACCCAAAAAACACTTTCATTAACACACCTGAGCTACATTTCACAAACACATGGCATATAATGAAAACACACGCAGCTTCAGAACTGCTGTAAAACCACAACACAGCAGAAATGTTTCTGGAAGACTCTCAAAGCGTATTGATAATATGCATTTTTGATCATTTATTTATTTTATTTTGTTGTTTTTATTTTATCCATTCTTTTAATTATGATTCCTTGTTTGGAGTGTTTATTCTTGCTTTTATTTGTTTTTTTTTAAATGACTTTATTCTTTTATTTATATGACTTTCACCTGTTTATGCCCCCTGGATTAAGTGGTTGTCAGCTATTGTTGCTTTGTTCTTGTGCACATTAATTTTTAATTATTATTAATATAGGCCTTTTTGTTATTACTTTTATTTGTTGGTTTTTTATATTTTCGTTTGTTTTGTTTTTTTTTGTTTTTTTTTGTTTGTTTTTTTACCATTTTTACTCTTCTTTCTCTGTTGTTTTTACTGTAAAGCACTTTGGGCTACATTTTAATGTATGAAAGGTGCTATATAAAGACTACTACTATATTATTATTATTATTAGTATTAGTATTATTAGTCATAATAGTAATATTAAAGATATTGGAATATCTGTGATGGAAATAATGTTATTACATCCAATTAATTGTGTTTTTATGTATGTGTGTCTCGTCAGAGTTGGCGGTGTACTGTGTAGGTGTGCTGGCGGTGCTGTGGCCGGTGCAGTGGCTGTATGGCTGCTCGGTGAAGTTGGCTCCTCTGCTGAAGGCCCTGCTGCTGTCCTGCTATGGGAAGGTGCTGCTGATTCCTGCAGTGATCTGGGAACATGATTATTCTCCTCTGTGCTTCAAACTCATCAGACTGTTCGTCCTCACCTCCAACACGCAGGCCATACGGGGTAAACGTGCACCTTAAACACAGACACAGAACTTAAACACAGGGCATATGAGGTTCACCCGCACACATAAACAGAGGAGGGGATACATGAATATATTGTTATGGGTTATCTGAACACGAGCGGCTGTGTATATCTCCAGCACGCAGGCCATTTAAGGTAAACACACACCCTGACAGATCACATATCTCCAACACACAGGCCACACAGGGTAAACACAGGCATACAGAGCTATACAGGGCTAAACTCTCATAAGGCGACTGAGAATAATAGTAGCCGTCATGAAGCCTTGTTCATACTTTTGCCCCTGTTTATAGGTAACAGTGTGTTCCACAGTGTCACAAACCACATAGGCAAGTCTATTAGAGATTACTGAATAACTTAATACACTGAGGCAAGTGTTACTAATTGATGTAGAGTCGTATGCATATGTTTGGGCACCCCTGGACAAATGGCATGTTTTGGTAAAATGAATTAACACAAATAAATAGAATACAGAGAACATGCTTCTGCACATCTTAGTGCACTGTTTATTAACATATTGGGAGGAGAAATAGAACACGAAGTGTGGCCTGAGCAAATGTTATGGGACATTGTATATTTCAAATATGCTAAATTCAGCAAATACATAGATGTTGTGTACTAATTTGTGGTTTTTGTGCCATATTTATTTTTTAAATCAACAGACATGTTGTACAACACCTTTTTCCCCCTACCCGTAAGCATCCCATAACGTCCCATCCCACCCAACCACCCCTACTGAGCTGAGACAGTGAGGTCCAAAAATCTGAGACCACTGGTGAAAGTGCTTCTATTTTGCATTCCTTTCAAATTGAATACAATGTTTTTCATTACACATTATATTATCAGCATAACAATTTGGGCAAAAAGCAGAGTCTTTGAATGTTTACATGAATTTCAGAATTTTTTTTTTTTAGTACTTAGTTTGTCCCCCTTTTGTTTTAATGATCTCTGATGAGCAGATCAGATCCACCTGAGAGTCGTCTAAACATGAGCTTTAATGGAAGGAATAAGAAAAATAAATGTATATTTTTTTTGTATAAAAAGGCCTTAATGTGGTCAGTTTCACAAGTGTGCTTAAATTTGAATCGTGACCTAGAAAGAGTGCAGAACGTTGAATATTTCTTCTTAAGGTAACACTTTATTTGGATAGTCCACTTTAAATGCTTTGACACTTTAGATACTTCATTTGCTTTCAAGTAACATTCAATTAAATATCTACTAAATTGACCACAGTTGTCTTTAACTCTAAACCTGGCTCTAATCCCAACCCTAACCTTAACCTCAACCCAAAACCTAAACCCAACCCTCACCCCACCACTGTTTAGGATCAACTGAGTTTCAACAGACAGTTTGTTAACAATTTGAACATCTGTAGATGATCTATAGGGGACTGTAGTGGACTATCCAAATAAAATGAGACCTAGGTTTTATATAAACCTGCTAACATAACCATGTGATTTGACCAGGGGTGCAGCATTTACACACAACCGCACATAAGTTTTCCATCGTTACATTAGCCTTGTAGCTCCAGCGTAAAACTAAAGACGTAAACCCAACGTGTCTTGGCTGATGGACTACTTTTTGGGGAAGGGGGTAAACTCTGTAAATATTTGCTCTAAATGAACGTGTAATCCTTTACCTCCTGTGTTCCAGTGATTCTGAACTGCAGCAGAAGACTGTCTGTCTTGGCCGTGTTTGGAGGGCTGCTGTTAGAGATGTGTGTGTCTGACGGTTTACAGAAGCTGCAGCTGAACTCACACGACTACCTGCCTGACCTCTACACCTGAACTGAAACCTGTCACGCAGGTTCTGCAGCTTGTTGGTGGCAGCTGAGGACCACTCGCCATCTCCTGAGCCGTTTTACTGGGCTTCAGCAGTGAGGTGTGGGATTGTGTCCTCTGTCAGAAACGATGTGCCTCTTGCCCATTAGGCATGTCTACCTCAGGGAGAGATTACTGACTGGGAGAGTGTTGCCAGTGCCTAAGGGCCCTCTGACTGCCAGGGGCTGGCAAGGGCTCAAATTTTGGGATAATCCATTGTGGACATGAACTTCAGATAAATGACTCGCCATTGAATATGTCTGACTAAACGGATGAAATAAAATGGAGAAATGTTGTTCACTCTCAGGCTGCTCAGTATTGATTATCTTATTGATTTATTGGAGTTGCCACTCAAATGGGATGGTTTAGATGGTGTGTGATGCTCGATGGGTCTAGGAATTCATCTGTTTTTGCGTTTGGTTTAAGAGTAAAAGAGAGGAAATCATGTTTGTTTTTAGACTTACAAATTGTACAAATAATTACCTGTTACAGTGTAGACCGCAGGGAGCCAGTTGCCCCTGGGTTACTAAGCAATACCTGCTGCTGGACAAAGCACAAGTAATTTCACCAACAATGAAACTGGCTTATTGGTCAAGTTATAGAGTCTGTTTAAAGCAACACTGATGGATAAACATCTTAACAGCTTAAATAAATAGAAAAAACAGTCATTATGGGCTGTTTCAGGAGGACAGCACTCACTACACTCTTAAAAAAGATGGTTCTTCAGTGAAGACAATGGTTCTATATAGAACCACGAATACTCAAAGAACAATTTGCATGATTAAAGGGTTCTTTGAATCCTGAAATGGTTCTTCAGATTGATAAAAAATGTGCTATAGATGGTTTTATATGGAGCTTTCTTGAAAAGGCTTCTATATTTGTTACAATGTCAAGCCTGTAATAATAGAAGTAGCATCATGTGAGAAGTGAAGGAAAAAGTATTTTTAAAAGGGAATTTCACCAATATTTTAGAATTCCTGCATGATTAAGTGGTTAAGATGTACAAAAAGGCCATTCAGAGTGGTTTGGTGTGAAATGGTGGAACTCGGAGTCAGAATTGTTCACACTGGTGCTGATAGGAACCAGACGTCTGAGGAGTTTAATGCTTCTAAAAGCATCTCTCAGAGGAAATTATTACATTAAATGGTTCTTAATTCGCTGCGTGACGCCAGTGTTTTATGATAGTTTTATGATACGCTTTAAACCAAAGTTGTCTTTTTTCAAAAATCTATTTACATGCAGGGCGTTGTGAGGCAAAAAGATTCCTGAAAAAATTCATTTCGTTCAGATTTACCACTATTTTACCATCATCAACATCACATATAAAAGCTCTGAAGACACACGGACGTTCACTAGTCATTCTGGATAGTAAATAAAATGGCTATATTTGTGTTGTAGACATGGTGACCCCTGATTCCTATCAGCACCACTGTAAAGAAATCTAAGACATGAAGTTTCTTACAATTAACCATTTCACACCAAATGACTCTGAATGACTTTGTTTACACCTCACTGATTGAATTGTGCAGAAATTTTGAAAAATGGGTGTAATTCCACTTTTAATTGTAATGTATGTGAATGTAATGAGATTTTATTACAAGTAATTTTGGACAGTTTCTTTATCGATCATAGTGAAATAGTCATACAGTGTAAAGGGCAGCTACTGTGATGAAATGGTGTTTTGGTGTAAATTGGTGGTCAATTAGTTCTTACCATCTCTGGGAGCTGTTACCATGGTAACTACATGCTAACCGTCACCGGGCGCAGGCCAAGCTCCAACATCAACAACAGAAATGAGGAACCGAGCTTCAGTTGTATGTATGAGGAAACAGTGGGTAAAGGCCCTTTTGCGTAATCTCTGTTGCAGGCAGGGAGTAAAACAGCACCAGCTTGCCCTGTTACATATGTCAGCGTCTTCCCAGCATCCTCTGCCTGTTTACACAGTGTTGTGAGGGACTGCTGAACATTCCTGAGGTCATTTGTCAAATTCTTGCCAATTAGCTTCACTCAGCTCACCTAAACACACTGCAGATGTTAGTACAAACCCACGTTCAGTGACCGCTGCCATCCTCTGCGGCCCAAAAGTGATTTCTGTACGTTGAATAAATGATTCATAAAGATATTTTCTCCACAGATCAGTGAGCCGTAAAGATCTGATATAAACCTCTCTGCAGGAGTTGGCTTAGACACAGATTAAGCCTTATTTTGGGCTAAATCGCTCTGTTCTTGGGGGAGTCCTCCGTCTTAAGCCCCTCTTTCCCTCCTCTGTCCAAACTTAATCTGTGTCTGGAAATACTTTGAGCTGATTGACTGTTTTTCAGGATTAGCTGTTCTTCTCCTCCACACAACACTGTTTTGCAGGAAACCTTGTTCAGGAATTTTGCAGTAATTCGTCTGAAGACGCACTTTAAGGACTTAAAGTGCCCTCCGCTTCACAGTGGTGGTGATAGGAACCAGGCGTCTGATGAGTTTACTGCCTCTAAAATCTCCCTCACTGAGAGGTAGAAATGGTTGTGAATACACAGCCTGATGCCTTAGACATTGTTTTGTGATGTTTGAGAGGGTTTTGGCTTAAAACGCTTTTTAAATCCACGGCCGAGAGGTGCATGCAGGGCGTTGTAAACTTAGAAGATGTGTGTAGGTTCACTGGTCATAACTAAAATGGCTATATTTGTGTTGTAGATATTGTGACCCCTGGTTCCCATCACCACCACTATAATAATAATACTTTTATTCATAATGCACTGAAAAGAAATCCCAGTTGGACAAAGTGCACCATTTCACATCAACCTACTCTGAATTACTTTGTTTTTCAGTCCAAATGACTGAAATATGCAGAACTTTTAAAAGAGTATTGTTCTGCTTTAATATCACTTTCATAAATTATGCGCCACTACATACACACTGTGGATCGTACTAAAGGAATAAAGGTTTAAAGGAGTAGGTTGGTGAAAAATTGAATTTGATCAGCTAGGACATGTTTAGTGTATGATTTTGATGGATGGATGGATAGAGAGAAGAATGGAGGGCAACTGTCTTGAATTTGACACCTGGATGGATGCATGGATGACACCGTTCCTGGTTTTGACAGATGGATGGATGGATGGATGGATGGATTGATGGAACCTGTCTGGGATTTGAAGGATGGATGAATGGATGGATGGGGGGAAGAATGGGAGGCAACTCTTAATATTGATACTGGATGGATGGGTGAATGGATACCTGTCTGGGATTTGAAGGATGAATGGATGGATGGTTGGAGGGTGACTATCTTGGATTTGACACATGGATGGATGGAGGGCATAGATGGATGGATGGAGAGTGACTATCTAGGATGGATGGATGGATGGATGGATGGATGGATAGATGGCATCTGTCTTGGATTTGATGGATGGATGGATGGATGGATGGATGGATAGACGGCATCTGTCTTGGATTTGATGGATGGATGGATGGATGGATGGATGGATATATGTTAAGTATCTAGAATTTGGTGGATGGATGGATGGATACATGTTAAGTATCTAGAATTTGGTGGATGGATGGATGGATGGATGGATGGATGGACGGAGAGAGGGCAACTATGTGGGATTTGACGCTTGGATGGATCAGATGGATCAGCTAAGACATGTTTGGTGGCTACAGTCACACTGTTATCTATAACAGTAGTTATACAGTGAAATCCTAACGAAGCCTCTGAACTGATAAGGGGGTCCTTCTGCTCCCTCTGCTCTCTCCCCTCCTCTCAGAGACCACTTAAATAAATCTATTAATGATTCATAAAAACTTGATGTGCACTGAGGCAAGTGTGATGATTTACGTATAATATTTAATGTTATTTACAAAAACAGTTTTCACCCCACTTTTCACTGCATTCAGTACGTTTTCCTCAGTGTTCAGGCTCGACCTTGATAGACTCTTGCATGCTGCTAATTGGTCGGTTGTAAGCTTCTCTTATCCAATAGCAACAGTGTTAAATTAAAGAAGCAAACATGTCTTAGCTGACTGACTACATTTGGAGTAAAGGGAAAACATTTAAAATTTAGATTTTTTTACTGGACTACTGCTTTGAAGTTACAATCTCCACCAAAAGACAGATGTCCAGTGTTAAATATTATATATTTCAGTCTAAATGACTTTTTGAACTACAGACATTTCAGATAAACAAAGAAGTAGTTTATATATGGTCATTTATAGTTGGTACATTTGTATTGATTCCCTGAAAGGCTGTGGAGTTATAATACTCACAGACAGTGAAGCAGTGTGCTATATGTTTCTGGCCTGGACTTCTATTGCCTAACGTGCTCAAGTTTAGACAGGCTCCTGAAACGGCTTCATTCCACAGTCAATCCCAGGTATTTAGGTTGGCCTTCTGCTGCTGCGTCTGCAGAGCAAACCTCAATCTCTGTGCCTCCGTCACAAATGGCCTCATTCTTTATTGTCTTGGCAACATGTGAGTACAATTTGAGCTTAAAGTGAATTTGGCCAGTAACACACACAAGGTTTTCCCTCTGAATGAGTGGTATGCTCAGAACGATGCTCCTGGTTTATCTAATATATTTAATTTGCTATATACAAAGACTATTTTCACCACACTTCACTACATTCAGGACATTTTCCTCAGAGCAGACGTTGGGCAACAGTAACTGTGGTAAACAAAAGTAATAGCAGATGTGGATCTCAAACAAACCCCCAAATATCTTTCTCTAACCTCCAAAACAGAAAAAGACACAAAGGGCCTGATTTTAAGGCCTAAGTGGTTGTGGATTCATGAAAATGCTTAGATACATATAATATATTTGTGTACAAAAAACCTGTTTACTGCACTCTTTCACACTGACCAGTGTAGACCTGGACGGAAGGACGTACGGATGGATGGATGGATGGAAGGATGGAGTGCAACTATCTTGGATCCGACACTTGTAACACTTATATGAATGGATGGATGGATGGATGAAAGGCAAGTATCTTGGATTTGACAGTTTGATGGAAGGATGGATGGATGGCTGGATGGATCAATTGATGGATGGCAACTGTTTTGGATTTGAACCCTGACTGGATGGATGGATGGGTGAATAGATAAATGGCAACTATTGTCAATTTTACACATGGATGATGGAGGGCAAGTATCTTGGATTTGACGGATGGATGGATGGATAGAGGGCATCTGTCTTGGATTTAAAACAAGGATGGATGGATGGATGGATGGATGGATGAATGGCAAGTATCTTGACTTTGATCCATGGATGACAAGTCTCCTGGATTTACCAACTGGATGGATGGAAGGATGGACAGAGGGCAAGTATCTTGGATTTGATGGATGGATGGATGAATGGATGGCTGGATGGATGGATGGATGTAGAGAGGGCAACTATCTCGGATTTGACACATGGATGGATGGATGGATGGATGGATGGATGGATGGATGGAGGGCCATTATCTTGGATTTGACACCTTTATGAATGGATGTAAGGATAGATGGATGGCAAGTATCTTGGATTTGATTCTTGGATGGATCAGATTGATCAGCTAAGGCACACAAATATCCTGAATATGACACATGGATGGATGGATAGATGGATGGATGGAAGGATGGAAGGATGGAGGGCAGTTATCTTGGATTTAACTTAAAAGAGTTTACAATTATTTGCTTGAATGCAACAGAATATGTATATACAGTATAAACTGAGGTAGAAATCAAAGAGATTTTTGCTGAATATTACAAACGTGTGTTGTTTATTATGATCACTGGAAACAGAGGAAATCTGAGCAGCTCCCTAACAATACAGTCATACAGCGGACTGTTCCACAAAGCCTTATGTAAGAGCGCTGGTGAATCAATGGTATTAGACCAAACAGCTTAAACCATTTTCATGCAGAACAGAAAAATGCAACAGCTTTAACATTGTTCAAATGATTTAGTAGGACTGTAAAAGCAACTGGAGCTCAGGTCTGTAAGCCATTAAAGATCAGGCAGCAGCTGCTGTTGTTCCTGGCTAATCAGATTAGCGTCATAGGAGTTGCATTAAATGTCTCGGTGCATACAGTGGCTGTGTGGCTATGGCATGGCTACTGTAGTACATGAGGTATTTAAATGTTACATGAGTTCCAGTGAATGAAGTGGAAAGCAGTGTTACTGTACAGTCGGGCCCAAAAGTCGACTAAAAGTCCACTAGACTTGATCTTTATTTAATCATTTATTTTGACATCATAATAAAATTTACTCAATTGATTCTTATTATTGACGAATATGTGTTTTAAAACTGTGATCAATCTATATCTTCTTAAGTAATCTCTTAACCAACATGCACCGACTAAAGCTATGAGTCTGCCATGGTGAATTATTGGTCAACATTAGCTGCTAATTACCAGGCCAATAGAGGCCAATACACTTTATGAGAAACTGTGTTACATAAATTAAGTCTTAGAAAATGACTCCATTGCTCCAGTCTGAAGCAATCTCCCAGCTTTACTGACCAAACACACCTGACCTGCAGCTCAGCAGTACATACTCCACCTGTCGGGTACAGAGCAACGCAATCCCTGACCAGTGTGACGCAGACTGAGGCTTTGGGTTTTGAATCAAGATTACCGTAATCCGCTTCAATCTCCTGAGCAGGTGTTTGAACACAGAGGTGTATATTTAGCAATGCAGACAGAAACGCTGGAGGAGTTTGCAGCTGAAAAGGCTTATACAGTGGCATAATTTGGTGTCCACTGCATGTCCACAACTAAATTACTGAAAGTGTGTGTGTGTGTGTGTATATATACATATATATATATATATATATATATATATATATATATATATATATATATAAACACAATCAGGCATAACATTATGACCACCTCCTTGTTTCTACACTCATTGTCCATTTTATCAGCTCCACTTACTATATAGGTGCACTTTGTAGTTCTACAGTTACAGACTGTAGTCCATCTGTTTCTCTGCATACTTTGTTAGCCCCCTTTTACCCTGTTCTTCAGTGGTCAGGACCCCCATGGACCCTCACAGAGCAGGTACTATTTGGGTGGTGGATCATTCTCAGCACTGCAGTAACACTGATGTGGTGGTGGTGTTAGTGTGTGTTGTGCTGGTACGAGTGGATCAGACACAGCAGTGCTGCTGGAGTTTTTAAACACCTCAGTGTCACTGCTGGACTGAGAATAGTCCACCAACCAAAAATATCCAGCCAACAGCGTCCTGTGGGCAGCGTCCTGTGGGCAGTGTCCTGTGGGCAGTGTCCTGTGACCACTGATGAAGGACTAGAGGATGACCAACACAAACTGTGCAGCAGCAGATGAGCTATCGTCTCTGACTTTACATCTACAAGGTGGACTGACAAGGTAGGAGTCTCTAATAGAGTGGACAGTGAGTGGACACAGTGTTTAAAAACTCCAGCAGCACTGCTGTGTCTGATCCACTCGTACCAGCACAACACACCACCACCATGTCAGTGTTACTGCAGTGCTGAGAATGATCCACCACCCAAATAGTACCTGCTCTGTGAGGGTCCATGGGGGTCCTGACCACTGAAGAACAGGGTAAAAGGGGGCTAACAAAGTATGCAGAGAAACAGATGGACTACAGTAACAATACTGAGAGATTCAAGTAATATAACTAAACAGAACTGAAGAAAAGACTTTTAAATCTTTCTGTAAAGTGTAATTTTTAAAAAATGCAATTTCTGGTGAGGAATAAATTAGGACACCCCACTTATTTATTCCACCCCATTTATTCCCACTTAAAATGGCTAAAATCACACACAGTTGTATCACATCAGGTGAACATGATTAGAACATCGTTACTCTTTGAAGGAGGCTTGCCTTATTTAAAGTGAGAGTGAACACCATGGTGAGATCGAAAGAGCTGTCTGAGGCCATGAGAAAGAAGATTGTAGCAGATTATGAGTCCAGTAAGGGATTTAGAAAGATCTCAAAAGAGTTTGAAATCAGCCATTCCACTGTCCGGAAAACAGTCTACAAATAGAGGACATTCAAAACAACTGCCAGCATGCCAGGCTGGACAAAGTCCAGGACTTCTGGAATAATGTACTTTGGACAGATGAGTCTAACGTTGAATTATTTGGACACCATAACAGAAGGCATGTTTGGCGTAAACCAAATACAGCATTACAGGAAAAGACCCTCATACCAACTGTGAAACATGGAGCTGGAAGTGTCATGGTTTGGGGATGCTTTGCTGCAGCAGGACCTGCCCAGCTCACCACCATCAATTCCACCGTGTATCAGAGGGTGCTTGAGGAACATGTGAGACCATCTGTAAAAAAATTTAAGCTGAAGTGGACCTGGACCCTGCAACATGACCAATGACCCAAAACATACCAGTAAATCCACCAAGGACTGGCTGAAAACTGAGAAGTGGAGAGTCCTGGAACGGCCGAGTCAAAGCTCAGATCTTAATCCCATTGAGATGCTGTGGGGTGACGTGAGACGGGCTGTACATGCAAGAAACCCCTCAAACATCTCACAGCTGAGAGAGTTCTGCGTTGTGGAGTGGGGCAAACTTTCCTCAGACCGATGTCAGAGACTGGTAGATGGCTACAAGAAGCGCCTGAAGGTATTTCAGCTAAAGGGGGTAACACTAGCTATTAGGGGGTAGGGTGTCCTAACTTTTTCCTCAGTTAGAATACACACTTTTGTTAATATTTTTTTTGTTTAACGAGTAAAACAAGGTTAATTTTTGTTGTTTACCTGCAATTAAATCACTCTTTTCCAGAGACAACATTAGACATCGATATGTGAACAATTCTTAATAAAGAACTGAATATTTAATAGGGTGTCCTAATTTTTTCACGACTTGTTTCTGACAGTGGAGATATATATATATATATATCTCCACTGTCAGAAACAACACCTCATATCTCAAAAATGTAAGGTAAAATTCTTCATGTATTCCATTCATATATGTATACATTTACATATATATATATATATAAACACTCATAACAGTAAAAAGCAACACTGTTAGTGTTTGTTGGAGTAATAACTGCTTTATACTCCTTAATATCCCTGCAGTATAATTTGCCTCCTCTGCTAAAAAGTGATATTTTTCATGTGACTGACGTCACAAACGTCAGTCCCTGATTGGTCAGAAGCTTGGCCTGAAGCTTGGCCTTGATTGGTCCAAGAGTTGTTATGATCCAAAATCCTGAACCTAACCTGCCAAGTGGGGTACTTCTCCACATAACTGAAGCCCAAAGTCAAGACTGTCCAATAGGAAAAGAGCTGAGGGACATTACTGTCAGCCAATCCTCAACACTGGGCTTAGGTTAACAGGTTAGGCATGCAGTATCAGTTGCCATGGCAATGCATCCCGGTAAAAAGTGATCTACCATCATGAGACAAACAAGGTTAGAATGAACTAGGTTTAAATTTAGGTGGCTAATCCTGCTTTGTGAGGCAGCCACCTGGGGGCCATTTCACATCTCAGGGTTTCCGTTAGCCTGATAACCTCGGCCAAAGAAACAAGCCTGTCCAAAAGGAGAACTATGGGACATTCATATTGGACAGTCCTCAACTTTTGGCTTAGGTTATCCAGCTTCGGAGATACGCTGCTTTGTCAAACACTCCCCTGCCGAATTTTTAACCTGGTTATTGTTCCACATGGCTACCCAAATAAGGGAATTCTGTTATCAGGCCTCGGACAGCATCTGTTACATTAGTTAAAGACAACAACTCCACCTCTGATGTAATTTATTCCTTTAATATAATTATTACATATACAAAAAAGCATACAAAAACGATCCTCCAAAACTTACAGTAGTAAGGTCATTCCGTAGAATACACATATACAAACGTTACTCCAGATACACGAGTCTGTTTACTCATTCGCTCTCAAAAACTGATCATGATTTCAACTGATTAAAAAAAAAAAAACACAATGGAATAAACTCAACTAATAAAACACAATACAGATGAGCAGGTCTGCCATCGTTTTCATCCAACGGCCATTTACCATCACTGCACACAGAGCACTGGAGGAATGCATCTCATGACCAACCACATGGAGCTCAAAGCAAGACACGGCGACAATCAGTGACCAGTTCATCTCTTTTTTTTTGCACATTGCTATGAACACATGGGATTTCCACATTAGAGGAAAACAATCAGATACAACGTACAAGACTGGTGAGGAGACATTCGTGGTGAATCTCTAGATCTTTCCACCAGCTGTTTGAGGGTCTTGTATGTATGATACACGCAGTTACTGACATCAGAGGTGATTTATGAAAAGGGCTGCAGATCGAAAAGCCTGAGTTTTGGCCCAGGCTGTTAAGAAGGCACTCAGTGAGGAACGATCAGTGATGTTTTTAGAGTGAACACACACAAAGTCTGGCGGCTTAAAGGACGAGAGCTTTACTGTTGAACTACTCTGACTGCTTTTTCAATGTCTGGCGATGTTAGAACCGCCAAAGGAGAGAACTAAGAACTTATGGTGTAGCTGACCTTCCCAAGCTCTGCCCGCAAATGCACTGAATGATATAATCACTGACCTTAAATGGTCCTCAAATGATAATTATTCTTCAGTAGCTACTGTTGGACAAGTTTTGTTGAACATTAGCAGAAATCCCATTCGACTTAAGAGACAGCAGGACTCGTTTTGGCCAAAATATGTATATTTTTGAGTGGGTTAACTTCAGATTATATTTATTTTGTATGGTTGTGGAAGCAGATGTAGGCTTTTCAATCGTGAGATCAAGTTAACGCGAGCATGATGGCAAAGTGGTTGTGGTATCCAACCTGGCAAGTTTTGATTAGCTACGTTAACATGGTACAGCTTGGCTGTGTAGCATCAAAACTGAGTGGGATTTTTGCCAGCGTTCTGGAAACGTTTGCACCAGTAGCTACCAAGACCTATGACGGCGTTTTAGGGCCACTGTTAAAAAAATAAAAACAGTAAACTTCGAGAATAAAGTCGCAATATTTTGAGAAAAAAAGTCATAATATTTCAACAATAAAATCATAGAATTACAACATTAAAGTGGCATTAATACCAGGAAAGGTTATACTTAGGACAGGGACCGAGAACCCAACGAGTTACGCCAGCCCCCCTACAGTTAGCCCACTTTATTCTCGTAACTTTACGACTTTATTCTCGAAGTTTACTATTACCATTTTTATTAACAGAGGCCCTAAAACACCGTCGTAAAGAACACATCTGTGGGTGGAGCACGCTTTAGTGAACTGAACTTAGAGCTAGAATTAGGTAAGAGTAGAAAGACAATGTGGCGATTATTAACCGAACAAGACTACATTACCCACAACCTTTGCAGCACAACGGTCATTATTTGATCAACTGTATAGTAGACAGTGCTGGGAAATATGACAATATTTATGGGTACTGTGATAAAATACACCAAAGTGCTTTTATGAGCATAATGTGGATACAGTCAGTATTTAATCATAGACGTCAACCTCTATAAACAGAGGTTTAACGTTCTATTCAGAGCATCCAAACTGTATAAATTGACTGATACCCGTATAGTACATTTGTACCACTGAAATGACAACAGCAGCAATATATCCTGCACTGTGATACAGAACTAATCAGAATAATTGGCCAGAGTTTACGAGGAACCCGTATTAGACTAGATTTCCCAGCTTTATATCTTCAAAATGGATTGGTCGACACCTATGCTTAAAGAAAACTGACCAACTGCATGTTTGATTACAAAGACAAACTTGCCAAAACTAAACACCCTATGAAGAAAGTGTTTCGGCCATATTGCCCACCCTAAGGGTGGCGTTCGTGCTGATACTCAAATAAATGATCACTGTTGTGCAAAAGTTTTGGAAAACTCAGTCAAGGCTGGCACAGTAAAGCGCTGAGCACTAAGAAAGAGCCATTCATCTGTGTCTGCTGATGTGAGGAAATGAGTCAGCTACCATATTCAAATGATGCAGCACACAGTCTGAGGCAGTAGAAGAGTAGAGGAAAGAGGTTTCCTTTCTCCATATTGGAGAGTACCTTGGTAGTCGTTCCCCCATCAAAGCTTGTGTTGTACAAGTTGTACATTTTCCCCCTTAGCCCCCTTGTAGTCGATGAGCCACGATATGTTCGGTGTCTGAAGCTTCTTTACCTTCGCACTGGACAAGTAAAGCTGAACTGTGGCCAATTAGAACTGTGCAGTCTGCTTAAATCACCACACTTGACTCAAACTGCGTCAAGCTGTTCAGCGAGTCAATTTGAGGTTACTTATGTGGTTTCCATTACATGGGCATGCAGTCAACAGACATGTCTTGGCTGACTGACTACATCTGGGATAGAAGTGAAGATTGTATACATTAGATTTTTTGCCAAATTACCCTTTTATAAACCTCGAGAGCCCCGACTCGCACTCAGATCCCACCACCCTTAAGGAGTTCAGTGTTTTTCTTGCTCTAAAACACCTGATTCAAGTGTAAAGAGTTGAATGACATATAGAGCTGGGCATCAACATTCAATACTTTGATGGACTGACTGGACTGCTTCAATACCACTACTGAAAAATTCTGTTGTTCAATCCTGAATTTCAACATCTAATGCAGCAACTTGTAATCTGGAATACAACGAAATTGCAATTTAAGAACGCAATTTTCAAATCGCAAGAGCTGCAATTTTTTTTAAATTATAGCCTGCTTTATCAAAAACGTTGTCTAAGTTTTAAGAGTGGAAATTGAACCTAATAACATGGAGATTGTGAACTGCCTGTAGATGAGTTGGACCAATCAGAGGCAGCCAATCATCCCCCTGTGTTGTGACATCACAACCACAACTTACTGGCAGTTTGGCTCACTGCATTCAGGGGTCAAACCTCAGAAAAGGTGGATATTCAGATTTTTTGGCCAAAAACCTCATGTCTTATTAATAATAATCACAGTTTAAATTGCAGTCGCAATATTAGTCAGAAAAATCGCAGTTAGATATTTTGCTCAAATCGTTCAGCCCTACGATGAATAAAAAAAAACAACGGAGAAAACACCTCCTCAACTCTCCTAATCGGAAAGTCAGGAAAGTACATCTTCTTTTCTTTAAAATGTGATTATAGTAACATTTGCTTTAGACCGATTAACATACAGACACAGTAGTTGGTTAAATCTATAACGGTCAATGATGTAATTCCAAGCTCCGATTTCCCATTTCCAAGCAGCATAAGTAATCAGTCCCAGCACAGACATGCCCGTTTCAAAATCTAGACTGCTGATTGGCTGGTTATTAACGTCAATATTTCTTGATTTGCCTGCAATTCATTGTGGTTTGTGAATACAACAGCTTCCTTGGTTTGTAATTTAAAAGAAGGCATTGAAGTAAAGTATTGTTTAAGAATCGGTAACTAAGGCTACGTTCACACAGCAGGTAAAAGTGGCCCTAATCTGATTTTCTCACCAAATCCGATTTTTTGTTTGGCTGTTCACATTGTCTTTTAAACGTGATCTGTATGCGACATCAGTCTGAACAGATCAGCTCCTAAACCCACCGCATGCGCAAAAGAACAGTGCTTCACGCGGCTCATTCAGAGGTAAACAATGGATGAGTCTCTTCTCAGTTTTTAGTACAGAAACATCAGCCTAAATGTTTGAGGTCTCAGCAGCACGAAATGATGACTGATATCGAGTTGGACGTAAAAGTCTCATGAATTCCGATCCGGCTGTTCAGTCTGAGTCGCACTGCCGCGTATCAGATACGTATCGGATTTCAGTACCACATATGAAAGCGTCTCAAATCGGAATTGAAAATATCAGATTCAATGCGTTTTGTGCTGTTCACACTGCCACATTGGGACACACATGAGGAAAAAGATCAGATTTGGGCCACTTTTACCTGCTGTGTAACCGTAGCGTAGCCAAAGTCAGAGTATCGGTATTGATGTTGAAAATACCCAGCCCTACACGTTTGTTAGACATCCTACTCCTGTATCCTCAACCTATTATGACTGCAGCTGACGAATAGCACTGCTACAACAGCCACTTTCAATACACTAAAATGTCCTAGCAGTAAGTTTCAGGAGCTCAGTGGACCTTTATCCTTTAAGACATGATGCCAAGAACTGCCAAACGGCATCACCTCACACCGTCCACCTCACACAGTACCAGACAAACGCGGCCCAGAACCATCCACTAACAAAAATGTGTCCTACGAAACGTCTACAACCCCGTAATGTCTCGAATGAGCATAACTGATATGAAGCTTTATGTGTAGCACAGCATTTGTCTTTGGTTTGCGTGCCTGAGCAGCGATCAGTTCGTACGCCATAAAAACTGAGCACAAATTGATTATGCAGAGCCCCGTATTAAGGTGTCGGACAGCAGGGAGGCTATGGAGTAACTTATCTCGCTAATTGCTCCCCTGGCGTCCTTGTGGAGGAATCCAAAGGAAATGGAAGACTGCATGTTAGCACCCATATTAATATGCATATCGGATAACAGCCTGGTATTTATATACACAGTATAATGCTTGGTTTGGTTAATGATCATTCTACTGCACAAACTACGGGCATTGATTAGCAGAGTAATTGATTTATAGAGTCGACTGCTGGGAAAATAAGGTAAACCTCAGTAGCCACCTGATTATTTTATGCATTATGTACCATTATGTATCATTTGTGTACAGTTTAAACGCTGTGTAAATGAGTCCCGCCGTGGTGAGGAATGTGTACACAGCACACATTTTCCTCTTTCTGTTCAGGACATACGCGATGCGATCTTGTTGTTGGTTTCAGCAGAAAGTTCATAGCAAAAAAAAGAGGAGCTTTTAGATATAATAACTGTTATTATAGTCTGACGCGCTGTTTTAGGAGGAGCATCTGTTTGATATAGGTAGCATTTCCAGCATTACATTTATTCACATTTTTCTTAACGTCTTTAATGTAAACTAGTATCTCCGCCCCAAATCTGACTTGTCTGTTGCTGTTAAATGTAGAATAAGGTCAGAAATCTGTCGCTACAGCTTGGAATCAGCATAATCACTGCCTAAGGTCATCACCTCCATCATTGACCCATCGATGCTCTGCCCACAAATGCATTCTCTCATAGCTGCTACTGAGGCTGGACAAGGTTTACAGAACATTAGTATAATTGACCTAATGAGAACTTGTTGCACACAACTCAGGTTTCATCCAAATCTATGAAATCAGAGTGTTATTTATTTTGTATGTGTGTGAAAAGTGTCAGGATGTAGTTTAAGTGTTGTGTAAGCAAGTTTAAGCTAGTATGGTTGCAAATTTGTTGTCCATTTTCAACTGGAAACTCACTCAACCAATGTAAACTCCAACACTGAATGGGATTTTGGCCTTGTCCAACTTAGCAACAGTTGCTAGGAAAGGACCGACTTGTGGGCGGAGCACAGACAGGTCAAGTTCAGGGAAGTTTTTAGTGTAAACGTGAATATTAAGAGATGTGCTTCACTCCTCGCAAGTCATATAAAACTGTTTTAAAACGTCCATTAAATCAGGAAAAAAAGAACTATACTGTGTTATATAATAAATAATCTTGATTTATAGTTTCTATAGAAAAAAGTCTGCAGAGAAAAAAAAAGAAAAAAACAAAAAAAAAGCCAGCAAAGCAGAAGCAGCATCGCAGCTCTGTCCCAAAGAGAACAGCGTCCTGCCTCAGCTGCGGCCGAGCCGGCTCCCTCATATCGTGACATGGAGAGAGTCGTGCAGCCACTTGCCCTGGGCCGTTCCGTTCTGTTCGGCCCCGTCTGGCGTCTCGGTGGGGGTCACTCCAGACTCTGCGTAGTACTCGTCGTCTTCGTCGAAGTAGCCGTTCTCCATCCCGTACGGGCCGTCTGCGCTGGAACCGGCAGAAAGGTCCTGGCAGCTGCCCTTATACTCCTGGATGGACTCGTGGAGCGACCAGAGCTGGCAGAGCAAAGACATGTCCTGCTGCCGCAAACCCACCTGCAGCAGGAACAGAGCGGACAAGCAGTACATCAGCAAAGAGGAGTGAAACACACCATGGGCCGGTTTCCCAGACCCACATTAAGCCTGAGCCCAGACAAAGGAATGTTCAGCATTGATCTTATAATTCAGTCCAAGATTAGACCTAATCCATCATCTATGTTCTGAAATCCACCTCTGTAGGTCCAAAAGTGCCTGGACATCCCCTCTAATCTGAGGAGTTGGGCTATTTGGCAGATCCAGAGCTGACATAGGTGTTCGACTTTTACAGAAAAGCAGAATCTACGCAGAACTGGACCTAAGCCTATGGTCACTACATGCAATACCAAGCACCAGCTATAATATGGAGCAGGAGAACTGCGTTCTCTGGAGTGACCGAGCTCCATCCAGAACTAATCATCAACATCAGTACCTGATCTCACTAATACTGCTGTGGCTGAATGCAATGAAATCCTCACAGCAATGTTACAATGTCTAGTGTAAAACCTTCTCAGGAGATATATTTTTAACATTTAAAACATGTTCCATGTTAGTTATTAAAACAGAAATCATTTTTTTTTAAACATCTGCATAATAAACGCCTGCACAGTCTTTCAGAGTGGTTTTCTCAGAGCCAGAACTGTTCACAGTGGTGGTGATGGGAATCAGACGTCGGAAGAGTTTAATCTCTCTAAAAGCTCCCTCAGAAAAAATAAAAGATATTTAATAAAATGGTTATGAATACGCTGCCTGAGATTTGTTTTGACATAAGCTTTTATCCTTAACAACTACTCATGGCAGAGAGGTACACGCAGGGTGTTGTGCGGCAAACGGTCCCCAAAACAAAATGTATTTTTTCAATATTACGGCTATTTTACCATTATCAACATTACATACAAAAAATTAAAAATCAAAACTCATGTTTTGTAGGTTTACTTTTCAGTCTGGACAGCAAATGAGGTGGTCATATTTGTGTTGTAGACATGGTGACCCCTGGTTCCCATCACCACCACTGTAAAGAAAATCCAGGTTTCTCCAAACCACTGAAATATGTAGATTTAAAAAAAATGGTAGAATTCACCTTTAATCATGTCAAGCAGAACGTTTTTCAGTCTTACATCTGCAAAACTCATCTGAGGTTCAACTAAAAGTGTGTATGATTTACTGAAAACAACTGTTTTGCTAGTAATTGTGGGCAACTGTAGTTAAGTTAGGTGTTTAGCTGCTTTTTAAAAGCTAAGGTGAGGGATAAACAAGTCTGTTACACTTAAAGGAGCCTAAAATATTAACAAAATATAGAGATTTTGGTATTTTTGATATGAAAAACTCTGTTTTGCTAGTCAAAGTCTGAGACGAGGCTGAAGTTAGCTTCTTCTTATTCGAATTTTCCCGTTCCACCTTAAATAGCGCAGGATCTACGATCTGTCGCCTCAGACTCAGGCGCCGGAGTGTTGCTGCTGCACCATTTAAGGTGGAACGGAAAAATCGAATAAGACGCTGACTTCAGCTCGTCAGTCTGAGGGGAGTTGCAGCATAAAAACAAGTTAGTGACCACTGAAGAGCTTACAGTGTTAACGAAATATGTAATTTGGTCCAGACTGGACTCCTACGCCTACAAAAAGTGGGCTATCCAGGCGAGGCTAGTCTCAGAGAGGGATTAGAGCCGAAGCTAAAGCTGAAGCACGGCCGCTCAGTGTTTATACGGAGCAGAAGCAGCTGTTGCTCCCTTTCTTTTCCCCAGCTTTAGCAGCAGGAGGCTTTAACCCGACTTCACTCACCATTTCCTTTCTGAGGAGAGCCAGGGCAGCGTCGAGGTTGGCTGGTTTGCTGGCCAGCAGGCCGTCGGTGTTGGCCCTGCCGCGGCTCAGGTCGTCCTGGATCATGGTCTTCTTCACGTACACCCGCTCCATGTCCCTCCAAGAGCCGCCGCTCGAGTTCAGCAAGCCGCTCAGGCTCTTAGGAAGAGGGGGGAGACCCTCGATACAGGCCGGCGTCCCGCTCGCTGATTTCCCGTTCATTTTATCTCTGATATTTCGCCGAAAGTAAGAGCCTAAACAGACATTAACCACAGGGAGTAAACACGGCTGCTGCGGAGGACAACCGACGCCCAGCGTCGAAACACAACGGCACAGAAGAGCCGAGCTCTCCCGAAGAAGAGCTGGAAATCAGTGCGAGCGGAGTTTCACGGTTAGTGTGTCTTTAAGTAGGCGGAGCCGGCGATGACGCAGCGAATGATGAATATTCATGAGCGTTTAGTCCTGAATTAATTACTGTTGTTGTTGTTGTTGTTTTTTTTTTTTAAATCACGAAAGGCAGCGACGAAAGGTGGATTTATAAACATGAATTAAATAAATAAAAAAATAAACATGAAATAATAATCAAAATACGGTTTAAACAGACACCTCTTACAAAATGGATAAATAAGCACATAAATAAATCTACAAATAAAAATAAAGCGTAATCTACAGATTTCTCTTCAGGAATAAGGAAGGAAAAAACAAAGAAAAAAAGAACAAAAAATGTAAACACGTAAGTAAAGCTATTTTTAAACAGATACTTATTTTACACAGATGCAACAGAAAAAAAAGTTTTTAAACAATAAAAAATAATTATAATAATAAAACACAATCTGCACTTTTTTAAAACAGACAACTGTTATTAAACGAATAAAGTAACTGTAGTGACTTCTGCTCATAATAGCAGGCCTGATGGCCGGATATGCAACAATACTGTGACTGTCTAACATTTGCATTTGGATACTCAGCTAAAACAGACCGTCACCTTCTTAAAGCATTTACACCCTTGGCTCTGATGTTCTTTCCGGCCTCGTTTTATTGTATGGAGTGCTGTGGCCGCACTAAGTCAGCTGTCAGGACCTTGACTCCTAAGCCCTGTGGTCCTGGAGTGATTTGCGATGAGGTCAGGCCAGGAGAACCAATGTGTCAGGAGCGGAGAGCAGATGGCCTGCAGTGGAGCTACACAGGCCGTCCTGCCCTGATACGACACGTACACCCAGCCGCAGATGGAGACAAAAGCATTCCAGTCCAGCGCCATGTGGCCAGTACAATGGCCTTCACCGCGCACAGCTGTTAGACTCAGAGACTGTTCAGGCCCAGAAGAGTGCTAAAGCGTGTAATGACATTGTGAGTGGCAGACGAGGACGCGTGCCAAATTCCAGGTGCATTTATCCGAGAACAAAGGAAGAAAGGAGGACAGAGGAAAAAGACAAGTGGTGGATCATCTGGATGTCCTGGATATGCTAGCACTGACAGCTAGAACTGAAGCTGGCTGTATGGACACTTATAATGAATAAAGGAGAGATGGTATAATATCACCTTTTCTTTTCCAGTCCTGATACTGAAAGCTTGGCCTCTTTTCCACTGTAGGGCCGAATGGTTCACTGGGCTGTTCTGTGCCGGTTTGACTCCTGAGACTGGTGTCTTTTTCCATCTGCTGTGCTTCTCAATCAGAAACAGGAAAAACTACACACAACAGTGGCCCAGCGATGGCTAACAGGGTAATAGCTACACACATCACAGAACCTGTTTGATTACGGCTGTCGTTCCAACGCCAGTCATGTCAACTTTGTACTGTCAGAGTCTTTAAATCCCAAACAGCCATTATTTGAGCACCGTTTAGCTGGAACTTAGCCTGTACTGTGCTAGGTGCCACTTTTAGCCTGCTAACATTCCTATGCTAGCTTTAGCTTATGAGTTTTATAAATAAATGGCCCATATCTTACATTTTCATGTATGTATGATGTCATATCATACATTTTTCTGGCATTTTATTTTGTTCACCTGAAGTCTAAATATGTCTTGGTGGCTTTATGTATTAAAATCAGTCTTAATTTATTTTTATCCTTCAGAATTAAACAGGCTATCGTCACTGTGTCTTTAAGATATATGTAAATGAGCTCTGTTCTGACTGGGGTCTTTTTGCTGTGCTGCTACATCAGAAACAGGAAAAACTACACGCAAGAGTGGCCCAGTGATGGCTAATAGCTACACACACCACAGAACACATTCGATTACAGCTGCTCGTAGTATTTGTTGTTGCATTTCAGGCTGAAACGCTCCTTATAACTTCAGCAAGAATGGGTGGAGCTAAACTGTTGTGGCCTGAATTTGTGTATGTACATAAATGTATTGTTTCTCATGAAATCACAAAACAATGAATTCAATATGGGCTGGTTTTGCAGCTTAGTTTCCATATATCATGCATAATTACTCTGTAAATTATATGTTTTGATACTTCAGCAACGTTTACATACTAAAATATATATTACAATACACTTTTATTGAAAATACAATGTTTTCCATGATGGTCCTTTTAAGAGGCCACATTGTTTGCTGCCATCCTCTGACCACAGTACAAAGGAAGCACTTCCTGTTAAAACAGGGACTGTCAACAGGATAATAGGGAGACTGTAGAGGAAGCTGACTTCCGGCTGGACTAAGCCAGTGTCCACTCAGTGAGTCAACTAATTACTCAACTCTTAAATATGTTGAATTGTCATGTTCAGATGGAGCCACACTTACAGCAGACTAGGTCATTTAGTCAACCATGAGTGCCCCATTAAAGGAGATTCCCTCTTATTCTCCAAAATTTCTGGACAATTTAATGGTTAAGATATAAACGAAAATCAGTCAGAGTGGTCTGAGTTGAAATGCTCCATTCCAGAGAAAAGCACGTCAGAACTGATCACAGTGCTGGTGACAGAAATCAGACGACTGAAGAGTTGATTGCTTCTAAAAGTAAAATGGTAAAATGCTTCCTGATGCTTGAGACCCCTGGTTCCTATCACCACCACAGTAAAGAAATACAATACCCTGTAAAGAGTCAGTTAGTTTCACATCAAACCGCTCTGAAAGACTGTTTACATCTCAAAGAGTGAATTATGCAAAAAATATTTTAAAAATCGGTGGAGTTGCCCTTTAATACTATCTCTATCTGCATAATTCTGGTACTTTCTGTAGCCCTAATTTTATTAGAGTAGATGAAATATACTACAGTCTTCTTTTATGGAACCCCATAATCAAACAGACCCAAATCAAAGTACCACACATCTGAGGCCACTTGCATAAAACATCTATGTATCTATACTCACCTTTATTTAAATGCTTAAGGGATGAATTTAAAGCTGTACATTCAAATTGAAATTTTGTATCTATCAAAGAGATTTTACATAGTTTGGTTGTGGAAAAAGGTGTTTTTTTTTCTGCGCAATTCAGTTATTAAGATGTAAACAGAGTCATTCAGAGTGGTTTGATGTGAAATGATTCATTGTAGAGAAACTTGCTCAGGTTTCTTTACAGTGGTGGTGATAGGAACCAGGGGTCACCAGGTCTACGACACAAATAAAGGCATTTTACTATCCAAATTGACCAATGAACCTTGATATGTAACGTTAATGACGGTAAAATAGTGAAAAATTTGAAAAATATTTTGCCTGTAACACCTCGCATGTACCTCTCAACTATAAATGTGTTTTATAAGATACATTTCAGGCCAGAATCTCATCATAAAACTATCATACAACGTCTCTTCAGGCAGCACGTCCATCATTTCACCTAATAACTTTCTGTTATGGAGCTTTCAGAGGCTTCAGGCGCCTGGTTCCTATCACCAGATTAGAAGTTTTTAGTACTAATAAATAGTGATAATCACACTTTTCATAACCAATAGTTTAAAGACACTGAAAGATTTAAATATAGTTTAAAAAAGTATTTATATTCCAGCACAATAAGAAGAACAAGGGACAAACATGGGAACACAGGAAAAATGAATTAGGCAATATTATCATTATTTGTTTATTTACTTTTTGAATAAAATTATAATGTTAAACGTAATATGTAGCAGCATCATGTTCAGTCCTGAAATGCTGAACACAGAAAATAAAACTGAACACTTATTTATGCAAATATAACTTTGAACCTCTCAAACCTCTCAACATGTCTGAGGGTCCAGTTACAGTTAAAAACCTGAATTACTATATAAAAAAGGCTGAAAAATCCAGATCTTTACTCATAAATTCCAAATCTAAAACTTATGCAATACGCCTGGAACAACATAATAGCTTTTATGAGTCATGAAGGAGGAATTCTTCCATGACACACAGCAGCGTGTTGTGTCACACCTGAGCGTGCTTTCGAAAGGCGATTTATGTTGTGTCACCTGAGCAATGTTTTGTGCATCAGGCGTCATTATATCAGTCATTCAGCCCAGAAGAAACGCAGTGCAAGATGCTTTTGGGTGGGGCTGACCTTCAAACGGGCGTGATTCTTCTCACGGACGCGGCACCGACATGCAGGATGAAGAACAGGCAGCACCCAGAGATGATATTGATGACCCAGAGATGGAAACGTCCTCTCTACAGGCTGACCTTGCAGCCAGCGGAGCACTTTTTAAAAACCCAGAGAGGTGAAGAGTGAACAGAGCGAAATTCAATACTGCTGATTTGGCATAAAAGCAGCCCAAGGACTGCTGCAAGTACGTAAACCGCCGGCCTGATGTCGGTTGTGCTGTCCATCACAGTAACGCAGACCAATCGCAACACTTTTACCATAATGATGATGCTCTCCTGGGGACAGAAGGTCATTAAGAGCTCGAAACCAAACTTTGAAGTGGTGGAAAACAACAGCAGCGTCCATAGAAGATGACGACAAGGTGATTTCTATTTATACGTAATTCCGAGTGCGATCAATACGCAGCCCAGTACTGTGGATGGGCCATTTTTTTTGGGGTTCAAACTCTCTACTTATTCAAATGTGCAATTAAAATGAGCTGAGATTCAATCAGCACAGCAGATGAGATACACCAGACAAACACTGCATTATAAATCACTGAGGCTCATCAATAATTATGACTTTGATCAAACATTGAAGTGTGAGGTTACCGACTTTGGCCTGAATACGTCATGAACAAGTTTTAGTAAATCTGGAATACGAACACACATTCAGGTTGGTGTTACTATCTTTGTGAGGACTTCCACTGGCGTAGCTGTATTATTGTAGTTAAATAATGCTGTACCTGCGTCTCACTTAACAGCAGTGACTAAAATGCAACAGCTCTATATGTTGTAAAAGCAGCATGTTTGCTTGCAAGAACCAGCGAAATCCACTCATTACTATAAATCTATCACGTTTTGTCATCATGAAGACATCAGGTCCTCACAAAGTGGTAAAAACAAACACATTCGGACACATTCAACTCTGCTTCTCTGTACTGATCACTTAAGGCAGGAATCTAAATGCTCGTTAATTTGGGACTCGAGCACTTTGCTCTGGCACACGGGACAGTGCACAGTGACAGCAGAGGGAGCTGAAGAGCTGTGGGGGGCGCTACCTGCTGTCCCACCAGCAGCCCTTCCCTCTTCTCTCTGCTCCCTAGAGGAGGAAGTAGCAGATGACTGCCTGACTTCTCGCTGAAAGAAATCAAATATGTGTGCAGAATTACGATCGTCACGCAATCTTTTCCTCCCTCCCGGAGCAGCAGTGCCTGACTTGTTAGGGCTTCCAAAGGGTCTGGACGTTGAGGCTGGAACATGTGAACCGAGCTTTCCGGGACTTCCAAAGTGTTTTGAGTTGGCAGTCAGAGGGCAAGGGCTGCTTTCTGGCTTCACACTGGAACCCGGTGTTCCGGCTGTGGAATTCTTGGGGCTGCCGAAGTATTTAGAAAGGAGTGGCCCTGCAGAAGCAGGCTTCGGTCCAACAGGGTTATTAGAGGAGCTCTTGTTAAACGGGTTAGTTTTGGTACAGTCTGTACAGAGAGAAGGCTGCCCCAAGGGTTTAAGGTCCAAGGCACTACCCAGAGCTGGTATTTTGGAAGGCTGGTTTGAGGCTATGGAAGACGTGACGGGTTTTGTGGCACTTGTGGCGCTAGCTGCTTTCTCAGGAGAGTTCAGGCTCCTGGCCTGGAAAAGGTCCTGCACCGTCCTCTGTTTAGGTCTCATCAAGCTACTGTTGTCTTTTGTGATTCTCACAGGAGAGCCGTTGATATTGATGAAGGCTTTGGTGTTGCTGACGGACCGTTTAGGAAGCACCGTTGCACTGCTGGTGCTGACCCTCCTGTCCAAATGGATCGGGCTGGACTGTGGTTCAGTGTTTATGGGTGAAGTTTTAGCTGGTTCCTCCGGCGTTCTATGTGAAGGAGAGGGACTTTGGCTGGGTGGCTTCTGTATGGATGCGGATGGCTGTAAACTCCCTCCAAGAACAAAACCCCTGCCACTGAAAGGAATGATGTTCCTGATATCCTGAGAACCAGAACCTAAAAAAAAACAGAAAGAAACAAGTTAAATACCATTGTTTATAAAAGCAAATTAACCAAGAGCAGTTTCCAATGTTCTGTGACAACAGAGCTGCACAATATGGACAGAATACTATGTTGTGATTATGTTGCAACATATGCTGATTGCAATATTTATTGTAATATATTCAAAACACACAGCTGAACTTATGCTGATATGATAATAACAATAATAATATGCAAGATAACGTGTAGCCCAAGTGTACAGCACAGCAAACATAATCAAACAAACATTCTTTTTCGAGACTTATCAGCTCCTTTAAAAGAAAGCTAACTAAATAAATCAGCTTAAAGGGGAACTCCACCGATTTTGCAAAATTACTTAATAATTCAATGGTTTTGATGTAAACAAAATCATTCAGAGTGGTGAAATACGCCTTTCTAGAGAAACTTACTGAGTCAGAGTTGGTCACCATTATAGTACTAGGAAGCAGACGTCCGAAGCATTTAATGACTCAATAACTACATCCCATTATGTTATCATACAAAAGGATTACATATGCGTTGCTTGATACCTGAGAAATTGTTTTGTGATAGTTCTGTCATAAAGTTTTGGCCTAAAACATACTTTTAGTAAAAAAATATTACTCAAGGATTATTTCTGCGTTTCCTGTCAAAATCGCTTTCTCAACTGAAATCAATGCGCGCCAGCTAACATGCTTTTGTAGATACTAGAATGCAGCTGCAGCCGTTCAACAAGGCTAATGATGGTGCTGTATCTGAATCAGTTACCCCTCACATTCACGTTCCCTTTGACTAATCAGGTCCTCGGACACGCGCATTCACTGCACAGATAACAACACCAAGCAACACTGGAACGGCAGAAAGCGGAAGGGTTCAAAAAAGGTTGTACGTCAGCTGTATTCACCCAATCGGCGACGAACAGTACAAAAAGTATTTATCAGTACGATTGTTTACTCAAATTGAAAATAATATTTATCACTGAATTTTAATTATGCCATATTATCTTGGGCAAATTCATATTGGGGATTGGGTGAAAACGCGCAGCCGTTCAGTCTTTTTTGAACCTTTTCACTTTCCGTAGTTCTAGTTTTGCCTGGCATTGTTTTCTGTTCAGTGAATGCGAGAGAGAGAGAGAGAGAGAGAGAGAGAGAGAGAGAGAGAGATATGCAGCTCCTCTGATGAATAACGTTACTTACATAAGCTCTGAGTTTTGCTGACATCGTGTGACGCAACGCCACCAACCAAAACAGCACAAAACGCGCGCAGGGCGGAGAGGTATATGCAGGGCGTTGTAAGGAAAAAAAATAGTACCCAAAAAACATATTTTTTCGAATTTAGCACGATTTAATCATTATCAGCATGACATATAAAACCTTATAAGACACATGCAGATAAAATGGTGATTTTGTAGTGTAGACATATGAACGTCTGGTTCCTTGTACTACAATGATGAACACTTTTGACTCTAAATTTCTCTAGAAAGGCGCATTTCACCACCAAACCACTCTGAATGATTTTGTTTACGTCTAAACCCTTGAATAAGTAATTTTGCAAAATCAGTGGAGTTCCCCTTTAATGTAATGACGGCTCGAATCACCTGTGCTGCTGCTGGCTGATGTGATTTTGCTTGCAGGCTTCTTGGATGCGTTCTTGTCCTTCTTCTCCTCGTTCTTGCCCTTTTTCCCATAATTTTCTGGCTCTTTGATCTTAGTGAATGTTCCTCCACAGGTTCTCCGATGGTCCTCCCACCACAGGTCTCTGGCTGAAGGAGCTCGGTTCATCGCTCGTTTCACGTAACCGAAGAACGGCTTGCGGTTCTGACACGGTCCATCGCAACGCCACCAGTGCTGCCGGTAAACATCCACCTCATCATGGAAGGAGTGGTAAATCTGGAAGATGAGGGAGATTTATTGCTCAGATTATGGAGTGATAGAGGATAAAGGCTGGCACAGTTGAGTGATACAGCCAAAATAAAACTACCATAGCATCCAGTCTCACCTCAATATATCAATGCTGTTGGAAAAAAACCTCGTATCTCCAAAAAGATAACTTTACAGGACAGAGAAAATTGTTTTTAACTTTTAATGGAAGTAAATGGAGAAATATTTCTGGACCATTTCTGTTGGACCGTCCATCATGAAATTTTGACACAACATGATTTGAAAAAGGCAGCTGCCCTTTATGTCAAAAATGGAGATATATTTATGGTGTACGTCTATTCTCAGTGGCCCCTTTATCAAGAACAGTAGCAACACTTTAGAGCACTGAGAACAGCCCACTACCAAAAAATCTAGTTAAAAGTGGCTCTGTGGTCATAAACTAACTCTCTGCATCCCTTTCCTGGCTTCCTGTAGCTGCCCACACTGTATTTAAAACCCTGATGGTCGCCTACAAAAGCCAACAACGGACCAGCCTCTCCTCATCTAATGGCAGCGGTCAAAACTTGATCTGTACTTCGTGCCCTCCGAGCTTCAAGTACAGCTCAGCATGAAAGACAAGCATCAAGACTCTTCTCTGTCTTGGCACCAAGGTAGTGGAAACAACTTTCACTGGCTGTCGAGTCTCCCGCCATCTCTGAATGCCGAGTAAAGATCCATCGTCTTTCTTTCTGGATATCAGCACTGAGTTTTGTTCCTGGCTGTGTTTTAGCACAGTGAAGCTAGGACTATTTGTAAGAGCTGCACTCTTAAAATGATGGATCTTTTATGGGTTCTAAAGTAAAGAAAATGGTTCTACATAGAACAATGTACACTCAAAAAGGCCTCTGCATGATTAAAGGGTCCTTTGCATTGTGAACGTGTGCTGTAGATGGTTCTACACACCGTTTAAAGGTTCTGTGCAGGTATATTTTCTCGTTCATTAAATGTACTAACAATGTAAATGTTTCCTCAAAGGTACAACAGTGGCTTTAAGGTCTGATTGTGAACCTTAAAGAAGTTTTTCCAGGTGAAAAGTACGTATTTGTACCTTTTCATAACCGAATGTTTTAAAACAGAACAATAAAATAAAAGCCTGGAGACGAGACAGGGTGTGTGGCGTCAGTACAGCTTAGAGAATATAATTTCAATGGATTATGGTACATTTATGTTCCCTGACTAAAGGTACTGAGATGTATGCTTGAGGGTCCCACCCCAGTGACAGAAAAGGGTTCTGTATAGTACTAAAAACCGTCAAGCTTGTAACAATAGTAGAACCCTTTCCTTTGAGTGTTCATAGTTCTATACAGATCAATTTTCCTTACTACAGAACCCTTGAAGAACCATCATTTCTAAGTGTGTAGAATACATTCTCTGAGAGAACCACAAAGCACTTTTGTAAGTCTATCTGAATAAGATCATCTGCTAAATACGAAAAACGCGAATGTGAAGGTAGGTGTGTCTAATAAAGTAAGTCCGCCCAATACAGCAACACTGCTGTGGCTGATACATTTGCTCCAGCACCAAACACACTGCAGTGTCAGTGTCTGTGCTGAGAATGGATAACCACGCACACAGTATCTGGACAACAGTGGTCTTCTGTTCAGAAACAGTCAGGAGTACTAAGTAAACCTATAAAGTGGAACCATAAGTACGGCTGGACCATCTGTCAATATGCCAATAATTACCGTTATGGTGATTAATTATGTCATTATGTCACAGTGTGTTTTAAGAGCAGATCGTGACTGTCTGCAGAACCCCCCCCAACCCACCCCCCATCAGATCTCACACACCTACAGCACTTAAAATATCTCTATAGAGTAAAGATTTTCTTGCTTTTTTCTATTTACAATGTTTAGATTGTTAATTCCTCACCATTCCCTACATGGAATATAAATCAGTACCTCATGTGCAAAATTCCATGTGTAAATCAGGTAAAATATCCTTACAGTGTAAATATGTTCTGCTTTTTTATTTATAATTCTTTATATTGTTAATTTTTGTGAATAAAGTTTATGTGAAGGATGGAGTTTATATTTTTTTATCTTATATTTTGTATCTTTAGTATTACATATGTTGTCTATAAAGTAACAAGTAACAAGCTGTAAAAACCTTGTTAAGCTTGTTAATTCTCTTCTTGTTACTTCTTTTCTTGAGGATTATCTTCTTATGTCATCAGAACTTGATTACAAAGAGAGTGTAATTAGTCCTGTTTAACTGGATTTTGTGCAGCACTGTGTGTAAAAACTACAAATCACTATAATGACAGCACTATTTTGTCTGTTCCAACTTTCTGCATGTCAGAAAAACAAACATTGTAACATACCATGTATCATGAATACTTCTCGAAATATTATATTACATTTGTGCCATATTGCCCAGCTCCACCCATAAGGTATCTTTATAATAACTAATAATACCAATACCGTATGTCACAAATGGTATTTGTTGTATAATTCCCAGTCACACCAGGCTTTTTCTAGTTTTCTTCCCAAATTAGTCATAGGTCTCCCCTGAGGGTGAAAGTTAGCACAAGCTTCCTCTGAGTTATGTAAAGCGCCGCCTCATCTTTTTGAACTGCTGCTAACGCAACATCACAGGACAGCTGAACGCACTTGGAGGAGATGCTAACCACCAGTTCTAACTGACGCCTGTGCTGGCTAGCTTTGTACTGAGTGATGCAGGGAGAGGGAGGGCCATCTTGGACTGCTGGCCATAGATGGCTGTACACCAGGCTGTTTAAACTTCAGTTTAACAAGATGGACAGATGGAAGAAACAATAAGTGAAGGGCACTGTAAGTATTATTTCATCAGTAAAATACATACAGTGATGTTGGTTCCGCTGGCGCTATTTATTCGGTTCATGTGTTTGCAGAATTCCGGCCCATGACCGTCCCGGTCTCTGTTGTTCTGGGTCACAAACAGGAGAGCGTGTATCATCTCATGAAGAAGAGTCTAAGGACAGAACAACATACAGCTTTGGTGAAACTTTCAAGTCATTTGATTTTGAACAAATAAAAAAGCATGGCACTGATCAATCTCTTATCAACACAGTGTCTACAGTGTTCTGCACACATTTACTAACCTCCACCAGGTCTTTTCGAGGTCTGAGTTTCAGAAGAGGTTCGCTGAGACGAATGGAGCACAAACCACCTCTCCCTTCATAAGAGCACACTCCAGCACACCTGGATTAGAAGATGAGAAAATTTATGCAAAAATCACTGAGACTGTGGACAGCTGGAAGGCAATGAAAGGAGTAATGATTTGCAATGATTAATTACAAAAATGCAAAATAAACTGTCAATCTTTATCACAATATTGGCCTTTGCAAAAATCATATCACAAAAAGCCGCAACACACAAATCAATCCTGTGAAAAACTGCAATTGTTTTAAATTTGTTTTTAAATCCAGATGTGTCTTCTGAGGTTGTTTTAACAAATTGTAAAAAATAACTAAATAAATAAGTAGATAAAATAAATGCCAAAATGTCAAGACCCCAAACAAACCACCCCTTTGCTTCCACACTTATTGTCCATTTTATCAGCTCTACTTACCTTCTAGGAACGCTTTGTAGTTCTACAATTACAGACCGCAGCCCATATGTTGCTTTGCATACTTCGTTAGCCCCTTTCACTCTGTTTTTGAATGGTCAGGATCACCGTCACTGCCCACTCTAATAGACACTCCTACCTTGTTGGTCCACCTTTTAGATGTAAAACCAGAGACGATAGCTCATCTGCTGCTGCACAGGTTTTGTCAGTCATCCTGTAGTTCTTCATCAGTGCTCACAGGACGCTGCCCACGGGACGCTGCCCACGGGACGCTGCCCACGGGACGCTGCCCACAGGACGCTGCCAGCTGGATATTTATGGCTAATGGACTGTTGTCAGGAGTTCAAAACTTCAGCAGCACAACACACACTAACAGACACTACCATGTCACTGCAGTGCTGAGAATGATCCACCACCCATATAATACCTGCTCTGTGGGGGTCCTGACCACTGAAGAACAGGGTAAAAGGGGGCTAACACAGTATGCAGAGAAACAGATGAACTACAGTCTGTAATTGTACAACTGCAAAGTGCACCTATATGATAAATTGTCAATGAGTGTATAAACAAGGATGTATTTTATTGCTAAAACTGACTGGTGCAAGTTAGCAATCTTTTTCTTCTTCCCAGTAATTTAATATCCATGTCATCACACCGAATCACTAAAAAGTGTTTTGATAAGTTATCTAAAAACAATGTGTTATCAAAACATTGAAAGGCACATAATCTGTAATATAACTGCAATATGAGATTTCCATCATGCAGCCCTGAGAGTCCTAAATATCTCAGTCTTACAGTGTCATTCGAGGGCTCCACTTGACCTCGACCCCGCTGAGTTTCCCCCAGAAGAACATGTCGTTGAACTGCAGGAACATGGCCCGTACATCTGGACTGGGGTCCAGCATCTCCCACCTCTCATCCACTATGGACATGGGAGCCTGAGGACGGACAGCGGTCCAGTCAGAGGAGTCAACCCTTCGTTTCTTACTGAAAGGGAAGCCGTCGTTGTCTTCGTCGGCCCATGAAGGAGCCAGGGCTTCGTTATTAAACTGTTCCTGCAGCTGCAGAGCGAGGATGAAGTCCTCATCCTCCATGATGATGCCTGTCCTGTAACGTTACCGCTGCTGCTATTTACATATAAAACCCCGCTGACTGTTACTGACAGCTACCATTCTCACCGCTATAACCACAAACATTTGGAGCACATGCGAAGTAAAATGTGTTCAGTCCTTCGAATTAACTTGTTTGTTTTTGACCGCAGAGCGGTTTAAACCGAAAATGACCGAGCTGCTCAGAAAGAGCTCCTTGTTTGGCTAACGTTAGCAGTAGGCTAACGCATAATTTAAATTGGTTTCAGAAGAAAGCGAGTTTTTGAGGCACAAATTCTTGTTTTTCTCGGCAAAGCAGCGTTTGGGGAGTTTTAAAAAGAAAACATCAGCGTTACCGATAACAAAAACGTTGTTTAAAGCCCGAATTAATTCGTTTTAAGCAGAAAATAAGCAGCTAGCATTTGCGCCGCTGTCGGTTAGCGCAGCGCAGAAGAGCACGACGGGAAATGTAGTCTTATTGGAAACGTAAACAGAGGAACGTAACCATCAGACAAGCACGTATTTTTTAAAACTTATATTAAAAAAAAGAAAAGCCGCTCACGATATCATTTTGTGCCTTTTATTGTTTTTGTATAAAAATATAAAACTATTTCGTCCTCGCAGACACTTCTTGGTCTCTGATTGGCTGTCCTGCTCTGACGTAAGCAGAAGTCCGCCTTGCCCTGTTTCCTGAGCAGGAAGAAGGTTGGTCGCAAAACAGTAATGGTGGCTTGATTTCGGTAAATAATCCGACTCTGTCAGCGAGTTTTTCCCCACTGTACGACCACCGAGATGGCTGAGACTGGAAGCAGGCTGCGCAAGCAGCTGGAATCGGCCAATTTCGACCCGCAAAACTACGTGAAGCAGCTCTCTCAGCAGTCTGATGGAGACAGAGACCTGCAGGAACATCGGCAGAAGATCCAGAGCCTGGCCGACGAGACAGCCCAGAACCTGAAGAAGAACGTCTACAAGAACTACAGGCAGTTCATCGAGACTGCTAAAGAGATCTCCTACTTGGAGAGTGAGATGTACCAGCTGAGTCACATTCTGACTGAGCAGAAGAGCATTATGGAGAGCATCACCCAGGCCCTGCTGTCCACGGACAAAGACGAAACTGCCAAAGAAATGCTCGCCGCCTTCCCCAAAGAGACGGAGGAGGTAAAACAGAGGACCCTGACCACGCTGCTCGAGAAGGTGGAAGGGTGCAAGAACATCATGGAAGCGCCTGGCAGGTATCTGGTCTACAACGGCGACCTGTTCGAATACGACGCTGACAACATGTCTCAGATCCAGAAGGTGCACGCCTTCCTCATGAACGACTGCCTGCTGATCGCCACATGGCTGGCAAACAGACGTGGGACCGTAAAATATAAGTACAGCGCACTGTACGACCTGGAGAGCTTCGCCGTCGTCAATGTGAAGGACAACCCTCCCATGAAGGACATGTTCAAGATCCTCATGTTCCCAGACAGCCGCATCTTCCAAGCGGAGAACAGCAAGATCAAGAAAGAGTGGCTGGAGATCCTGGAGGAGACCAAGAAAAACAAGGTGGCGAAGGACAGGCACAAGAAGGAGGAGGAGGTCCCTACGTCGCCGGTCAGGCCGGAGGTCTCCACTAACCCCTTCGACGAGGACGAACCTTTAGATTCAGAGGAGCTGGTGGACCTGAGTCCGGAGTGGATCCAGGAGCTGCCCGAGGACCTCGACGTCTGCATCGCTCAGCGAGACTTTGAGGGCGCTGTGGACCTCCTTGATAAGCTGAACGAGTTCCTGAAGGACCAGCCGGTGACTCCGCGGGTCAAAGAGCTCAGAGGTAAAGTGGACGAGCGCGTCCGGCAGCTGACTGAGGTCTTGGTGTTTGAGCTTTCCCCTGACAGGTCGTTACGCGGGGGTCCCAAAGCGACCCGCCGGGCCGTCTCCCAGCTAATCCGGCTGGGCCAGTCCACCAAGGCCTGCGAGCTGTTCCTGAGGAACCGTGCGGCTGCGGTGCACACGGCCATCCGGCAGCTCCGCATCGAAGGCGCCACACTGCTTTACATCCAGAAGCTCTGCAACATTTTCTTCACCAGCCTGCTGGAGACGGCCCGCGAGTTCGAGACCGACTTCGCAGGCAACACGGGCTGCTACTCGGCCTTTGTCGTGTGGTCCCGCTCGGCCATGAAGATGTTTGTGGACGCCTTCAGCAAGCAGGTGTTCGACAGCAAGGAGAGCCTGTCAACAGCAGCCGAATGCGTCAAATTCGCCAGCGAGCACTGCCGGCAGCTCAGCGAGATCGGCCTGGACCTCACCTTCATCCTGCAGTCGCTGCTGGTCAAGGACATCAAGGCCGCCCTTCAGAGCCAGAAGGACGTCATCATCGAGGCCACCAAGCACCGGAACTCAGAGGAGATGTGGAGGAGGATGAACCTGATGACCCCCGAGGCTCTGACCAAGCTCAAGGACGAAATGCGGAGCTGCGGCGTCAGCACCTTCGAACAGTACACCGGCGACGACTGCTGGGTCAACCTCAGCTACACTGTCGTGGCCTTCACCAAGCAGATGATGGCCTTTCTGGAGGAAGGCCTCAAACTCTACTTCCCCGAGCTGCACATGGTGTTCCTCGAGAGCCTGAGGGAGATCATCCTGGTGGCCGTGCAGCACGTGGACTACAGCCTGCGCTGCGAGCAGGAGTCCGAAAAGAAGGCCTTCATCCTGCAGAACGCCTCCTTCCTGCACGAGACCGTGCTTCCTGTGGTGGAGAGGAGGTTTGAGGAAGGTGTGGGCAAACCAGCCAAGCAGCTGCAGGACCTGAGGAAGAGCTCCCGGCCGGTCCGCGTCAACCCGGACAGCACCATGTCTGTGGTGTAATGGGGGAGGATAGTTAATCACTTGTACAATTGCTTTATTAACAGTGCTTTATAGTGTTCCGTGTGGCCACTTATCAATGTATTTGTAATTCACAGCATTAAAATGATTGAAGAAGTAAGACTTATTTTTACTTGTGTTTCTATCGCAAGTACTTTCCAACCTCTTTGAATGGCTTTTAATTATTATTTAGTTTTATTTTTAATTATTATAAACTTTATTATTCCCATTATTAGTCCTACTATTTGGTACTATAAGACTATAATTGATTATAAATCATAACTACTGTTAAACTAATTTCTAAGTTACAGATTTATGAGTGCGAAACTGAGCGATTCAGAGAAGATAAAGTGTGCAAATGTTTGGGCGCCCCTGGTCAAATGATATGTTTTTTTTGATTTTCTAACACAAGTCTGCACAATTTAATGCATAATTGCTGTTTATTTGCTGAATTTAACATAATTTTGGGGGCAAAAAATTAAACATGGCCTGTGCAAAAGTTATGGAACATCTTTTATTAGCTCAGCAAACAAATAGAGGTTGTGCACTAAAATTGTTGTTAAAGTTCCCTGTAAAGAATGTGGAAACTTATTTTCACTTAGAAAATAAATAAAACGTAGAGCTTAAAGATGAATCGTTTTTATATCGCAATCACAATTTGAAAGTGCAATTTTCACATTACTAGAGCTGCATTTTTAGTATAAAATACATTATCAACAGTGTTGTCTTATGTTTTAAATGGAAAAAAATAAGCTAAAAACACAGATTTTTGGAAGCTGCCTGTAGATGAGTTTGACCAATCAGAACACATGTTCTGTATATGTGACATCACAACCATAACAACTAACTCAGTGTTCAAGACTTATGACAGAAAACATGGATATTCTGCTCTTCTTGGGCAAAAAAAATAAAAACAAGCCTGGAAATTAGTTTCATTCTTAGAAATCATTCAGCCCTAATTACATGGGGGGTATTCAAACTTTTGCATGTGATTATGTATTGTATATAAGTAGATCTGTAATTTGGTTACGTTAAATTTATTAAGCATAAATCTTGGGCTAAACTGCAATATCTAAGGTGGTTTCATGAGCCTTCATTAAGCCTAGTCATGTACTATTATTCTTTCAATGGAGAATCTCCATCTAAAATACTGCGTAGTCCAGGACTTAATTTCTGCCCGGAAACAAATCCCAAGTGTTTTCTTTGCTCTAATACTCCAGGTTCAGCTTATCAGCTGTACTTTGAAACATACCTGAGGTGAGAGTAGGTAGGATACTGAACAGCACAGTGCTGGGTTTGCGAGGACTGAGTGAGAGCAGATCTGCTTTAGTCTCATGTTTGAACGTCTTATCCAAGACCAAAATTGCTAAACATACACATGACAGAAAAACCATGATGATAAAACAGATGAACACTGCGTTTGTTCCTCCGTAGAGGACGTTAACTTATTTTCCACTTTGACCGGGGGTGCCCAAACTTTTGCATATGACTATGCATGCTTAAAGTATGTGTTTGAGTCTGATGGGAAACTTGCTGCATCTGTAAAACTGGGAACGAGGCCCAGTGATGTGACTGTGAGTAGAACTTTAAGGACAGACCAAATAACCAAATTGATCACATTTAATTTCCATTCTTTATTTTCTATTTTGTGTTCAAATTCAGTGAAACACAGAAAGTCAAATGCGAGTTTTGATCCTCTGAATTCTGAGATTTTACACTTTGGCGCCCACTAGTGTCCAAAGATGGACAGTCCAGTGAAAGTGAGAGGAGGATTCCCCCACTGGACAAAAGAAAGATCCTGTTTATCTTCACACTTGAAAAAGATGGTTCCTCAAGGGTTCTTTAGTAAAGGCAGTGGTTCTGTTTAGAACCATGAGTTCTATATAGATCCATTTCATGCTTAAAGGGTTGAATGGTGAAATGGCTCCTCTGATTGATGGTGAATGTGTTGTATGCAGTTCTATATAGAACTCTGTTCTTCAGTGGTCAGGACCCCCATGGACCCTCACAGAGCAGGTACTATTTGGGTGGTGGATCATTCTCAGCACTGCAGTAACACTGACGTGGTGGTGGTGTGTTAGTGTGTGTTGTGCTGGTACGAGTGGATCAGACACAGCAGTGCTGCTGGAGTTTTTAAACACTGTGTCCACTCACTGTCCACTCTATTAGACACTCATACCTTGTCAGTCCACCGCCTCTCAAACTGAAGCTAGAAATGGACAGTAACTTCAAAAATACGGTGATTTTCAAGGCCTCCTTCAAATATGCAAATATGCTCTTACACTTGTAGGACGAAATGGACGCAGACATGCTACTCATAAATCCTGGACTCCTAATGGGAAAATGCAAGTAGACAATATTAACACTGCATTAAACACGTTTAGTGCTCTGAAATAAAACCTAACGCGGCTGTTTTGATGTTTTTATATTCCTCGCTGAGCACAAACAACTGGAAACGCCTTTGCTGTTTACTCCCCGAGTCTCTACTCTGACGCGGCTGATAGCAAAGGCATTCTGTAAATTGCGAGTGAGGTGTTTTCAGGCTGGTTGACCCTGTGCCGGACCGTAATAGATTTTCCTCTTTTAGCCTGCGTCCTTTTCACGTTTAACTACTGAGGATTATGGGATTTGTAGTTTTTAGGCCAAAGAAGGGAACTCCAGCGGTCATTGAACCGCGTTTGGATTCGAATCCGGCCGGACTACAACATCCACGAGCCTGCGCTTGAAGCGCATGCGCGGACAGGAGTTGGTTTTTTTTTTCATCCCACCCGTTTTCAGGCAAGCCTCGCCTTACTGCGCTACGATTGGCTGGCAGGCGGTACTCAGCGAGCAGCAGCGTTCTAGAACGTGCTACGATTGGCTAGTAGTTCATACACAGAGACAGCTCGTTCTAGAACGCTTCTCCAGGCGAGTACGGAGTAGCAGCCAATCGTAGCGCGACGGCCGGAATGCTACCAGCCAATCGTGACGCGCAAGGGGGCGGAGCTTGAGGAAATAGCGTTCTAGAACGCTTGGTGGCCTGGCATTCTGGAACCTCGGGCTGCTTTTGAGCGTGGGCAACTAGCTACTGATAGTCAAGCGTTCTAGAACGTTCCAACAGCTTGGCGTTCTAGAATGATGAGCTGCTCATCAGTGACCAATCCCAGCGCGTGAAGGGGCGGGTCTTGCGCCGAATACGGGTGGGAAAAGGAACCCCGCGGTGCGTGTGTGGGGGAGCTGTCCGAGCGGAGCAGGTGCTGTTCGGCTCCGTCTCTCACTGTTTCTCCGCTGCGCCGCGATGGAGGAGGAACTGAAGTGCCCCGTGTGCGGCTCCCTCTTCACGGACCCCATCATCCTGCCCTGCTCGCACAACGTGTGCGCGGGCTGCGCGCGGAGCATCGCCGTGCAGACCCCGGAGGGCGAGACCCCCCCTCACGCGGCGTCGCACGGGCGCGCGGCGGCGGCCTCGGGAGCCCCGGACTACGACTACCTGGACGTGGACAAGATGAGCACGCACAGCGAGACGGACAGCGGCTACGGCTCGTACACGCCGTGCGCCAAGTCGCCGAACGGGGTGCGCGTGTTCCCGCCGCCGCCCGCGCTGGTCGCGGCGCGCCACTGCTCCGTCACGTGCCCGCTGTGCCACCGCAGCGTGTCGCTGGACGAGCGCGGGCTCCGCGCCTTCCCGCGCAACCGCCTCCTGGAGGCCGTGGTGGCGCGCCACCGGCAGGGCCGCGCGCGCGCCGTCAAGTGCCAGCTGTGCGACCGCAACCCGCCCGACGCCACCGTCACGTGCGAGCAGTGCGACGTGTCCTACTGCACCGCGTGCCAGCAGAGGTGCCATCCCGCGCGCGGACCGCTCGCCAAGCACCGGCTCGTGCCGCCCGCGACGCTCGCGCAGCAGCAGCAGCCCACAGCCAACAACAACGCGGCCAACAACGTCGTCAGTGCCGCCGCCGCGGCCGCCCGCGCGCCCTCGACCTGTGTGGAGCACGAGACCGAGAACCTCAGCGCGTACTGCGCGAGCTGCAGGACGCCCGTGTGCTACGTGTGTGTGGAGGACGGCAAACACGGCAAACACGACGTGAAGCCGCTGGCGGTCATGTGGAAGCAGCATAAGGTAAGAGACAGAGAGGAGAATCAACACCTGCACTGCTGATCACTGTGCGCGGTGTTTATTCAGTCTCATAGTGCAGTACCAACACCTGTAGTGTTCGTAGTGTTGAATTAGCACTCACCATGTTGAATACCTACAGTGTTGGATCAACACCTTACAGTGTTGCAGTTACACTGTGGTCTTGGATAAACACCTTAAGGTGTTGGTTAAACACATTACAGTGTTGAATTAACCGCTACAGGTGTTGGACTGACGCCTTATAGTGTTGGACTAACACCGTACAGTGTTGAATGAACATCTTAGTGTTGGATAAACACCTTCATTGTTGGAATGATGCCTTATAGTGTTGTATGAACACTTGAATTAGCTCCTACAGTATTGGAATAACACCTTATAATATTGGTTAAATGTTTTACAGTGTTAAGTAAACACATTACGGTGTTTTATGAACACCTTACGATGTTGATAAACTCCTACTGTGTTGAATGAACAACTGCATTGTTGAGTGAACACACTGTAGCTGTTCATTCAGCATTGCAAGGTGTTTATCCAACATTGTCAGGTATCATTCCAACACCATAGTGTTAATCCAACATAGTAAACTGTTTGTTCAACACTGTAAGTGTTCATCTAACAGATTAAGATGTTTATCAAACACTATCCAACACTGTAAGGTGTTAACCAACACTATATGGTGTCATTCCAACACTGTAAGGTGTTTATCCAACACTGTAAGGTATTTTTCCAACACTGTAAGCTGTTCATCCAACACCATAAAGTGTCATTCCAGCAACAGTGTCGTATCAACACTGTAGGTGTTCATCTAACAGTGTAAGACGTTTATCCGACACTGCAAAATGTTAATTGAACTCTAGTGTCTTTCCGACAATGTAAATGTTCAACCAACTCTATAAGCTGTTTATCCAGTACTATTAGGTGTCAACACTGTAGGTGTTCATCCAACACTGTAAGGTGTTTACCAAACACTATAAGGTGTCGTTCCAACTGTATAGATGTTCCGCCAATGCGTTAAGGCGTTCATCCAACACTATAAGGAGTTCTTCCAACACTGTAGGTGTGCATCTAACACTGTGAAGTGTCATTCTAACACTATAAGTGTTCATCCAACACTGTAAGGTGTTCATCAAACACTATAAGGTGTCGTTCCAACAATATAGATGTTCAACCAATGTGTTAAGGTGTTCATCCAACACTATAAGGAGTTATTCCAACACTGTAGGTGTTCATCTCACACTGTGAAGTGTCATTCTAACACTGTAAGTGTTCATCCAACACCATATGGTGTCATTTCAATACTGTAGATGTTCAACCAACACACTAAGGTGTTCATTTGACACTACATGTTCATCCAACACTGTAGGGTGTTTATCCAGCACTGCAAGATATTTATTTAACACTGTAAGGTGTTGTTCCAACAATGTAGATGTTCAACCAACACTGTAAGGTATTTATCTAACACTGTAGTGTCATTCCAGCACTGTAGCTGTCAATCCAGTCCTATAAGGTGTCATTCCAACACTGTAAGGTGTTTATCCAATACTCTTAAGACGTTTAACCAGCACTATAAAGTGCTGCATCAACAAGAAGTGACAGTTGCCCTGACCCAGATTATGCCTAAGCTTGTGCTGGCATTGCATGGTGTGTTATATGATGTTATGCATCATAAATTCTAGGAATTGTAATTTTTTTATGTTAATTGTGTTACAGAGCCGCACGGCCGGCATTGATCTTTTGTTTATCTGAGCCAAACCAATCTGTGTGGAATAGATCTTGATCTCAGAATTGAAAATTGCATCAAACCTGGAAATATGTGCATTGCTGTGCCCCTGGCGTGCATGCGTGTGTGCAAACATGAACAGATTAACATTGACATATGAACACAAGGCTTATATTTGGGACTCCTTATGTTAGCTGTATTTATAAAAAGTGTATCATATTGAGCCACCATCATATGGTAATGAATCAAATGTTGAATTTTGTGCATCATTACATCGTTACATATATCACATGTGTGTCACACATGCTCTTTTCCCAGATTCCTCTTTTTAATAGCCAATCATGGAACAGATAATAGATTAGCTTTGAGTTCCAGCCTCTGCTTTGGTCACTGTAGTGCCAGCTGTGTGTGGCTTAGCATCGCTGACCTCTCGCTCTGTGCACAAATAAAAAAACACAATCAACATCAAATTGTGTGTCTCTCTCGCTGGGAGCCTCGCTGAGCTGTTTTGCGTGTGTGGTTTTTACTCCATTGACGCAAACTGTGCCTGCAGCTCCGTGTGTGTAATTTGAATCTGTGGGAGTAGGTCACCAGTTTGTGGGAGGAAGAGGAGTGTGTGTGTGTATGAGTGTGTGTGTGTGTGTGTGTGTGTGTGACTCAGCCCGGATCCAGCCTCTCTCTCCTCCACACACACACAGAGTAATGGATTTGGATGCAGCTGAATGCATGATTTTACTGCATAAAGCCGTCAAATTGACAAACGAATTTAGAAGCTTTTCTCCCCTGCAGGACAGATTGAGTCTGTAATCGCACTTCTTTGCCTGATTGGGTTCAGTTCGGAGCGCCGGGTCGACAAACATGAGACTTGTTTGTCATTCACCAGCGCTGAAGGCCGTTACGGTAATGAGGGGATTAAAAACGGGGGGTGAAAATGAAAACAGAATGTAATTGAAAACAGGAGCAGACTGGAGTGAAAACTTCAGCTGTTGTGGAATATCATTAATCTGTTAATAATGTTGTTATAAGCGTTGCATAGATACTGAGACCATATTGGCATTGGACCCAAATACAGTATCGATATCAATAGAGAATACTGATGCCGTGACGTTTGCATTTGTGCCAGTAGATGGAGCTTACCTGAAGCAAGCAGCGTTGGTGGTAAGGACGAGCATTATCCATCCATCCATCTTCTAAGCTGCTTATCCTTCTGGGTCACTGGGGATGCTGGAGCCTATCCCAGCGTTAATTGGGCAGAAGGCAGGAAACACCCTGGACAGGTCGCCAGTCCATCACAGGGCAGACAGACACACATACACACTCACACCTAGGGGCAATTTAGCATCTCCAGTTGGCCTGACTGCATGTCTTTGGACTGTGGGACGAAACCCACGCAGACACAGGGGAGAACACGCAAAGTCCACTCTGAACGGACCCTGGTTGCCTGGCCGGGGAATTGAACCCAGGCTCTTCTTGCTGTGAGGCAACAGTGCTACTCAAATTATCCAATCCCCCTTATTCCCGTGTGTCAGACACAAGGCCTGTGGGCCAGATCAGGCCCACGACATAATCCAACCCGGGCCGCAAAACCATTTTCATTTTCTGTTAATATTAGCTAGTTTCACAATGTTCTGCACTACAGTCCCCAGCATGCACTGCAGTGTAAAGTGCACTCTGACTCTCCTACCCCAACAACAGCCTGTGGGACAGCGGTTACACCTCAGTTCTACACAGTTCCACACCAGTCATGTCACCAAACACACCAACTGCATTTCAGCTGCAGTCCAACCAACATAAACACCTAACGTCAGCTCAGCAGCTCAGATTGAGCCGAAATTTTAGTGAACCTGCATCAAAGAAAGGATGCCAGGTGTGTAGTTCCCATTGAGTGGTTGAGTTTGACACCCCTGCCCTAAATAAAAAAAAATGGGAATCTTCTAGGGGTGTAATGATGTTCAGATTTCAAGATAATTATTTTGATACAGAATTGGAAAAGAAATGCTAACATAACTCATAACAATTCTTTATTTATAAATTTTTTTTTCCACATTTTTTTTTTCACATGTTATTCTCATTGGCTGTGTTTACATGCAAAGATTTTTGCCAATCTGATTGAATACATTCCAATTATAGATTAAGACTGAGGTGTTTATATTCTCACTCTACTCAACAATCTGATGGAAAATCTCCGTTTACATGCTCACTACAAGTAATCAGATCCAAAATGATGCGCATGCATAGAGCACCGCTTAGTGTAGACGTTACCATGACAATGAGCATCACGTGAGGTCCAGTCAGAGTGAGACGAGCAGCAGTGAGCAGTGCTTGTGTTTTTACTTACTTTAAAATGACGTCAGACTCAGGAAAACGTCCTTCACATGTCCTTATTAAAGAAGGCCGAGAGGAAGACGTCGTGTTCTGAGACACATAAGCTGGACGTCCGTCCCACCGCCGTCTTTAAAAGATCAGAGCATAAACTGCGCCTCCTCTGCAGACCAGTTTCTGCTCTGCCATGCTGAACAGTATAAACTTTCGCTATGACACGACGAACATGATCAGAACGGACTTAAACTTTCCGATAGGGAATGTAATCAGATACAGGTGTTTACACGGATATTATTCTTCTATTTAACAGATTATTTACGGGATTATTTACACACCTTGTTTATAGAAATTGTATTCAGGATGGCCTCAATTGGACTAGTCTATTCCGACCGAGCTATTAGTGGATTATTAATGGGTTATTAGGCTGCATGTAAACGTGGCTGATGTTCTCTGTAAGAGACAGCAGTGCTTGTGGAAGCGATAACTGGCACATTTTCTTAGAAGACATAAATAAGAAAATAAACAAAAAGTGCAATATCTATATAAAAGTAAACAAGTGTAAACTATAAGGCTGCGTCTGTATTATAAATGAAATAAACATTATAATTTCATTTACAGTCTGATCTTGTGTTTCTATATAAAGCATGGCTCTTTAAGAGAGCGTGAAAGAGGGGCTCAGTCACTCCCAGCACTCTCTCTACAAGCGAGGAGTTGTTTGTTTTGGCCGTTCAGAACCGGCCCTGGCACTGCGGTAATGATGCACACTCTTCCACCATTCAGTCCCTCTAAAGCCCTGTACATGTGGCAGACTGTAAATATGTGATGAGCTTGAATGAATAATGCATGGACGACTCTTACTTACTGACACGGCCTCTCGAAGAGCCTCACAATTACAGCTGACATAATCTATTCTGAATATTAATCCGCAAAAATGAGATACTAA